AGAGGGGGGGTCAGTTATAAATAATTACCTAATATTAATGAATGAGAAAGATTGCTGTATCAAATATACAAGGGTAGGTGTTCACATCCACTTTCTCAAGTTGAAATAATTCAGTTGGATGTTCCTGTAATATGTAGAATTACTTCCTTCAATTAACTCCCAGTGTTATCTGTTTCAAGCAGCAGTATCATCATCCAAATCCAAGGGTAAATTGAACCCTTGTATTGATGAACTAATATTTGAAAGCCTAAAGTACAAATAACATGGTCTGTTTAATATATTAAAGTATAAAAAACAATTTTATTTACAAAAAAGAGAACCAAAACAAGAATTGAAAACAAAGTGCTTGAAAAAGTTTAGTGTAGCAACTTTCAACTGTGTCTCGAGAATTTTAAATTCTATATGACATCGGTTTTTTTTAAAAAAAACACAACACAGTTTATATGGAAAAACAATCACTGGTTTATACACATAAAGCACGAGGTTTCGACAAGTACTCTCTTATCGTTTTCAAGTACAAAGAGAATACTTGTCGAAACGTCGTCGTGCTATATGTGTATATTCAGTGATTGTTTTCCATATAAATTATGTTGTGTTTTTTAATGTGCTCAATCGTTAAATGCCACTCAAGGATTATATTGGTCTTCTTATTTAAATTACGACTGTGTACAATTCAACGGCTGAGAGATGCTGATTCAGCACCCATTGATAATCATGAAAACTGTATGCGTTACATAGATTTATTTATCATCAACTTACACATAAGTTATATCGCTGACACATGAAATCCTTGTTACATTTCACTGTTATAACTTTTATTTTCAGGAATTTTTGTGTTAACCAGAACCGACTTGGACTTGAACCACCTTCATTCTCATCTTATGAATATTCATCTGAAATTATCAACAGCATGGCCGCCATCTTTATCATCTACTGCTACAACTCCCACTCGTTTAACAGAGGTTGTTCTAAAACAATCTGATTCCAGTACTTTATGACTAGCATCTGATAATTCACAGTTACAACTTTCTGTGTTCCAAGATGAAATTTTTAAATTCTAGTCAAAATTTATTATATCTTTCATTTATGTTACACTGATTTTTTTTTTCTATAATTTTTGTACTACCATGGCATATGTTAACTTATTATATATATCATATAGAGTTCATGTCATTGTACATTTATACAAATGCTTTTAGATTCAAATTTGTGTTCTAAATTATTTTTTTCTGTAAATGTGGAAATTAACTCACTGTTGGATGATTTTGTTACTAAGCAGTTTTCTGGTCCATTGTTGTGGATAATCTATACTTTAAAAGGTTTCACTATTATACAGATGGTGGTCTAATGGTCTAATGTATGTGATTTAGATCATAAGGACTGTCATTGAGTAAAGGGGTGTGGTTTTGATCCCACATTTGTACATAAGGAGCAGGGTTGCCTGCTTAACCTCATGGGTTTTCTCCGGGCCCTCTGGGTTCCTCCCTCTGCTTAAGACCCACTAAGCACAAAATATTGAAATAAAATTTACCATATGTTAGTCCCCGAAAGGACCTAGCTTTTGTTGAATGGTCGTTAACCACCATTTCTCTCTATATACATGTATAATGAAGATGTAGATTAGTGGACCTCAATATCAGCATTATAGTGAAGCCCGGTTGTATTTATAATCTCTCCACAAACTGTGGTTGTTATTTTCAATTGCATGTTAGTATTATTTAAATTTTTACTGCTTTAAACAAATAAAAACTGTGTATGATTTTCCTCACTATTCGAAGTGTGAAGTTGTATTGATGACCTGTCTGCCAAAATGTGCAATATGGTTATACCAAATTCTTTGTCAGGTCACTTAACAGTATAGGCTTAAGTAGTTCAGTGTTTAACGCAAAAACCTCTGGTTTTCTGTTGTATGATTTAATAAATTATGGTTGTTCAGCTTTGTGAGGTTTGTCCATTCAGTGTAATTTCTATATTTTGGTTATGAAGCTGACTTTATTTATGTCCATAGAACTATTTATTTCTCCTACAAGGAACAGTCAATTTCATTTTTGTATTTTTATTTTCACTCTGTCTTTGTTTTATTTTAATAATATCTATTAAAGATTTTTATTATCATTTCTTTTTGTAACTAACTCTATTAATACTGAAACAAATATTAAAGTCCTGATGTGCCATTTGTTTCGCTCAAATATCAAATTGTCCACTGCTAAATACATGCTAAATATATACTCAGATTGATTATCTAATTATGAAAACAAAATCAAAATACCAACTCTAGATAATCCTCTGACGCCGATTTAATCGGATTTAAAACTAGGCCCATCAAGTTTCTCTGCTACCAATAAAAGATGGCAGTGTCTTGTTGCGCTGAGTAGCATAGATTGATGAAATTTCAATTCCACATATCTTTGTAAATACTGAACGGAATTGAATTGTAATTGGACCGATATTTCTATTAACGATTCATTCTTTACATAATTGTTTAAAATGCTGCATCGGGACTTTAAGTAATATGTCTTTAAGCTGCTCCATTCAAATATTCATAGTGGAATCAACCAAATATTACTAATGGAGATATTTGAATAGCACTGACTTGTATCAAACTTATTAATATATATAGCCCCCAAAATTTAAGCTTTGGTTATTTAAATACTTTTATGACTGTATATATCTGAACAGGCAGCAGAATGGCAGAGCTGTAAGTCCTCAGTTCTTAGGACATTATGTTCAAATCTCAGGATTTTATGTATAGAAGAACTCAGTCCAAACGGGCTAAACACCTAGAATGAAGCAAAACATTTGGGGGTTTGAATAAAGCTAATTTGATATGGAGATTGGGGAGCAATATACATGCAACAGATTAAAATATGTTGAATCTTGAATGATTAAAAATTTGAAAATGTTCTGTTCAGATTTTATTTTGCACGAAAGATCAGATAATAGATCAGAATGTACAGGTGTATTCAAAGATAAGACCCGTCTTCATTAGCCCAGGTTAGGAGCAGAACAGTAGGACGTTAAACCCCATTTCATTTGATTTCAAAGATAAGAGTCACTTATTTTTAAAAAAATGATTTCCAACACCAAATATTTAATTTCTGTATTTGGACGGCAACTAAAAAGAGAAATCTGATTGACTGATTCTGTAGTTATTTGCCATGTGTGATATCTAGGTCCCTGAGGCCATTTATGTGTATTCTTTGTTTTTTTCAGGGAATTGATGGGTGGTCATATGAACAGGTTTCACTGTATTAATACTATAATTATTTTCATGAATTTGCTATTTATTTAGGATGCTCTTTCAAGTTTTTGTATACATTTAATATTATACAATCTATAATAATTTATAGAATTAAAAAAAAAAAGCTTGAATGATTTTGATTTTCAGTTATTTTTAATTTAGAGTATGTAACTATGCCAGTTATCTATTAAATCTAACTCAAACAGAGTTGGTGTTCGACCCCGGTGTTGGCCGAAAAAGTTCATCCATATTTTCAGCCGTGCTTCCCTCTTGTCAGTGATACAGGACAGAGGGCCTGACAAGGGAAAACATAGTCAATAGGATGATACAAAAAATCTGAGGTCCTGTGTACACTACACATTCAAGGCATTGGCATGCACGTAAAATATTGGAATTCAATATAAGAGTAGGTAGTAGCTCCACTGTCCTGGCAAAATTGCCCTAATAGAACACTGTACGGTGTATGTCCATGTTCAAGTCCAAATAGCCATGGTTTTGATTCAAGCTGTAGGGTCGCCTGCTCAAGGTGCTCCAGTTTCCTCCCACTGTACCTACACATACATTGAACCGATATGAGGTTGTTTGTATTACAGTTTTGAGTGGACGTTAATGCCCATCTTTTATTATCATTACTTTTTCTTTCTCAATCCCTGTAAATGCTGCTGACATTTTATGTGCCACTATTTAAAGGAGCTAAATCGCTAACATTTGGGACCTAGAAATTGACACAAGTGGGTCGCAACTCATATAATACTGTAATATGTATGTATATAAACTGATATACATTCAATGGTTTCCGTTTTTACTCTAATTTCAAATCAGTTATGTTCCGCGAAATAAGCCCACAGTCTCAATCGAATGCAAATTTCTAGCGCCTGGTTATTCCAGTCTACATACGCCGTTTGGTTTGGTGCAATATGTCTAGCCTGGTTCCTCGAGTCTCTTGCTAGAACTGGGGCTGAAACGCATTATGGTACACGATTCGTGTACCAATGGCAAAATGTTTATTTTGTCTTAAATATTGGATATCAGAAGCCCATCTTTTTCCGGTAAGATCACAGCATCAATGTTGATTTAAATTGACAAATAATTTGTGTTTTCAATGTTGAAGATTTTGGATGATATTGAGTTAGAGACTTAGCTACTTTTTGGATCAGTGTGTAAAGGCTCTAATAAAATCACATCAGATCACACAAATATTTTGTAAAATGGGACAACGCACAAAGTGATGTTCATAATCCGTAGTCAATCCGTATTAAACCTAGATAGCTCTTTGATGGTTAAATCACAAAAGGTATTCATTTGATCGTCCAGTACGTTTTCATTAAAAAGCAAGAACAATTTTGCGTCTTGGCAATCAAGACTGAACAGATTTTAAAGATGGCTGCTATTTATGTCGTGGCGGCTGCTGTAACTTGTTTCAAATTACTTTTGATACCTTCGTAGTAGGTTTTGCATTACAAACAATTCGTAGGGTTATATCTACTATATCTATTTTGATCGCAGTTGTTTTTGATGCTTTGTCATATGTTTAAATACAATTTCATTCCATTTGATGTCACTTGTTTATATTTTCTGTTGACTTTTGGGTTGAAATACAGTTACCTCCCTTTACGCCATAAAAGAGAAAAGAAGGGGAGGGTGTTAACGCCCACTCGACACAAACTAGGTTATTTCGGGACTAATATATGGTTTATTTTTATTTTAAAAATTTGCTTGTGCTTAGGGATCTTTAGCAGTGGGAGCAAACTTCGGACCCGGAGAAAACCCACGAGGTTTGACAGGCGACCCTAGGCGTACTCCTTGTCACGTACTACCGGGGAATCGAATGCATGCCTGTTGACTCAATGACAGCCCTTAGGATGCAACACGCACACGCTAACCATCTGTCCATATACCCCCTTTACCCCGTAAGTCATGATTGAGTAATAATATTTTAATTAATCTAATTCAAGAAAAAAAGTTTATTAATATATAGTTGTTTTTGTAAAGCTAGACACAATTTTGTTATTCTGTGTTTCAATTCAGCATTATTTTATGTTGGGGTAGCATGTTTTACACACCACAAATGGCATTAGTACAACTTCGATATTGATTTTCCTCACTGAACAACTGGCTTTATTTCAATATTTGAACATTCTTTGTCAGGTGTTTAAATACAGGTTTATTCGGGTTGATCAGTTAATGGCACTTGTTGTTTTCTGGTTAGAGAGCCGCGACAGCTCAGTGATTTTCCGGTGTGTTCTACCTTTGTCAAGGTTGCAGAGCAGAGGCTGAGAGGGCTGGGCAAAGAACAGAATCTAATGAGATCCTGCCTGCACGTAAAAGAACCTTTGGCATTCGGAATTTGAAATAAGAGGAAACTGCAGTGCTGTTGTCCAGGAAAAATTACCCTCTCAGTGCAAAGCATGGTGTATACCCTACCCGTATGGTGTATGCCCTGCCCGTATGGTGTATGCCCTGCTCGTATGGTGCAGAAAAGTAGTGAAGTTAAACCCCATTTTCTTTCATTTCAATTTTACTGGTGATTTTTGGGGGAGAACTAAACCAACAAAGCAAAAGATATCTAGAGAAACCACCATTTTATGTACATGGAAGTAGCATAAAAATGAAAATTGATGTATTCTCTGGTCATGGTTATGTCTAGCCTTTGGTCCACACATCAGCATAATTTTAACCAATCTCAAAAAATTCATTAAATGCTGAATTTCCTGATTGCCAACCACTCTATCACTTTTATTTAAATGAAACTGAGAACAGCATAATTTCATGCCCCAATTTATTTTTGATTTACAGTCGGTCAACAGATTTTGAAGTTCACAGAAATTGGTTGGCTATTACCCACAGTTTACCAATAAGACAGTGGTATACCGATGTAAGTACTTTATTGTAGCTTATAAGAGTTGAAATTCAGAACTCACTGTGCTTAATACTATCATTGTATTACATGCATGGTACAGAAGAACAGTATTCATTTAATATAGCAGTTGACTATTTGGGCTTTTTGGCTAATTCGAAATTATCTGTTGAATAATTTTTGTGTTTTAGGCCGTCAAACTTGGGCCCCGGGTGAATTGGACCTGGCCCCAGGCGAATCGTGCTTAGTATGTGGTATCAAATTAACCAGCATGACCCCATGAATGTTTTAGGTCATTGAATTTGGGCCACAGGTTAATTTGGGTCCCAGGCGAATCAGGCCCCCCATCCCGCTCGGACGAATTTTTTCCACTGGCGAAGCCGGGTATCCTACTATTTTACTATAAATCTTGCAACATGTGCGCACAATACTTTTAGTATTTGATTGTTGATTAGCAATATCACAGTGATTGTTTATCTCTGAACCTTCCAATTCATGTTACTTAATACCATTAGCTCCACCAACAAACAATATGTGTGGGTTAGGGTGGTTTTTTTTTTGATTACTGAAACAAATAAGGTACCAGACAAAAGCGGGTACTGAATAAATCTGTGACACCATTCTGTAAGGCAGAAGTAGACCCAAAGTGGCCATAATTTTTTTATCTCTAAATTTGTGTGGAAATTGGCATAAAACACATGGTTACCTGAGATTATCTCTTTATTTTCAGAAAACATCAGAATGGACATTAGATTACCCTCCATTGTTTGCCTGGATGGAGTTTTTCCTCTCACAAATAGCTAAACATTTTGATCCTGAAATGTTGAGAGTGAAAAATCTGAACTATGCAAGTGATGCCACCATCTTGTTTCAAAGACTGACAGTCATTGTTACAGATTTCATGTATCTGTTTGCTGCTAAAAAGTATGTCTTATTTTTATTTCACCCACCCATTTGATGTAAACTGTCCAGTACATGTATATATCATTTGATGTAAACTGTCTAATATGTATCATTTGATGTAAACTGTCCAGTACATGTATATATCATTTGATGTAAACTGTCCAGTACATGTATATATCATTTGATGTAAACTGTCTAATATGTATCATTTGATGTAAACTGTCCAGTATGTATCATTTGATGTAAACTGTCTAGTGTGTATCATTTGACATAAACTGCCCAGTGCGTATCATTTGCAAGTCTAGAAAAAGGCCATGTAACAGACATTGTCAGGTTCAAATTTCAGGCATTGTAAGGCACAATTCTTCTAGCTGAAGCTTGTCATTTTGTCAGTTGGGTTTTGTCTATATGTATTTTTGCAACCCGATTAAAACACAGATCCTATTTCGTTTCGTTTTTATAGTTCAAAATTTCGTTTTACTTGTCTTTACTACACTAGTCTATCCCATCGAAAGTATAAAAAACAAAACAAAATATAGATCTGTATTTTAATTAGATTGGTATTTTTGTTGATATTTTTAATACATGTCCGGCGGCACTAAGTTAAAAAATGTCGAGGGCATCTTCAGTAGTGCTTGATATTTTGTAAGATTAAACTAAAGTCACTACCAGTATTTCCCGGTCTGATCATATGAATCAGTTTAACCACAGAATGGATCCACATTTCTCCATCAAGCTTTCTTGAGACAGTATTTTTGCTTCTTCAAGAAATGATATCACAATTTAACTTTTGATTTTGTAACATCAAAGTTTAGATTAAAGATGGATTATGTAAGTTTTTAAATGAAGAACTGTCAGTTGTCTCTATAATAGTTAAAAAAAATGGATAATGAAAACGAAATATGCTGAAAATTTCAGTCAAACTACTTACAAATATATGTAATTCTGAGCGGAAATATGGCCGTTTGAAGAACAATATAGCCTTGATTGTCATTTTTTCCACTTGTTTATAAACAATTTCCTGATTATCCATGTTTTAATTAAATTATTAACTGCCAATCGTGTTTATATCTGTGAAAAATCAAAAGCATCGGATGGTCTAGATAGTTGATTATGGACTTGGCGTGAGAATACTTATCTAATTAATGATTTATGTAACAAAAGATCTTCAATAGCCAGATTTATCTCTTACATAATGCATCTTTAAGTGTTGAATGTAAAACAGTAATGAAAAGTGTTTATATTTGACAGAATTTTACATTTAAACTTTATTTTTCAGGTTTTGTGATGTTTGTGTTAAGAAGACTAAAGGCAAAGAATCCGCCTCCAGTAATATTTATCAGAATCCATCTTTAATTATGGCAGTATTATTGATGGCTAATTTTGGTCTTTTGATTGTTGATCGTATCCTTTATATCTATAGATTTCCTTACCACTCAATAAAATATTAATTTGTGTTATTAATTTGTAATAACGAAGACAAAGCTTGCCACAAGGATATAATGTCAACATTTTGATTCTTCATATAAATTACGGGGTTGAACATTTTTTATGCAAAACTTTATTTTGCAAAAAAACAAAACAACACGAAAGTTGAGTGGATTGCCCACATGTTGTAACAAGCCTTCAGATTGTTGAATAGAATTTAGAATTCTAGCATTAGACCTAATGTCAACAATGTTTTAAAAAATGTTTAAATAAAATAATATTGAATCCAGTTGTAGGTTCATGTATTTAGGATTGCAATTGTATCTTTATTCACAGCATATTGTAATAATAAAACTTATAAATCCTTAAATAGTTAAACAGATATTCATTTTCAGTATAATGGTGTATTAATGGGTATATTTATATTATCTATTGTTTGTATATATCAGGTTTGTGAGATTCAGACAATCAATTTTAATTGTTTTATTCAAGGTTTCTCAACAATTCATTGTTATTTGTATTGAAATCTTCTAATGACCCTTGATTCAATAAAATAATCAACATAAGATATAATCCAGTCTAATCTTACAGCCCATGGGTTTAAATTTTGTCAACCAGTCAGTTTTTGACATATTTTGTTTACTTGGATAAGCAAGATATTTTTCCAAACAATATAACAGCTTTTAGCATTATTCCAATAATTATATATATTCATGTGGTATTAAACATAGAAACTATAAATGTAACTGAATATATTGTTTATTTTAATGTTAAATTCCTTGAAATTCTAATTTTATGACATGTAAGCTGGTCAATTACACTGTCAAATATGAGTCCTGATTAGCATCTGACTTGCCTTGTTCTTGTACAAATAAAGCCAGTCAATTTCACTGTCAGTCAGTAAAGTTTGTCAAATATGGAACAAAGTCCAGGTTAGCATGTGATTTGTCTAGTTCTTGTACAAATAAATATTTATTTTTTTTTATTTCAGAACAAGTTTATACAATCAGCTTTATGGTTTAGTATATTATTAAACATGAAACATATTTACCTGTATGTTGCACCTGTGTATTTTGTTTATTTATTAAGATGTTATTGTTATAATCCAAATAAACAAGGTAAGTACTGGTACATTTTTATTTAAAGAGACATTGTCACCAAGAAAGCAAAATTTTGATTAATATTTTGTTTTCTTAATTAAATGTTGCATAACCAATTTGAGTACATTTTAGCATGGATTAAGTTGTGAAAAATTAAATATTGCCCGAAAAGTGAAAATGAAGATCAGTGGCTGTAAATTTTCCATATTTAGATTAAAATTTAAGGATTAAAACCCTTAATTGGTTAGGGAATTAAAACCCTTATTCAGTCAGAAATTTTAAGGATTAAAACCCTTATTTGGTCAGAATCTCTAAGGATTAAAACTCTTATTCGGTCAGAAACTTACACTTGATTTTTGCTCTTTTTTTGCCTTTTTTTTCCCCTGATGTCAGTGCTTGATTGTACAGATTTTCTGTCTAATGTTATTAGTTTGATTTATTTACTATTCTTTTCTTCAGGGAGTAAATTTTCCATTTCATCATTTTCACCGTTAAGATTAATTTATCTTGGTATGATAGTGCTAACAGTATTTGGAATTTCATTTGGTCCTTTTATTTATATGGTAAGATAGTTTTATAAAATAGTTATAGACAAGTCTAAAAGTAATGATTTTTCTTTTATCTGACAAAATGTCAGGCACAATTGAAGCTCTACCTGATATGTTTAAGTTTTGTCTGACGTTTGGGGATCACGTGGCTATGTGGGTAAGACGCTGGCTCGCTAGCCTGGAGGTCGGGTGTTCGATCCCTGCGTTGGCGGAGAAAGTTCATCCAGATTTTCCGGCATGGTTCTCCCTTGTCAGTGATGCAGGAAGAAGGGGCTGACAAGGAAAGCTGTCTAGTCGTTCGGATGGGACGAAAAACCAAGGTCCCGTGTACACATTGGCGTGCACGTAAAAGATCCCTTGGCAGTGGGAATTGGATATAAGAGTAGGCTGTAGTTCGGCTGTCCGGGCAAAATTTCACTCATAGCACACTGTATGGCGTATGCCCGTCTTCATTAGCCCAGTTCGGAGCAAAACAGTAGGATGTTAAACCCCATTTCATTTCATGTCTGACGTTTATTTAACAGATTAACCCAAAAAAAAACACTGAAAAAAGATAAATTCAAATATTTTAGTGAAACTTTTTGATGGAGTTATTGGTCTTGTTTCAAAAATACTGCTCGTTATATTTGTAGACAAACTATCTAAAATAAGCTATTTAATTGAATAGGATAAAACTTGCAAGTTTAATAAAGAAATTTTCTCTTCTTTCATTCTTATTGTATGGTATTAATTATGTACTTGTAAATTGTTCAGGACATAATCCTAAGGAATATGATTACTGTTTATTTTTTAGCTCCTTTTCAACTAGGCTTGGGGAGTTGGATGGCCGAATGATTAGCATGCGCGCGCTGTATCATACGGTCTGCCATTGAGTCAACTGGCAGGGTTTCGATTCCCCGGTTGTACGTGACAAGGAGTAGGGTCGTCTGTCCAACCTCGTGGGTTTTCTCCAGGTCCTCCGGTTTCCTCCCACTGCTAAAGACCCCTACGCGCAAGCGAATGATTGATATAAAATTGAACCATGTGTTAGTCCCGTCTCTCTCTCTCTCTCTCTCTCTCTCTCTCTCAACTAGGCTTCTCTAGTCTATATATCAAGCAATCCTAAGTAACAATCAGTATTTGTATTCCATAGAAGTAAGTCTGGTGTATTTCTAGTTTAGTTATTAATATAAATGCCATTGAAATAAGTTTGTAAATTGTTATTTCAGGGTCAGCTGTCTCAAGTTTTATCACGGTTATTTCCCTTTAAACGAGGTCTGTGTCATGCCTACTGGGCGCCTAACGTCTGGGCATTATACAATATAGCTGATAAAGCTGCTAGTATTATAGGTAAAATAAAATGTATTTCTTACTGTTTAGTATTCTAACACAAGAATAGGGGTTGGATGATATAGTTAATTGTAGGAACCATGCTGACTCAGTGAGCATGGCCCTGGCTCAATAACCAGGATCTGATCCCGGTGTTGCCCGTGTTCTTCAGAATCTTCCAGATTGGTTCCTCGTGTTGGTGGTGAAAGACAGAGGGCCTTGCAAGGGATAGATTGAAAAATGAGGTCCACCTGTGGACTTAGTCACATGCACATAAAAGAACCCTTGATATGTGCAATTTCATGGAAGAGTAGGAAGAAACAACGGCTTCTGGATGTAATTTTCCCTCATAGTACACTGGATATAATTTCCTTCATAGGACTTTGGATGTAATTTACCTCATAGCACACTAGATGTAATTTCCCTAATAGCATACTGGGTGTAATTTCCCTCATAGCACACTGCTAGTAATTTCCCTCATAGCACACTAGATGTAATTTCCCTAATAGCATACTGGGTGTAATTTCCCTCATAGCACACTGCTAATAATTTCCCTCATAGTATACTGGGTGTAATTTCCCTCATAGACACTAGATGTAATTTCCCTCAGCACACTAGATGTAATTTCCCTAATAGCATACTGGGTGTAATTTTCCTCATAGCACACTGGTAGTAATTTCCCTCATAGCATACTGGGTGTAATTTCCCTCATAGACACTGGATGTAATTTCCCTCATAGCACACTGGATGTAATTTCCCTCATCGCACACTGGATGTAAGTTCCCCCATAGCACACTGGATGTAATTTCCTTCATAGCACACTGGGTGTAATTTCCCTCATAGTACGCTGGGTGTAATTTCCCTCATAGCAAGCTGCGTGTAATTTACCTCATAGCACGCTGCGTGTAATTACTACAATGGTAGTAATTTTCATTATAGCACACTGGCTGTAATTTCCCTCATAGCACACTGGATGTAATTTCCTCATTGCACATTGGATGTAATTTGTAATTTCCCTCAAAGCACACTGGATGTAATTTCCCTCATAGCACACTGGCTGTAATTTCCCTCATAGCACACTGGATGTAATTTCCCTCATAGCACACTGTGACTGGCTGTAATTTCCCTCATAGCACACTGGATGTAATTTCCCTCATAGCACACTGTGACTGGCTGTAATTTCCCTCATAGCACACTGGATGTAATTTGTAATTTCCCTCAAAGTACACTGGATGTAATTTCCCTAATAGCACACATGGTGGTGTAGCCCAGTTGGCACAGAAATAAGCTTGAACAGTTAATTGTGGTTATGAAAACATTTTTGACAAGGAATTGGGAACAATGATAGGTTTATAGTCTTAAAATTAAGCACTTGGTCCTGGTTGTGGATAATACAGCAGTAAAAAAAATATTTGTAATATTATTTAATACATGTACCCAATATTTTGGATTATCATGTATATTAAGTTATCTTTTTATTTTTAGGTACCAAATTGAAACTGTTGTCATCAATAGCTGTAGAAGAAGCCTCTATGACAGGTGGATTAGTACAGGAATTTAGTCATACAGTTTTACCATCTATAAAACCTATATATACAGTAATACTTACATTAATAGCTATGTTGGTAAGTATACCCGTTTTAATTTATACAAGATAGTGGTTGGGTGGTCAATTGGCCTTGTGCTTTAGATCATAAGGTCTGTCATAAAGTCAAGTGGTGGGGTTTCAACCCCAAGCATGTATGTGACAAGGACTAGGGTCGTTTGCCACTGCTAAAGACCCCTGATCGCAAACTAATTATTGAAATAACAGTAGCATTTTCGTCTCGAAATGAGTGGACGTTAAACCCCATTTTCACATTGCAAGAACAAATTATTGGTCCATTCCAATCAATATTTATTTTATTATCCTACCGTGATATGGGATCCTTATATCCAATATTTAAGACAAAATGAACATGATTGAGATCATGCTTAAAATTGTCATGGAAAAAATGTGCTTCTTTGTATATTCCGGTCTCCAATATCCCAGTTGGTTCAGAAAAGTAGGAAGTTAAACCCCATTTCATTTATCTTGAATGAATTTCTTATTATATTAAACTGTTATTAATTGATTTCTATTTCATATACAGCCAGCTTTAATACATCTATTTTTAAATCCACAAAAAGGAGGTCAGGGATTTGTGCGTTGTTTGGTTTTGTGTGGTTTTGCATCGTTTTTGTTTGGTTGGCATGTTCATGAGAAAGCTATACTTATTATCATTATACCACTGACGTAAGTAGAATCGACACATTCACTTTTTTTTATTCAGTAAAATGCTATAGAATAATAATGAGTGGTTCATATAGATTTACATGTGAATTTGCTTGTTGCATTTCTTCTCTTCAACACCACTCTTTAATATGAGAGACAGAGACATGGGGTTTAACGTCCTCTCGACACAAATTAGGTCATTTCGGGACTAACATGTGGTTCAATTCTATTTCAATAACTTGCTTGCACGTAGGGGTCTGTAGCAGTGGGAAGAAACCAGAGAACCCAGAGAAAACCCACGTACAAGCGGAAAATCGAAACCACGCCACTTGTCTGAATGACAGACCTTGTGATTTCAAGCGTGGCCGTTAAACCGCCGGAACACCCCCACCCCCACACTTCAGTGCTTAGAAGAGAAAAGAATTAGGTTAATGGCTCATCAACACAATATCTCTGTCATTTTGAGACCAGCTTATAGTAACTTTTATTCTATGGTTACATATGCAATGGGTTGTTGGGGAATTTTGCCCTGTCAGCAGTATTTCTGCCTGTTCTTTTATTTCAAACTACAACCAAGGTGGTTTTATGCTCATCCCAATGTGACGTTCTGATTTTGTTTAATTAAATGTTAAATAATCATTTCAAGTATATTTTAGCATGGATTATGCTGTGGAAAATTTGATATTCCCCCAAAAATGATGCGCAGAGAGATTGATAAGTAAACTTCTAATTTCATTATTTATTTTATGACAGATTATTAATATTAGAGAAGAGAGAAGATGGTAGATTATATTTATTTTTATCAACAATAGGATTCTATTCTTTATTTCCTTTATTGTTTACACAATTTGGTAAGTATACATACAATATATATTATTATACATTACAAGAATTTGTTGTTGATTTATAGACGTGCGACTTGACTTGAAATATTTGACCCGAAACACGACTCTTACTGCATTCATGACAACATAGGACTAAACTGTGACTTGAGGTGTAGCGATTTTGGACTCGACTCGGACTCAAGATCCTGCAACTTGTTCCTACCTCTGTAGATCTGACAACATTCTACAGTTGATATTGTCAGTTGTCCTGTCCGATGTTTCCATAAAACTAATCTATTAATTTTTTTTAAAAATATTTTCATATTTTGCCATTCTTTACAAAAACTATTCTTTTATCTGTTCATACTGAATCCCTGGCAATCAAAATGTTAATTTTTTCAAAGAATTCATAAATTTCCCTGAAATTTAAAATCAATCTTACATAAATTGTCCATAATATAAATCTGTGTTGGTTCTATGTATTTGATTTTTATTTTCCAGAAACACCAATAAAAATAGTGTTGTTGATACTTCACTGTCTGTATTCATTTTCTAGTTTATCTAATATTTATAGGTAAGACAGAATTTTACGTTTCAGTTCATGCAACTGTATTTATGTTGATATTTATGCCTTTAATGGTAGTAGCCTAAATTCAGTATTTTGATAGAATTAGTACCGGTAATAGCCTAAGTTCATTATTTTGATAGATGTAGCCCAAGTTCAGTATTTTGATAAAAGTAGTCTAAGTTTAGTATTTTGATAGAAGTAACCTAAGTACAGAATTTTCATTTTCTCCTATATATGTAGTTGTAACCTTTTTGCATGGGGGAGGGGTCAGTGATTAAGACACTGGCTCACTAACAAGGTCTCAAGAAGGTTCCTGAGGATTTTTCTGCATTGTTTCCCCATGTCAGTGGTACAGGGCCTGACAAGAACAGCTGTCTAGTCATTTGGATGGTATGAAAAACCAAGATCCCATGTGCACTTTAGGAACCCTTGATAGTAGGAATTCAATATAAGAGTAGGTTGTAGTTCCACAGTTTGGGCAAATTTACCTCATAATACACTGAAGCTTAGTTCATAACCCATTTATTATATGTTGATGAAACTTTGTGCACATATCAACAAAGTTATTTATGCTATGTAACTTGACTGGCAAATATGGCTGCAACTGAGAACCCTATGTACCACAACACTGACAAGATGCATTTATTTTTCAGGTCACCAAGTAGCATACTACCAGTTGTATCGTGGTACGAATCTCTGTATTTACTGGGTATAATACCATTAGAACTCTACAACTCATTCATACATCATGTTTTAAAATTAAACATTACTTTACCATTTATACCATTACTATTAACTTCAGTCTACTGTTCTATTGGTGTTTTATATGCCTGGCTCAGATTCTACTCGACAACTTTAAAATCATCAACACATAAAACAAAAACAAGCTAGTTACCAAAAATAAAGATTTTTAATTATACTCTGTCAATGTTTTTGTTGTTTGTACAAGAGACGTCTTGATTTTGATAACTATTCAAGGATTTCTTAGAAAAAAAACTATTTATTGTGATATCCAATTTTTCAAAACATAAAACAATAACAAGCTAGTTACCAAAAATAAAGATTTTTTAATTATACTCTGTCAAAGTTTTGTTGTTTTTACAAGAGACGTATATTATCAGGGTAAATTGAATATAATTTGGATTTTGATAACTATTCAGGGATTTCTTAGAAAAAAATATTTATTGTGATATGCATTCTTTCAAAAGTATGGTACTTTGGCAATAGAATTTATTTATATTTTCCAATACAGTGAACACAGTGCAAACAAACTTAATTTACTATACAATTGTAAATCAAATTCGTAAATCAAATTCTTAATTATCATATTTCATATAGTTCTAAACAAATAATTAACAACGTTTGTGTATATTTTTACAAAGGCTTCTACTTCAAAATTCCGACTGTCGGTCCTGATCGATAACACACTGAAACAAGGAACTGCCACCCTGACGAAAATTCCATGTTCATTTTACACTTCAATGTGCATCCATCACATGAGTAGCGTCCTCCCACTGCTAAAGACCCCTACACGCAATTGAATTTGTGTTGACTGCACTGAAACAAAGAGCTGCCACATGGGCAGAGAACAAGCTAAAAAAGCTATTTTTGTACAAACTTTTGTTGTAAGATAAATCTTTAATTATAATGTTTATTAATGAAATATCCACTTATGTAATGTGTGAGATTAATCTTAAAAAATATCAAGACAAAACTGAAATAATATCATGACAAAACTGAAATAATATCAATGAAGTTTCCACAGCACTTGTGTCGTGTGTAAGATAAATATCTTAAATAATATCAATAAAGTATCACAGCACTCATGTCATATGTGAGATTAATTTTAAATAATATAAGGTACATGTATCCTCAGCACTTGTGTCATGTGTAAGATAAATCTTTATCAATATCAACAGCACTCATGCCATGTGTAAGATAAATCTTTATCAATATCCCCAGCACTCATGCCATGTGTAAGATAAATCTTTAATAATATCCACAGCACTCATGCCATGTGTAAGATATATCTTAAATCATAATTATGTTTATCAACAGGCCTGGACACAAATGATTTCAGTTGCACCTGACAAAATGCCAGGCACTAAATGTACTTGGAAATGCATTAACCTTTTAAAGGAGCTAAATCTTTATTCTTTGGCACCTAGAAATGAATACAAATGGGTTGCAACCAATGTATATAAACTGATTCAATCGTTTATGTTTTTACTGTAATTTCTAATCAGTTATGTTAAAATTAAATGGCAGTCATTGGCATCTGGTTATTCCAGTATGTATTCTTCATTTCAAATGACGCCCAAAAGCATTCCAGCACGCAAAATTTTCATTGTGTCTTAAATATTGGATATCAGAAGCCAAACTTTTTACGGCAAGATAACAACATCAATGTTGTTTTAAATTGACCAATAATTTGTGTTTGTAATGTCGAAGACTGTGGATGATATTGAGTTAGAGACTTGCCTCCTTTAATAAAACCAATTAAAAAAATAGAAAAACCAGCGGCTGCCAGGCAGGATACGCCCACATTTTCGAGAGATGGATAGAGAACAAGCTAACAAGAAAGTGATTTTTCCTACAATCAAGGGCCATAATTCAGGAAATTACAATTCGATATGCGTGAATATCGAAAGGAACCGAGATCTTTGGGTTATAAACTTACATTTCAAGTTTCAACAAAATCGGAAAAAAAAATTGTGACCTCTATAGTGTCCACAACCTTGATATACCATACTTTTACGCTATTTGAGAACGACTGGCGGCCATTTTGTCTGTCAATTTTGGGCCGATTTTCACGAAATTCGAACTCAGCCATCCTTAGGGTGTAACGGTGATATAATAGTACGTTTTTTTAAATCGGATAAAAATTATGACCTCTATAGGGTCAACAAGCTAAAAACACGATTTTTGGTACAATCAGGGGCCATAATTCAGGAAGTTTCGATCCGATACATGCCAATATCGAAAGGAACCGAGATCTTTTGGAGATAAACCTATTTCGTCAAAATCAGATAAGAATTGTGACCTGTAGAGTGTCCACAAACAAATTGTGGACGTCCGGACGGACAGGGGCGACGGCATAATACGTCCACATGAAAATGTGGGCGTATAAAAACCCCAAATCTATGCCAGACAGCCACCACAGGGATTGTGTCGAACAAAGCTTGAATTTGTGCCTAACACTGTCTGTGACTGGTGCCTTATTTCTAGGTGTATCACAGAGCTTGTATATGAGATATGTCCCAAGCAGTAATGATGTAAATCATAAAGAAATAAAATATTTGTAAAACTCACTAAAAAAAATAAATCATCTATTTTTTAAACTGAAAATCACAGACTAGAGACAAGTGATCAGATGGATAATTAAATGACGGTAGCCGCTTTTCTCCAATTTCTTCTTCCGTCGGGAATTTTAAAATGGATGAAACTGCCAGTTTGTTTTTACTAAACAAAACAAAATCTATGGTTCGGCAGTAAGCGACTGGACCCAATGGACTTCCACGGACCTTGTTGGTAGTAAAGGGAGGTTCCTCTAGATTTTCACTTAAGAATGTATAAGCACTACTCAATTCCAGATCACTAGACATCAGTTCTTTGTAGGCTTTTTCACTCGGATCAGCGTTAAAATCACCACATAGTATCACAGGAGAGTCTCCACACATTTCTTTTAATAGTTTATCTATGAATTTACTTTGTAGATGTCGCACCTGGTCATAGCCTTTCTTCGCTTTTAAATGTGTAGCCGCTACAAACAACTCTCGATTGTTGCTTTGTTTTAATTTCATGTGAATCACTATACAAACTTGATTTGTTTCATAACCAGTCGGTTCCTTTATTATAACACTTTTTATATTAATTACATCTACCGCATCAGATTTCCAAAATATCGCACATCCGTCTGGCCCGTAATTCGGAGTTATGTCCAGACAAGGTGAGAATGGTTTTGGAAAGAATGTCCCTTTATAGCCAGCCTTGCCAAGTTCTGTTTCAATATATTTAAAATGGTCCACCTCTTGAAGACACACAATTGTAGGGTCAGGTGTTAAAATCTCTTCCATAATATGAAGTTTACGAATATCCCAAACCAGTGCCTCTGGTGGGCAAAGTACAAAGTTGTCACCTCCTTTACTTAAAGCTGAAAAATTTTAAAAAAAGTTACATTAAAAATTTGCAATGTGGTTTAAAAAGCTTAATGAACCTCCTGCTGAGGCATGATTTTAGAACACTGTTGGGAGCCACAGGAGCTCATTAAGTAGATCTCTGGCGAACTAACCAGGAGGTCATGGGTTCAATACTGGTGTCAGCGGAGAAAGTTCCTCCGGGTTTTTCTATCTGGTTTCCTCTTGTCAGTTATGAAGGACATAGAACCTAGGAAGGAACAGGATCTAAAAGTTTTAGTCTTTCAGATCATACACAATAACGTCTACATTAGTTTCTATTGATATCATTTCTATGTGTCTAGACAATAATTCTATCTTTTTCCAATAAGCCAGCTCATTCTTTACGAATATGTTTTTCTGGCTCTCTACAGTATACTGCCTCTCGTTTAGACAATGAATAGTGAACATCGGATAGTCTCGGGTAAGGTCTACATTGACCATAAATTAGTAGGCAGATTGTAATATCCCTCGAAAACCTCTGTATGACCATTGACATTATTTAATCAAACTAATATTTCTTCAATAGGAAAGGAGAAAATTTGCACACATTATTATACAGAATTCCTGAACATCAATGAATGTACATGTACAACATTTGGGTCACAATACTTAAGGATGCATTATGTAAGAAATAGATGAAGAGTTGGCAATTCTTTCTTTCATAGTTTAAAAACAGATAATGAAAAATGAATATACTGAAAATTTCATTCAAATTACTTTATTCTGAGCAAATTTATGAGTGATGGAAGATGTAGTGTTAGAAAAAACATATCTGAGTGAATTGACAGAAGTTTGGTTGCCTGACATTACGAATTGTTGAAAAAAACGAGCCGAAGCGAGAGCAGGTAAGATCGAGTTTTCAACAGGCATTGCATTCCTGTTGTTTTTTATTATAGTTGGCTACAGATTGTTTATTAGTACTGGACATTCGAGTGTCAGTTTCAGTTCTCCATTTTATCGTTAAATTTTTAAATCTCACAGCTTTCTAACCTATTCCATGTAAATTTCTGCCATCAGATGGTCTAGAGAGTTGATAGGCTCGTTCTGTAAATAAATGCCTAGAGCCAAAATAAAGACATGCAATAGGCAGATTTAGCTCTTACATGTAATGCATCTTTAATAGTTAGCACCTGTTCAACCTCATACCATAATTTAACACTTTAGTTTCAATTTTCTCACTTATCAAAGACATGTCATGTCCTTTAACCTACCTTGTGCTAATAAATTCCACTGCATGATTCTAAAACTTGGCTGTTCTATTTCACTGGAACTGGACACACAATTTCTTGATAAATCAACATTAAACAGCTGTCTTTTAAATAACGGAGGTAGATTTTTTTCGGATCGTTCGTTTTGATAGCGTTTTTCATACTGATTGGACATACTGATTGTGTATTGAACACAACGACTAACGACAAAGCGCCTTCTAATGAATAAGTAGATCAATCTAGAGGCCTGTTGTTACTAAGTGAAATTGTGGATATACAATCACCAAAATTTTAAAAAGGGGTGTTCCCAAGTATCTTAATAACTACAGAAATATGACTAACATCAATTTCCGATCAAGTTAATACAGATTTGTCGATGGAAGTCATATGAGGCAAGTATTTCTATTGACATCACACACTTGAAAACGCACGATTTGTTGACAACGGAGAACTTCCGGTAGGCAGGAAGTCATAACATGTTAAGAAGGCCGACAGATAAAGCCAATATTCCGGTCTTGTACTGTACGCTTTCATAACTGACATAAGAACTGACCATCACGTAAGGTCTGATTCCCTGACAGTTTGCTTATCTCTTCGCAATCGAGATATACATGTACCACCTGAACGACATAAGATGTATTAATTATACTTTAAACATGTGCTACAGGGGAGGTAACTCCAAATACCCCCCCCCCCCCCGAAAAAAGGATTTTAATTTACTAGTTACAAAAAGATCAAAATTGTGTACTATTATTTCATTGTCAATTATAAAATCCAACATAACTACAATGTGCATGTTTTTTAATTTATGTTATAAATAATTTAATGTACAGGTACAACAATTTGTGATAATTTGTGATTAAATAAAAAGTTCATCTAGATCTAACATAAATACATTTTTTTACAAACCATAAATATTGTGATCTTGTTTATGTTTTGCTATATAAGTATTGTATATTGTTATGATATATATTTTGCTATGTATAGCTTTTAATTCACAAATAAAAGTCTCTCATCTCAACGATGTGATCTAATAATAGTAATAGTAATTACATTCCTTAAACTACATGTAGTTAAACCTAAAATATCAGTAATAATAAGTTAGCTTTCATAAACCAACAAGGTTTATGTGTTCGAAACATGTAAACATGATTATTATAAATTTTGTATCTCACTGACTCTTGTCACAAGCCATGTGCATTTATATATAGAGAACATGAACGTGTTATGTGTACACACATTTCTAATATGGGAGATATTAAAATAGACTGGAGAATTAAGCACTAGATAGTTAAAGAATGAATAGACCATTTTCACAATGGGTGGTATGGCAGGCCCCAACATCAAAGACATCACATATCTACTTCAGTACTTGTTATCTTCACAAGAGTCTAAACTCACTTAGCTGTTAATATAATTATAAAGACCTACATTTTAAAATACAGTTCAATAGTTTGTAAATTTTAAAATAAAATGTTATCCTTTAGTTTAAAGATATATTTCCTTGACTATCGAAATAAATAAGTACATAATCATTGACTGGAAAATAAAAATATATATTTTTGTGGCTAAAAACATTAAATTTTCAGTTTATTTGAAATGAAACAATTTTTAAAGTAATAGAGGTATTAATGCAGGTGTAATCATATATGAGTCAGACAGAGCTCCAGCAACTTGTGTCACTAGCACATGCTGTTATTCAAAATTGCTAAATAGTGGTTGACAGCTTGAAATGAACTTTATTAATTTATTGTGGGCTTTTTATGCAATTTAAGTCTATAATTAAATTTTTCTTAGTCATTAGAAAAATGTGATAGTTTCAAATAAAGAGAAGTCTTCAGACCTGGAAATATTGATTTAGCTGAACCTGACAAAATGTCAGACACTATTGAAGTTGAGCTTGACATTTTCAACTTTGTGCAGGAGATATATTTAAAAAATTCAACAAAAATAGAGAAGTAGTGCCCCTCTAAGGCTGAATTTTTTGCCTGATATTGTCAGCAACATGTGCCTTATTTCCAGGCTTGTAAGTCTTGCTAGTCAAACATGTAGAAAGGAACATGTCTTTAAAGTAAGCACTGATTTTTGTGTTAATCAATATAAATATTAACCAATGATCGAAATACTGTCTTCTCTACAGGTAACAAATAATTTAGGTTTATCTTCATTTCTCTTATCATCTCTCTCATCATCATCTTGCTTCTTAAGATGAACAAATGGCTGACTGGTTGTCAGTGTCCAAACTTTAGACTCTGTCAAATCAAGGTTGCCTACTTTCTTCTGAACAGTCAGGCTCCACAAGGAAGGGAGAGAACTCTTAACAGCAGCCAAAAGATCTTGTTTGGTTGGCACAGGAAATTCAAATACTTCCGAGATATTTACTGGCTTTGACTCGTAATATTTCAACATTTTCTGTACACAGCTACTAATGAATGAGTAGGGCAAGCCAAGAAACAGATGAATCATGACCACCATTTCTAAAGAATGATGCATCTTCTCCAAATTATTGATTTTCTCTTGGAGTTCAAGGTCAGTTTGTATAAAATAATTCAAATGAACAAGAGTAGTAAGATCCTGGGAAACAAAGGCATGGGCGTAATCACATCGTAACTTTTCAATACCCATTTCTACGACAAGTTTGAGAGGGAAAATTCCTCCCATGTGGGGTATGACTAGACGACCAGTGAAAGAATCACGTATAAGTTGTGCCATCATGGTTTTATTTTTCTTGTGAACTGCTGGTTGAAACTCGCCTTTACTTAAAGCTCGGAAAATATAATTCAAACTGGCGGTAAGTTCGCTGTAAGATGAGCAGGTAATCATTATCTTCCACAAATAGTCGGTAAAATCATAGTCAAGTCTTTCTTCAAGTTTAAATTGATCCATTGGAGACTGTTTTGAGTCGTTGCCTTGCAATCTGTTCAAGTTCTCAGCATCTCCTAATTTCATATTTTCTATCAATTCTTTCACCTGGTCTAATAGTGGAAGTGTGTCATCTTTTGATGTTGCCCAATTAATCTCTCCAGTGGTGATGGCTGACATGAAACTCTTTAAGATCGTCAATTCCTTGAATAAACCAATAACAGGACTTCTAACATCCCCTGAAATATATAGTATTACCCGATGAGTTACGTTTAAAAAAATTAGGATATTTTAAAGTTCTAATGCAATAATAGATAAGGGATAGGCAGATGGGGGGGACATGGTCACTAAGGGGCTTTATCAAAACATTAGACAGATAGGTTGGGGGAGGCATCATGGTTTCAAAGGTTCTGATTATTAAGACATTCGTTGTCTAACTATGCTCTCATCACCAGCCTAGAACATGTTAATGGAATTATTATTAGGCATTAATTAACTTATCCAGACCATAATCAATTCTCAGTGCCATTGCTAGCCTACGATATTTACTGGATTACAATTCGAACTGCTGCTCAATGTTCATTAATGATTAAATTAAAAAAAATGGATAATCGAGACTGTTTTTTATCCTACCAACTTTAGTAATGATAATCGAGGCTAGGCCTAAAATTCAATCGCTAAATGCTTGGTTCAGGGTGAATCAATTTGACTGAAATTTTCAGCAAATTCCCTTTACATTATCAAGTTTTTAACTTTTATAGTGATAACTGCCAGCTCTTTATCTTATCTCCTATAATGTATCTTTAACAGTCTCTGTACAAAAACCAATTCGACTGTCTTGCCACAACAAGTCACGCTAGTTGACGCAATTTGACAGATCTTATGATATATCTTGAGCACGCTAACCATTCGTCCATCCAACCCCGCTTCTTGGATGACTATAGTATTTATCAATATTGTTGAAGAACTAAACACTAAATTTGTTTGACCAAGCTGTCTGTATTTTAATAAATGTTGTTCTAGTACCTGATGTCACGGACGCCTTAATAACGGCCGCAGAACAAAATTCTGGCTTTTGAAGAAGTTTTGACCCCTTTTTCCATGTAAACTCCAAAGATACAGAGCCTTGGTATGCTGACGACTGAACAACATCATAACGAGCAAAACAGTTGTTGTTGGTGACTCTTCCATTGAAGACTTTTTCCTCTATGGAGTCAATATCATCTGTCACTACTTGAGTGAAAGTGGTCCATTTTAAACCCCAATGACATGCTGTCTCAGATTTGTACAAAACTGGAATAGCTCCCATTAAAACTGTTGATTGAATATCAGTTCCGTCACATAAGCTCCAAAATGACGGCAGCTTAGAAATTACATCAGTTGACTGGTCCATCAGTTCTGAATAATTAACATTAAATAAAGATATTAGATGTCTAGACATTCGACATGTAAAGCCTTCTGGAACATAAATGACTCCTTGTGGTCGATGAAAAATGGCAGGCGAGTTATAAGATGGAGAGTCACAAAGAGATAAATCAGCATAAGTTTGTAATTTTAATGGCGATCCATCAGATTCGCTAAGATTATTTTGATTTTTGTCAAATGTTTTTCCGTATGATTTTGTCGAAAGTTTTCTTTGCGGCGATGTGGGAATAATTTCTTCATTTTCTGTGACTGTGTCTTCGGGATTGAACAGATCAGCAATCGGATATGGTTGACCTTTCCGAACTACTAAAATATTTTTATTTGAAGCAAAAATTTCCTCGGGCAGGTAATTGTCAAGATAGCGAAGTCCGTCGATACCATAGTTAATTTTCTGAGTTTGACGTGACGGTTTCCTTGGCCTTGGGTCATTTGTGAAGAAATCAATCGAGCAATCGCCTCCATACGATTTGGCTGATTTTGTACTGATCACCTCGAAAATAGACGATTTAAAGTCAGCAATAGTAGCTCTATCCATTTCTCTTCAAATTTGTTGCAAAATTATCATTAAAAATTCTAGATATTCACTGAAATTTTAGTAATTATTTGTCAATATTTATTTTCTGTTTAAAAATACCGCGAATTTGTTTTGATGGGTTAGGCAAAATTACAAATTGGGGTATTTAACAGGAACGAAATATATTTTTGCTAGCTATAGGGACCATAATATTATTTAATTGTTACATTTTTTGCAAACATTTCATAATTAATATAGGGCTATAACATTGGCTGTTTGATGTTTGACTATATTTCTAGACAAGGAGAATAATAAAATTAATATGTATTATTTTCGTTTTGTGATATATAAAATTCGGATGGTAGCTTTGAAGTAAGTTTTCTCTAAAAGCAATTTCTATTGGATAAACGAGAAATTTCTACCAATGAAACGATAGTTCATGACAGACTTGACGGAAACTAATTCTATAAAATGGCGAATGACTTAAAGTATAAATACAAACACGTGTTGTTTGTTTTTATTTATTTCGTTCTTTAAATTTACTTGATAAATCTAAATGCAGATATTATTATTGAAGCCATTTATAATTGAATTTCTTAGTTGATAGCTTATGATCATTTCTTGCGTACGTAAGCGTGTCAGAAAAATATTGAAGAAAAGAGATGAGGAATAAAACGAAAGTAGAATTTGGTGTTTGCAGTAGTTGATAAAAGAACAAAATAACATTTCTTTTTTAAATCGTTGTAATTTTTCACTATATTGATCCTCAATCATCTAAAAGTGAAACACAATCTGATTAATACATATATATTCTAGTGCGACATTGCGTTTTGGTTTTTTTTTTGGGGGGGGGGGGTTATGTCAAAATTTTTCTTTTTATTCGCTACTCTACTGAAAGTCTGAATCTGGCTGGAATAAGAACTTAATTTGTATGAAACATCCAAGATTTTTGTCAATGCATTAATGTATTGAAATTGGCCAATTTGAATGCACATAAAATTGATTGTTTAGTCCATTAATATCCATGTTACCTTGTTGCACATAACATAAATGATAATAATCTTTTACATTTTTAGTATTTTACGCATCTCAGTGTCTTTCCATAGCGATGCATTTGATTTTAACAATATTTATATGTCTGTTGTTACAAAGTTAAAAATACCAACAAACTTTTATTTTGTAGAACTCTTGGCGATAAAACTGTTAGTGTTATTTAAATGATTTGTTTTCTATTGCAGAACATTTCAGCCTAAAGAGTACTATAGGAAATTTCTGGTAAGATCTTTGTAACATTGGCGACATTGCAGCATACTACAACATTGGTTTTAATTCCAAACAAAACCACTGAAAAATATTTTATCCTAATATTCACTGCCTACTGTTAAAATTGTACCATCCATCTATCTATATATTTTGGATCAAAATAACTCAGCTTCTAATTGAGGTAGAAAGTTTAACACTACAAACTTAGTGTAGATTGTCATTAGCTGGATGGAGGCGTGGGATGGCCGAATGGTTAACACTTGCGCGTTGCAACAAAAAGGTTTTCTATTGAGTCAAGTGGCGTGGTTTTGAATCCGCGCTTGTATGTGACAAGAAGTAGGGTCGCCTGTCCAACCTCGTTGGTTTTCTCTGGGTCCTCCTGTTTCCTCCAACTGCTAAACTGACGCACAAGCAAATTATTGAAATAAAATTGTACCATATGTTAGTCCCAAAATAAACTAGTTTTTGCTGATGTCTTAAAGGGCGTATGACTCTATTTTTGGAAGCTGAAAATAGACGAAAATGTGTCTCAAAGGTCAAAGCACATATTGTAATATGAATGCGTATATTTATATTCAATTTTTAAATTTCTGATTGTTAATTTTAATCAATATTGTTTTGTCAAATACATGAATAGTCCAAATTGAACGACAGTCGTTGACACCTGATTAGTTCGTTCTATGTTTTTTTTTTCTGTTACGATTTTATTGTTTGTGAATCAGTCATTACTAATTACTTCTGCATTGTCTTTTAGGATATGTTTTTCTTTGTTCATTACAAATGGCACCCGAAACTGTAGCATACATGACTCATCTTAAATATTTATTGGTTATTAGGATGCCATATTTTCACGGCAAGATAAGAACATCAATATTGATGGAAATGGACCAATATTGAGTTTTAATGTATTTAATTTCAAATTTTATGGAACATATTGAGTTCCAGGTTTGGTTCCTTTAATTAGCTGAGTTCGCTAAGCAAAAATAGGCAATTTGATTTGTTAATGCTTTAGAACACAATAAATCTGATTCTAATTGAGTATATCCAGTATCCACACCTTGACTAAGTTTGAAAGGGATCTTTTTCGCTCAGGTTACAGCCGAGTGATAAGCTGTTTGATTGCTCGATGTTTTATAAAAAGATAAATGTGCATATATTAATAAGTATTATCTATTTTTGTGGGGATTGAGGCGGGGACATTCTCACTGATGGCTTGTTCTATTGATACAGCGAATAAACTCTTGTATTATTTAAGGAAAAAGATGTCCGACCTGATGGAAGAGAACTTGGAGAATGCAGATCAACTGTTGTTAATATAGGTAAATATTGTTACTGTATATTTGATAGACTGCTGGTGATGTACAGTATGAGAGACATCTTGAAAATTAAAACTTCTGTGTCCTAAGAAAATAAAGTCATGATGATGTGGAGTGGGGTGGGGTTGACTAGTAAACAAAGACTACAATTTACTTGCCTATTCAACTTGAAATAAACTCATAAAATGAGAAGCAACCCCTATAACCAGTGAAGATAGACAACCTCCTAGGTAGTAATCAACAATTTTATTCGTGTAGACGTTTCGGGCTATAGCGTTTCGGACTATAGGACACCTATAGTACGAAACGTTTACACAAATAAAATTGTTGATTACTACCTAGGAATTTGTCTATCTTCACTGGTTATAGGGGTTGCTTCTCTATACATTTCTATATTCATCTTCTTCCGGGGGGGTAGGATGGCCGAATGGTTAGCACGAGCACACTGTATCATAAGGCCTGTCATTGAGTCAACTGGCGTGGTTTCGCATCCCTGATTGTACGTGACAAGGAGTAGGGTCGCCTGTCCAACCTCGTGGGTTTTCTCCGGGTCCTCTGGTTTTCTCCCACTGCTAAAGACCCCTACGTGCAAGCGAATTATCGAAATAAAATTAAACCACATGTTAGTCCCGAAATGGCCTAGTTTGTGTCGAGTGGGTGTTAAACCCCATTTCTCTCTCACTCTCTATCTCTCTCATCTTCTTCCTGAACCCCTTATGTCTCGTGGAGATTTCAGTTTAGATGTCCTCCTACTACTAGTCTCCAGCTATACAAGACCTACTTTACGAGAGTTGTCATGGTCTTCCACTGCTTATTTAAACTGTTAAGAGTTTACTTTGTTGATAGTGATTTTATTATGACAAGATTTGAACACATCAGATTTAATATCACTTCATTCATTCTATCACCCAATGTTGTTTATTTTTACAGGTAGTATCACAACAGCAGAAGGTTCAGCATTAGTTAAATTAGGCAACACAACAGTAATATGTGGAATCAAAGCTGTAAGTAAATTTTAATAACATGTTTGAATGAACCCTTTTTTTATATCTATTGTATACAAACTACATGCCAAGATTTTCACAAATTTATACAAATATTTCAGGAATTAGCCAACCCTAAAGCAGACGAGCCGAAAAATGGCTATATAGGTAGGTATCTTTATATATTTATTGAACATGAGTATGTTGATACAGACTTAAATTCAACAAGAAAGAGGGGCATTTAAATCATTTCAGTGGTCAAATACCTTCAATATTAATGCAAAATCTTGATGTGACAAGAAACCTGGGTATCTTCTGATACAGTTCATTCATACATGTATATATCATTCATTGAGAAAGAAAAATTTAGCAAACACGTTAAATTTTGATTCAGAGCAATAAATATCAAAATGTTTAAGATCGATTCTTGGTGTTGAAAATGAAGTCAACAGCATGGGACGAAAAGAAAAATAGATCTCCTGTATACACATTGGGGAACACATAAAAGAACCCTTGACAGTTGGAATTTGATATAAGAATAGGTCGTACCACAGCTGTCGGGGAAATATTTGCATAGTAGCACACTGCATGACGTAAATCTTCATTGGCCCGGTTAGTACAGAAAAGTAGAACTTTAAATCCAATTTCATTTCTGAAAATTAAGTCAAGTTCAGCTCTCTGTAGTTATTCAAATGTTTATTTTCAAACTACTCAATCCTTTATAGGATTATCTTCTATGGCATTCACAGTTTGCTCTTTAAACAACGGAAATAAAAATCAAAACCTTGATGATGTTCTTATTTCAGTTCCAAATGTGGAGTTATCACCCATGTGCAGTGCCCAGTTTCGACCGGGGGCACCAGGAGAACAAGCTCAAGTGTTGTCACAATTTGTTGTTGATGTTTTACAGAAGTAAGTTCATACAAATAATTTATATTGTGAAATATATTTTGTACAAAAAAACCCAAAAAAGTAAAATTTTATTAGACTTGTTGGAAATTAACATCAATTTTATTTCTTTGTGAAATCTTCCTTTATGACACTTTTAGTTTTCTTTATAATATCATCCTTTATAATAACATACAAAATGGAAAGCACCATTAAGTTCCTTATTGTGAAGTTGTTTTAAAGTTTTGAAGTTCAAACGTTTTAGTTTCCTATAGCAAACAGACAAACTTATACCTTATACCTCTGTATAAGATGACTGACCTTTTTAAGTTCAAGTAAGCCGACGTCACACCACACATCCTCGATCATTGACTCGATGGCGCGTTCATTGTTTACATAATACGTCATGGTGTTAATTGGACCGGGCAGAATGGAGCCTTTTACTCATTTTATATAATCATTTACACTAAATTTATCTATTTTTCTAATACGTCAAAAAAAAATCTTCTAGAATTTGCAGAAGGAAAAAAGTTAATATTGACAACTCATAAAGCCATACCAATGTCATCCCTCTCAGTGATTGTAGCGGCCTAGCGATTATTCACTTTTGATCAGTGTGAAATCACACAATTAGTGGTATTCAATTCATGAAAGTCTTGTTTGTGTTGGTTTTACCTACCATGGCTTGTACTCTTGTTTCAGGTAATAGTTAATGTGATATTGTAATTAGTATTAATTTGTTTTGTCAGTAAAATTTAATACTTTGCTTGATTATTTTAACAGTTCAGAATGTATAAATCTCCAAGATCTGTGTATTGTCAGTGGAAAGGTAATTCTTAACTTTCAAATTCATAGAATAGATATTTAAAAAGCCCTGTATAACAGTAGTACAAAAACACACTTAGGTTAAAATGAGACGGGGGGGGGGGGGGGGGGTATACATCTTCATAATGTTTCGGCTTAAAAGTTCCTTTATCAATCACCCGGCACCAATTTAGTCAAATATATAAAAATGTGACTTTTTGAAGGATACGAATAAGTTTAATTTTAGTGAGATTATTGGAACAATAGATTGGAATATAAGTTATGAATATTCTTGTTTGAATTTGACCCCTAATGTTCTTAAAGTGTTCAGTGGAATTGGTAGGAGTGTTGCACAAATGTCTGTGACTGCCTTGTCCCTCCACCCAACGCCAACACCCATGGCCCATACGCTACTACTGATAGTAGCCCTGATTATAAGATTATAATAGTATTATATGTTTTTGATCACTAATGTTCTAGAAGTGTTCAGTGGAATAGATAAAAGTGCAATGTTTGTCCAAAATTCTACCCTGCCACCTTCCTGGATATAGATTACTAATAGTGTTCCTGATTATAATGATATATTACAGTTAGTGTGGATGTTACAATGTGATATGATCTGTTTGGATTATGATGGCAATGTTGCAGATGCTTGTGTTTTAAGTCTTGTATCTGCTCTTAAAAATAGTAAGTCATCACTCTCTCATTTATATTACCTGAAAGACAGAAATCAAATGAAAATGAAATGGGGTTAAAGAGCCTACTTTTCAGCACCAACCGGGATAATAAAGATGGGCATACACAATGCAGTGTGCTATGAGGAAAATTTTGCCAGGACTTCATCAAATTCCAACAGGTACACATGTCTTTGGACCTCATCTTTTGGTCCCATCCAATTAGCTAGACACTTTTGTCTTGCCAGGCTCTCTGACAAAAAGCAGACTGAAAAATGGGAAGGAACTTTCTCAACCAACACTGTGATCAAACTCAGGACTTCCTGATTAGCCAGAATCAATTTGACGAATCAATTTTCTCGAATAAATTTACTATAAATAAGTTTCATACTGTACAATGCTTTAATATTACAGCCTGTTTACCTAAAGTAACTGTAAATGAAGAAACTCAAGCCATAGAAACAGATGATAAAATAACTAATAATTTGAAAGTTCAGACCACTCCAGTATCAACTACATTTGCTATATTTGATGAGTAAGTACACCAATACAAATTGGCATATTTTCTCAAATGGCTATACATAAAAATACTTTTTGTTTTTAAATTTTCTTTTCATATGAATAAAAATTTGACTTGGGGTGGCTAATTATACCATACTCGTAGGTTTATTCAATAATTTGATTCAATGATTATATGATAACGTTATTCAAATCTGTATTACATTTTATATTATATATAAATGTGGCACACCTTGAATCCAGATAAATTTACATAGACTAAATTTTCTTTGATAATCAACAGTGACAATACACCAAAGTTACATGAATAAAGATGTTTGCCATACTTTCTTTCTGTATGACTCCAGCCACTAGAATCTTTGTGTAGATTTGGCTTAATACACATTATGCTTGAGAATGTAATATGGACATTAACAGACTTGGAATTTTTGAAGAAAGCGAAATGACTGTAGTTGAAAGATTTTCTTGGTACCATATTATTACTGGATTACACAGTATTTTGTTGACTTTTTTCAGCCATTTTGTGATTGTTGATCCAACTATAGAAGAAGAAACCTTAGCAACGGGCATTATCACCATAGTAACTAAAGAGAAAAAATTGTGCATGGTTCATAAACCAGGTAAATCATTATATAAATGGCTTATTGACAGACTTAGATCTCAGATTTTTTAAATGTATGTTTTATTATTCAGTGTTTTCTGCAGGCCATTTAAGAGTTGCAGATTGCCAATCTTAGAATTAAATTGTGTTTGTTCGTCCATTCGTCTGTCTGGCAAACTTCTTGGAACACAATAACTTAGTTTGGTGTCTGTTTTCATTATGTGAATGTCAATTTATCTTTTCTTTATTATAACCTATTAAATCTGGAAAGATTTTCAATATAGCTGGGGAATCAAACTTGAAACAATCTGGCCACATATCTTTTTCCATAGTTTCAAATTTACCCTTTGTCAGTGTGCATAAAGACTTTTTAGGAGTTCATGATTTACTTTCTTATTAAGATCTTACTCTGAAACTTCAAATTCATCCAACACTTTTCAAATTTGTGTTTTTTATTCAAGTAATGATTTAATGGAATACTAATTCTTTATTTCAGGTGGTACCCCATTGAAAGATTCTCAGATACAGCTGTGTATTGATAGAGCAATAGAAAGATCTGGTCAAGCTGCTAAATTAATAGATGAGACACAATGTTCTTTAGATAGATAATATTTCTTCCTTAACAGGTCATTTAAAATACAATTCAACACCTTCTGGGGAAACTACAATTTAAAAAGTGGAGAAATCGAAATTAAAACTTTTAAGGGTTATTCGTTGTTTATGGACTAGACAACCTACATTAATATCATTGCAGTGAGTTCATTGTTGTGCATTTAAAAAATAATGGTAAGAAAATGATATGTTAGATCAATCTGCAACATCTTCACAGCAACATTAACACATTGGGCTTGCTTGATTTGTCCGCTGATAGGCGAGCCGGTTTGTACAAGGCGTATGCCGGTCAGGTTACCGTATCAGAGAAAATCAAGGGGCCCCGGCTGATAATAAATTTGGCGTCGGATAATATTTTAATATTAAACCGGTAACATGACATGTTTTAATAACAATAGGTTGCCATGCAATGAAACATACGCCCACAGCAGCTAAAGTGTTCGTGCAGTCAACAAGAGTTGTCGCTCGCATATTTTTACTTTTTTCGGTAATGAAACATTTATAATACAATAAAATCTGATTAAAAGTAACAACTCATTAAGTAATTATCAAGTTCTGTCACATGCTAACGTTTAGAATACGAAACATTTAATATCATGGATTTAGCTGTTCAGTTATCAAAACTCATTGAAATATATACTTGTTCGTCTCAAGACCTTAAACTCTGTGTATCAATCTGAAGTCAATCGGATGATAAATTTGGCCATAACGCTGGCGGAAATTATCACTGAAAATCAATAGGCTTCTTCGTCTCATGGATGTTAGTTTTGGCCTCTAGAGCATCCACAAGCAATATAAGTAAGTGACCGCAAAATAATACAGAAAATTATTTGTAGTATTACCAACAAAAAAATAATAATAAATGACATATGAACATCTGGTTTTACGAAGCCTTAATTCAACTTTAAAGCATTTGGTTTAATTTTAACACTTTAATATTCGTGTTTAATGGCATTCCTAACTAACGTGAATTCTATCTCGTTGACATGTTCACCATCTTGCACCGGTGATCGCCGCTGCTGACAAAGCGGCACATTCGGCGTACGCTACGGACAAATTTTTGTCGACTTCCGGTTAAATCAAGTGACCTCACCGGGGAAACTGCCGAACTGTGGTCAGCTGGTATGCGCCAGAATGGATATATCAAGCAGGGCCAATGTTCCAAACAACTCTTTTACATATGATCCAGATTTCAAAACATTGGTAAATAAAATGCAAATGATGCATGATTTATGAATGTTTTAATTTGAACAGTGTGTTTTTGAAGAGAAGATAAACTAGTGCATAGGCCCCATTTCCAATTGTGAAAATACCTTGGTATAGTTACTTGGAATGGTGTAGATATTTGTATGTATGACATTTGACCTGTATCATGATATTCTGTATGTATTTCCTACATTGTAAATATGTCCATTTGAATAAAACAATTGTTTTCATAGATTGGTTCATTTTAAAAAATCTCACTAAATATGGACAATGGATACACCCGTTTAGTGCTGTGTGAAGGCACAAGAATTGTGTTTGAAGTTAAAAAGAATATTAAAGAGAACTTGAATATAAAATTGTTGTTTGACCATTAAATTGTTCAGCTTTGAAATAAATACAGCTTCACACTCAAGATAATCCAACAGGGATTCACACACACGCAATACACTGTTGGTTTTATCTTGCTACAATCAATGTTCGATGCCTGAAATATTTTTGAAAATCTGCCAGTACTTCGCAGATGTCCTATGGACCATGGAGGCAGACCACCATTAAATTTCACCATCACGGTACCCACAAATTGTACTTTGTCTATTTATAGCAATATTCTCTCCTTCTCCCCTTCTGCATGCCGATTTTTGTTGATTTTTTGGTCTAGAATGGACGAAGTGGGTTTGAATTAACATTTTCTGCCAGGTTTTGGTAAACATTCATGAATTTGAGGCAGAAGGATAACAGAATTATCAGGTTGGTTACGGTAAAATATACAGCAAATAGTTACACGTGTTTAGTTGGCTTCTTCAAGTTTGTCTATCTCAAAATTTTGGTGGTGAACCTCGCACATATTTTAGTGCAAAGACATGACCATTTGTTCCTCTGTCCTTAGTGAAAAGCATTCAGCCCAACGAAAATTATTGAAAAGTTGCAGGTGGGCAAAGAGGTCAGAATTAACATTGATGTCAATGGGGAAATTAATGGTGGCCTGCCTCCCTGTAGCTATAAATTTGTATTGGGTTATTTCCCCTAAAATTCTTACAGTTCCTCACCGACTATATTCTGAAGCAGAACTATCGTTCCGTTCTTTTTCACCCACACTATTTATTTTATTCTAATATTGATATATTAAACTTACAGATTATCTAACAGTTGGCCAGTTCCTATATACACGTTACTCAGTGTTGACTAGTTGAGATATTATTTATCGTGGGACAGAGAATTTAATTCCAAAATGAATCTTCCCCTTGCCCTATACAATTTTACATCTGCAGTGTATCACCTTATGCCACAGTGCCAAAATCACACACCCTGTTCTGCACTATCTGGGCTAACAAAGATGGGCAAACCTTACATAGAAATTGCCACGAGGGAAATGTGCCCAGACAGTGGTGTTAGTGCCTACTCTTCATCGAATTCATTTTACTGACATGCCAATGCGTACACAGAACCCGTTTTCCATACCATCCAAACAACTATTATGCAGTTACTTGCCAGGCCCTGCAACACTGACAAGTGAAAACCTTATTGGAAAATCAATGGGAAATTTTTCGGGAAACACGAGGATCAACCAAGGCTCCCCACACCCGTTAAACCTTGATCATTTATGACAATGAAACCAACACATTCTGGTATTTTGTATTTTTTTTTATTTTTGTAAAGTTCTTAGATAATGAACTCGTATGGGATGGCCTCGATCTGTTGAGGTTTGTTTGCATCTGTTCTCACAAAGAAACCTTCTTTAGGTTGGACAGCCTGCAATAGAAAAGGGTTGAAAATAATTTGACTACACATGTATTAATATCACAGTCCATTTCTTAGACATTGGAATCTATAGTCTCTAAAATTTTCAATATATTCATTTTGCATTATCGATTTTTGAAATATTATAGCAAGAACGGCTTGCTCTTTATCTAAATCTTACATAATTTATCTTTAAAGTAGCTAAGTCTCTAACTCAATATCATCCAAAATCTTCGACATTGAAAACACAATTATTTGTCAATTTAAATCAACATTGATGTTGTGATCTTACCGGGAAAAGATGGGCTTCTGATATCCAATAAATAAACATTTTACCATTGGTACACGAATCCTGTACCATAATGCGTTTCAGGCCCATTCTAACAAGGGACTCGAAGAACGAGGCTAGACATTCAACAAGTCATGTGAAACGGTGACGGCATATTCATATCGGGAGAGTGTGCATGTTATACTGCCATTAAAACAATCTATCGCAGAACACATGCACATTTTAGGACCAGTTTGGAGTTATTCATTTGAACCCAAAATATTTTTTCTTTCAACAGATCTTTTATAGTAGTTAAGATAATTCACATCAAATTTGTCCACAGAAAAATCAAACCATAGAATTACCTGTCTTTTAAGTTGTGGCTTGGGGAGTTTGTTTTTCTTTGCTTCTTCAATCAATTTCTGATTTAATTTAACTCTAGCAATAAAGTCTTCTCGGCATTTTGAGGGTTTCACATGCTCAATTCTTACTGAGATTTTCTTGGCAATGATTCGTTGACTAAAAAAATAATTAAAAAAATAATTAAAAAATACCAAAATTTTAATAATATATCAAAGAAACATTTTATAACACATCTTGGCAAAAATTTAAATTGTTCTTCCATATCAACAAAAACAATCAAATATTCATTGATTAATTGGTATTTCTAAAAAAATATCTGTTATGTTGGTAGATTATAGAACTGGACCCTGTTTCACGAAATCTATACTAAAGATAAAATCCAAATTTCAGTAGATACTTAAATTTTGATTGGCTAAGTAAGCACTCAAATCAATCAAATATTATCCAAGCAAATTACTAAAATTTGGATTTTATCTTAAAATTTCGTGAAACAGGCCCCAGAAGTATAACAAAGCCAATACTAAGACTAATGTTCCTCGTCTCAATCCCAAAATATGTAGAGACACTACTTAATTACTTGCACTTTCATTTCTTATTAAGCAAGCCTGGAAATAAGGCACCTGTCACAGACATTGTCAGGCACAGATTCAGACTTTGTCAGGCACAAAACCTTTGGTGCCTGTCATTTTGTTGGGCACTGATTTGTCTTTTTTATTGATATTATTAATACATGTCGGGCACTAAGTTGAAAATGTCAGGTACTATTTCATTAGTGCCGGACATTTTGTCAGGTACATCTAAAACCGTTATTTCCAGGCCTGAAAGCACCTAACAATCAAACTGCTTATTAAGCTGCTTAGTGAGCCATCTCTTTACTCACTTAAGCAGTGGACATATTAGCCGAATCATTCGGCCGAATCGGTGCCAAATGGGTGGACACACTAGGCGAATGCTTCACTCGATTGCATCACCTTTCACATCACATGATTAAACATGGCAGCAACCATGTCTTCAAACAATCATGTGACTTCTCGATGTGACTGGATGATGAGTGGTGATTGGCTAATGAATTCTACATTCGGGCAAATGCTTCAGCGAAATGGACACATCAGGCGAATATATCAAAAATGTTTGATTTGGGCGAATCATTCGGCTGAATGACAGTGGATACACTAGGCAGATTTTGACTAGTGTGTCCACTGCATTAACAACCGTGGATCCCAATAGTGCAATGGGACGTTGGACTGGAATCATCAATAATATAGGTTACTTACCGTACTCTCTTGTTAACAATAACACCAAGAGCTCGTCTTGCTACATTAAAAACTTTACCAGTTTTACCATGATAAAACTTATGTGGCATACCCTTCTGGATTCTTGGATCAGCCTAAAAAAAAACAACAAATGGTCATGTTTATCAATTCTTTGATATAAATGGATTTGTAGCCAAATTACCAAATCCTGGTACCCAGAAACTTGAAGGTCAATATCCGTGGTAGGGTTCACATCAATGGCTGATTTTATTACTATAACCTTAGTCTCTAGAGTGCCCGAAAGCAATTTTGGATGATCTGGCACACGAACCGATCGATATACAGGGGTGACCAGATACATTCTCTTAGATTGTGTATATTTGTTTGAGCACTAATTATTTTCAACACGTACCCAAAAGATGTTACCTAGATGTAGGCTTTTTTCCCCTATGTATCAATGCACTGGTACTTACAAAGCTTTCATATAATAATTGTTGTAAATCTGGAAAATTTTAAGAATGAGAGCTTGCTCCAATGATATGAATTTAACTTCTAAAAACTTTGCAAATAACTCTTAACTTCACTTACTTTGATATCAACATAATCACCACGTTTGTATACGTGCATATATTTCGAGGTGGAAACCACACCCCGTTTCCTGAAGGGGCAGGAAAGAAGCCGTCTTGTGCCTGCTCGGATACCCATCTTTTACGGTCTAAAAATACAAAAATAACAATTAAAACATTGCATGCATAAATACAATCATACATTATATCTAACCTTTCCACGATTTCTGTCATATCATTACATGACATTCATGTAATATACATTGCAACCCTTGTCTCTGGATTAATTTTACTACAACTTTTAGCTTCTGTTTGTTAAATGTTAAAAAGTTTATTTCTTTGGTCATTGAACTTGATGTACACTTTGCGAAACAGGTCCCAACTTTGGCTACGAATTAAACACTAATGATAGTAATGATACCAAGGTGTAATATCGCTTTGTATTATGATTCTTATCGACTTGCCAAATTACTTTGAATTAAGTGGAGATGTCATGTGACAGTTCAATCGATTTCAAAGCATTTTTGTGAGTTTATTAAATGTGCAGTTTAAAAAAACATGATCACCCAAGGTGATTTGGGTTAATCGATGCGGAAATCGGTGTTAATAAATTTGTTGATTAGGGTAATCAATTCGAATTAGATGGACAATAAAGATGAAAATGTGATTGAATGCAAATCACTTTGTCAAATCAGTGGCCAATAAAAACACTTTGACAGCATTTGCATACGGTACATATTTATGATATTACAATTAGTCAATTACATTTACAATGTATTTAATGTAATTATTTACATGGCAATGCAATGTATTTTAAAATCTTATTATACTTTGTCACTTCCCATCCAATATCATCATTAAATATTAAATTCACGGAAATTATATGCGCATAAAGAATGTAGAGAAAATTGCGTTCAGTATTCGGATGATTGGGACATTACGTGTATGAAGTTTAGTCTGTTTCTGAAGTCAACATGACGGTTAATTTGCATGCAGAACTCACAAACCACGTGTGAGAACAAGTAAATACAATAATTTGGGTCGGGGACTGGTAACAGTTTTTTCTTTTAATATTTGATTTGTAAAGCAACATAAAAGTATTCCAATTCTTTTGGATTTGTGGATATAAGTAAATAATAAAAGGGTGTAATTCAGGTTTATTTCAGAAAAACATTGTACGGGCACCTGCCTTGAGAATGGCCGACTATTGAAAGAACGTTGAACGAGAATCGACGAGACTTGTGAATTATTTTCAATATTGTGGATATATCGGAAAAATACACTAAAGATAGTTTTAATATGTCTCATAATGTTCTTTTCTATCTGGTTTATTCAGAATATTTGGGATTACATTTTATTTGAGAAAAAAAAAAATGTTTTCCCGAAAGTCACTTTCAAAACAATATGGCGGAGAAAATTGCAATGGAGTATTCGTGTTGTGTTTAATGCCGATGTTATGAGTAACATAACCTAAATGTAGTGATAACATAACATAAACTATTGGAATCCCGTTGAAGATGGTATGTTGCAAATATATAACACGCTGACATTCAAGCCACTGCATAGTTAAACGTTAAAATGAATTGAATTTACCTGACCCTAATCGGTGAAAATTTTCATTTTTGTTTACGAACAAATTACATGTAAATAATAATTCTTACGACATAGGAATATTCTGGGTCGATATGCGATTACGTCGATGGTGTGGACTTAATGCATTTTATTGTTCTATTCGTTCTGAAACTGTCATTATATTTTTGTACATTTCCCCACATCTCTGTTTCTCAATAAAATTACTTAGGGATAAATCATAAACTAGTATTATTATAACTATAAAGTTGATTCGAACATCTCAAGGAGAAACAGTGTAGTCCGGTGTCCGTATACTCATACCACAAAGGACACATGTTCATTTTCCATTTGCCTTTTTCTAGCTACCATTTTTCTTGCACAAAGCCTCAAAGAATGTATAAATTGTAGCAGCGGACAAGACAAGATGCTGTTACAATATTCAATATTGCAGCAACATTTTTGCCAGTTGTTGTGTGAATTTTTTGAATGTTTAAATTTCCATCTGAAACAAAAAGGGGAACATTGAAGAGCTTTTTTGCATGGGTGATTGTCTATATAAGATAATAAACTTAATATTTCAAATTTGGATCATATTTATAGCTAGATAACGCTTTAGATCAATGTAATTAATTTCATTTGTTACTATCTGGCTTCCTATTTATGTGTTAATACAACTCAACTCTCACTACATTAAAAAAAATTTATTATTAATCCATTACAATTAAATAGGTGTTTATTTAACAATACTTGAGTGTGTAACAGTGTAATTAACGATAAGTTAGATGTACCATCAACTGCTATTACAATAACAAAAGGGATGAAACAACCCGATCAAAAAATTTGTTGGGTTGAAACAGCCCAGGGTGAAACAGTGTTGGAATGAAATGACCCGCACCCAAAAATTTAGTTCAACAGTTTTGATGGCTTCAGTGGCATTATACACTATACCATCTTTCAATGGTTTGAGAATGCACAAATGCTATACATGTAGATGTTTTTCCAGGAGATGGCCAGGCCATTTTAAAAAAAAAAAAAGAATTTTTTGTATGCAGGTTTTTGACTCACTTCAACAAAGATTTGTAGGTCATGATTATAAAGGACCATGATAAAATAGACATCTCTGAGTATGGTATGTTCTTTGCTCATCCACCTGGTAAAATTGTATATTATGCAAGTCGGTGTAGTGTATGGTACATACACCTGTATATGTAAATATTACAAATTCTTGTTGAGGTTCACAAGGGGATTTCTTCAAGGGGTGACTTGCATATGTACCTCTCCAAAGTTGCCTTTAGTGAGGCTCAAAGTACTCATTGAATTTTGAATTCTGCCATTGTTAACACTATATAATCAGTTTCCATACCAAATACAAAAATTTACATTTAGGCTAACCCTTTCATTTGTACTATTTAGGGAGCCAATGCATCACAACTCGAGAAGGAAATTGGATCGGAGCAGTTTCCGATTAATGAACATTATTTTGGGTTGGTAAATGTAAGTAAAATTTCTATAGTATTTTTATTACTACTACTGTAGTCTACATGTATATGAAATAATTGTTATTTACTATTAAAAATATGACAAGTGAGAAAGAAATAAATTAAATATTTTAACCACATGTGAACAGGTTATTAATGGCATGTTGCAAACTTCCTGTAAGCCACACCAAATACTTATCTTATAGGCTGTTCAAAAGGATTTGATTCATAAATTGAGTTAATTATTACATGTATCTCAGCAATATATAGTTGATGATATTGTTGTATAGTACTATAAATAGACAGAGATTCTGAAAGAACTAAACTCTCTCTCTATTTAGGTTCAGGACTCATTATCTTCTTTTTACTTGGATTATAAAGAATATCTCACAAATGCATCCCTGTATAGATCTCAACTTGGGGTTGGGTTTTAAATGGTTTGTGTAAACCACATGCCGAGAACTTTTTTTTTTAACAACACTTCCTGCATAGGGTAAACAAAAATTGTTATTGATCACCTAAAGAACCAAGAGATTATGGTTTGATTAATTTTATCATGTGTATTTATATGTATTCTTGATTTCTCGTTTACAGTTTGGTAATACCTGTTATTGTAATTCTGTCCTCCAAGCGTTGTATTTCTGTCGGTCATTTAGAGAGAAAGTTCTACAGTATAAACAGCTACAGAAAAACCAAAAGAAGGAAACATTGTTGACATGTTTAGCAGATCTGTTTTTTAGTATAGCCACACAGAAGAAAAAAGTAGGCACCATTGCCCCAAAAAAGTTTATTACTCGATTAAGAAAAGAGAATGGTTAGTATTCTTTATAGCATTTCAAACCTGAGGCCTGTCATGTACATGTTGGCATGCATGCACATAATGAAATCCTTGACAGCGCACTATTATAGCATACTGGATGCCCATCTTCATTAGTGATGTTGGTAAACTCCATTTCCTTTCATTTATTACTGACTTAAAATGAAAACTAAATTCAAAGACACATTGAATTGATATATATTTATATTTTTCAGAACAATTTGATAATTACATGCAACAAGATGCCCATGAGTTTTTAAATTATTTATTGAATACAGTAGCTGATTTATTACAAGGTAATTATACAGTTTCCAATGTTTAAAACATTTTCAGTTTTCATCAATGATTATACTGTAGTTTGTGTTGTATATGACTGGGGATTGTAACAAAATACATAAAACAATGGTATACGATGTAATAGATATGTTTGAAAATCTTCAACGATATGTATGTCTTGGAGGTTCCGAAAGATCTAACACAATTATAACGTCTGTCATTGGTCAATTCCCAATTTGTGTGTTACAAGGAGGAGGATCGCCTGTCCTTCCTGATGGGTTTTCTCCGAGTCCTCTGGTTTCCTTCCTTTGCTAAGGACTCTTATTTGCATAATATAATGAATTATTGACATAAACTGGGACCATATGTTAATACCGAAATGACCTAGTTTGTATCACATTGAAGTTAAACTCTGTTTCTTTCCCTCTCTCTTGGAAAAAGAACCACTACTACCAGTATGAAATAATTGATGTATTCTTCATAGTGAATTATGACTAAGTTCAATTTTCAGACAGTGAATAATTTGTTTGTTGTTAACCAAATTTCTGTTTGTGAGAACATATTTATATAAGCATTTCACCTTTTTTTATGTTACAGCTGAGAAACAGGGTACGAAACCTAAAAACAGTTCAGGAGATTCTAAAGCTAAACCTGATCCAACATGGGTACATGATATATTCCAGGGAACATTAACCAATGAAACTCGGTGTTTAAATTGTGAAACAGTAAGTTCTATATTTATTTGTCTTGCGTAAATCATTATCGCGGGAACTTTGATTCAGTAGGGCCTATATTTTTTCTAATCTAGGAGAACAACTACAAATTTCGACAAGATAACGGAACAATAGTTAGCCCATTTCAAAGACATAAATGCTAGAAGCAAGTGATCACAGAATGAATTAATCAATTGGATGCATCTTTTGTCAGACAAATGTAGATATCCATTGGGTTACTATTTTGATTATTAGAAACATCACTTTAAATAAGTTGTATGTAAATTTCTACTTCAGGTGAGCAGTAAAGATGAAGATTTTTTGGATTTATCTGTTGATGTTGAACAGAATACGTCCATAACTCATTGTTTAATAGGTTTCAGTAATACAGAAACACTTTGTGCTGAACATAAATACTACTGTGAAGTCTGCTGTAGCAAACAGGAGGCACAGAAAAGGTAAATAATACAATGTGATTAGATAGAATACAAACACCCCAGTCCTGTTACCAGACAAATGATTGTAGTTTGGACAGTGTTAAACATACCAGGGGCACATGAGACTGGGACATTGACTCCTCCCCCCTAGTTTCTCTTTAATTGTGATACTTCAGCAGAATATTTTGCAGATTTTGGAGAGAGAAAAGTTTTTTTTGTTAAACAGTATATATATTAAAGTAAAATTTAATTTCAAAGAGAAATGTCATATTTGGCTACTCCTTCCGTTGAAATTTTTCTGTCTATAAATATATGGACATACATCATAATATTATCACAGCTTTTCCTTCTACCATAATAAAATCTTTAATAATTGTGATGTTTACTTTGATAGCATTCACTATTTATTGTACATTTGTTTCAGAATGCGGGTAAAGAAATTACCACAGATTCTGGCATTACATTTAAAGAGATTTAAATATATGGAACAACTGAGTAGATATATTAAAGTTTCTTATAGAGTTGTCTTTCCTTTAGAGTTACGCTTATTTAATACAGTAAGTATCTATATACTCAATTTTATGAAACCTCAGCTCAGAAGTTAGGCAGGTAATAAAAGAGTACCTTGGTCATTATTTTTGTCATCAGTTGTTTTTTTTTTTAATGAAAAATGAGCTGCTATTAAAGGTAACTCTTTGCACTAGAGACCTTATTCAAGAAAACATAAATAATTTAAAAATGCAGCCCTTTCTTTGGACAGATCTAAAACTTGTGATATGATCACTATATACCAAAAAATTCAGAAAAACACCCTAAATATCACTAACAACACTAATTATTGTATATAGAGTTTTTCAGATTTTTTCAGTACTTGTTTGATATTGTTCAGTCCTCTTTTTTTGTCTTTTTATGGTACTTTTTGGATTTTTATATTGATATCATGAACTATAATAGAGTCCTCTATAAATTATACAGAAAGGCCTGACTCACAACCACTCTCATATTAGCTGGTGCTCAAGGGGTCTAAGGCATGTATTTAGATCATAAGGTCTGTCATTGAGTAAAGTGGCATGGTTTCGATTCCCAGCTGGTATGTGACAAGGAGTAAGGTTGTGGGTTTTCTCTGGGTTCTCTGTTTACATGATAATACATACTATTGATGTTATATTTCAGTCTGATGATGCATGTAATCCTGAGAGAATGTATGATTTAGTAGCTGTTGTTGTACACTGTGGTAGTGGACCTAATCGTGGTCATTATATTAGTATTGTTAAAAGTCATGGTTTCTGGTTATTGTTTGATGATGATATTGTTGATGTAAGTACAACACTACGTTCTATATACAATACATGCTGGACACCGTACTCAAGTGCCCATGGGGAGTAAGGATTGCTGGATCACTAAATCTGGTCGTCCAGGGTCTGATTCTCAGGATTTTCCAGTACGATTTCCTCCTATCAATGGGTTGGGGAGGTCAGAGGGCCCAACTAGGAACACTGTTTAGTTATTCGAATGGAACATAAATCAGAGTCCCATTGGTATAGTTGGAAATATAAATACAGGTAGTCTGTAGCACAAATTTCCTGACAAAATATCTCTCATGGCACACTATCTGGTGTACTTCCATCTTATTCGATTATCTATGCTCTTTGATATATCATGGCATTTCCATGTGAATGCAAAATGAAATGAAATGGAGTTTTAACGTCTTACTGTTCGGCTCCAACTGGGCTAAGGAAGACGGGGCATAAGAAAGCAGTTTGTTCTTACAGTAAGTACATGTAACTGAAAAGTCAGTATTAAAAACAACTACATCTGCCATTGACTGTAATTCTTCATGTACTATTTGGTACAGTAGAGATTACTTATGTACTTTTCCTCCTCAGTTAATAGATTTATAATCTTATCAACCAATCTAACAAGACTATTATACTGGAAGTTAGAAGGCTGGTAGAGTGAGACTAATAATATTGTACAGGCTGGACGAGGGAGACTAATTATTGATATTTATTATTTCAGAAAATTGAAGCAAGTCAGATTGAGGAGTTTTACGGGATTCCGTCAGACATGCAGAAGAATTCTGAGTCTGGTTATATTTTATTTTACCAGAGTAGAGAATAACTAGTGCTGACTCTCGAAAAAATCTCCTTTTCTTAGATCTTATATTTTAAATGTTTCCAATCACAAGCTCTGAGAGAGTATCACTTTTGTTGTAAGCTTATATTGATACAGTTTTTCACTCTAAAATTATACTGTCCCTCAGGTTTATGAGCACACTATCCCTGGGTTAAACTTATACTATCCCAGGTTTAGAATCACACTATCCCTGGGTTAAACTTATACTATCCCAGGGTTAGAAGCACACTATCCCTGGGTTAAACTTATACTATCCCAGGTTTAGAAGCACAGTATCCCTGGTTTAAACTTATACTATTCCTAATATCATACTATACCCATGATAGCAACATATCTCTGAGTATTATGACTTGAGATGGCTTCTTGTTGAGTTTAATTTATAATGCTCACACCGATTGTACATTGTTCTCAGTTAGGATTATCTCATGGGATGGGTTAGTTAGAACTATCTCATTGGATGAGTTAGTTTGGATTATCTTTCGGATGAGTTAGTTAGGGTGCCCCACACAGCCAGAAATGGGCTCTAATGATAATTGAAGTTGAAATGACTTCAGGTCAATTGCACATTCACTATAAGTATTAGACTGGATTCACCTTTTAATAGCCGTTTGTCTACGCATCTATCAAATAAAAAAGCCCTAAATGTGAACACCTGACATTAATATTTGAAATATCTAATTTTTTTCAATTGACCGTTTTATTAACTATGCATGTTTTGATTTAGTAGATTTTATATTTCTGAAGATTCGTTAAATGTAATGGCATGTAACACAATTTGTACTGAATAATGGCTGTATACTGAGCTACCAGTGCATACACAATTACTGTCTAATTTAAATATATACAACTTATTAAATACATCATGACCATTCATTTAGTTGTGATAAATGAGTTAAACTAAGGTAAAGCTTTTGGTATGCATCAATATATTTGGAGATTTTTATTGTTATTATGGGGCACCCTTGTAACAGACTAAATATATAAGTTCTTTTCTTTGGAATTCATTGGAGTTGTTAAACACCATTGACAAGAACTCAAAATATGATTAAGCTATTGAGAAGTCATGCCAAAACTATTTTAATGTATACTTAATTTCAATCGTAATGCACATTAAAATATAAAATAAAGATAAAAATATGAAAATTTGAGACCTTGTGAATATAAATATTTTATGATGTTGATATTGTATTGAGTGAGTTGTGTATATTAACTACTGTTTCTGGAACTGTGATTATCACATAGCTACTGTGTTAGGGACCATCTCAAAATTTCAGCACTTGCGTCTAAACAAGTAACCCGTGGAACTGGGTTGTAAGGTGGGTTTAATCACACTGTGAATAGAAAATGATTTAAATTAAATGTTAATTATTTAACGTTGTATCATGAACAGAAATATATCGGCATTTTCTTAATCCCTTGGCACGGATTATCTTTGGGGAGGGTGGGTCAAGATCTATCCATGGGTTATTGGATGCAAGTTTTGGTATTTTGCGCCAGTCCCTTATAATCATCTATATAACAATATTTATACTGGTAATATAAACTGTGATTATTACCATTGATATACTATGATATACCAGTTAATTTCTTTTGCTCATATGAACTGATTAATAACAGAAACTAGATATAACATGACGGATACAAAGAACAGGACTTGTCACAATATCCACTTTATATTTTTGAAGATGGTTGAATAATAACACTGCATTTCATGAACATTTTTAGATATTTAATGTTTAAGTGATAATTAATTTTTATGTCTAGTCCATTTGTTACGAAAACCAAAAGTTTGAATGAGGAAATAAATTCTGTGTGACTGATGTACTTCTCATCTAAATTAACATTTAACTTTTATTCTGATCAGAAAGCAAATATTCTCCATTGTATAATATTTGAAAGGCATTTAGCAATTTAACATGACATAACACAACATAGTTCCATGGATAACAATCACTATATTATATACAAGATTTCACTGGTCGTTCAAGCTTACAAAATTACAAAGCTTGATAACAACTACCATTTGTGAAATATTATCGAAATGTTTTGTGTATCTCTAATATAAAAGTGGAAAAAGGATGGGAAGCACTGCTATATTATATAAACATAACATTTTGACAAGAATTAACTAATTGTTATCATTTGTTGAAATACAGATGTGACGTCATCCATTGTGTTGTTTCAATTTATTACGTAATGTCTCGCGCTCGACCATTAAACCACACTTATCGACTAGTAAAGTCGAGTGTGTATATAAGATAGTGACTGTTATCCATACTTCTGTGTTGTGTTATATCATGTATACAAAATAAAAATATAATCAGTTCATGTTAAGTAAGAATAGCAACAGGTTTTGTCAAGATATTTTATTATAGATTTTACACATTATTTGTACTGTAAATAATCATTTATTTCTATATTACATAGAAAACATTTTTATGCACGTCTTTATCAGCAAATGTATTTATAAACACATGGATACTCTTGCATATTAGATTGGTTGATATTGTAAAAATAATTATTCTGGGGAGTTTTAGTGGAAGGTATTATATTTTTACCAAATATAGAACTGGTTGAAGTTGAACCCTTATGAGTTAACCAATTTAAATAAAGCTAATAATTCAATTTAAATTGACTTAACTGTTCACGCTAATGAGAAATGCTAGAAAATTTCAAATATTTACCATTTTTAATTTATACCTTCTGCACATTTGATTAATATTATCTTAAATGTTATTAATAGCTTTTCGTATGCAAAAACTATACAGAATGATTGGACTTGGGTGATAATTATCTAAACTCGAAAAGGGTAATATTGTTCTGCTTTTGTTTTTAATGGTAAATGCAGGGGGACTGCACCACACACAAACAAATATACAAGACAAATCTACAGACTAGACACAATATACAGACATCACAAACAACAAACATACACGCACACATCAGATCGAGTGAATTCATCCGAGGGCTAATCGTAGGTGTCTACTGAACTGTACAGTCCCGGATCTGTAAAGTATTACATCTAATATTTGTCGGTAAATTTTTTACCACTGAAGAATAAAGGTCCATGTCGATTTAAGTCTCTGTGCGTTATTTGAATTTTCAGGGAAATATCAAATTTTACACAACTTTTTAAAACTGACTTGATTTAAAAGAGGCTTATCAATAGATTTTAGCGAAGATTATAGGTGGCATTTGCTTTGGACCATATCCTGTGTAATATGCCGATTGTTGACAAATTTTCAATTTATCATAACTTTGAACCATTTTTGGACAAATATTCCTTTTAGAGATATTGTAGTATAAAGCGTGCATGTTAGATCATAAGGTCTGTCATTGAGGCAAGTGGTGTGGTTTTGACTTCCTGCTTGTTTGTGACAAGGAGTAGGGTTGCTTATCCAACTTTGTAGGTTTTCCCAGGTTCTCCCACTGCTAAAGACCCCTACATGCAAACTAATTATTAAAATAAAATTGAACCATATGTTAGCCCCGAAGTGACCTAGTTTGTGTCAAGTGGACGCTAAACCCCATTTCTCTCTCTCTCAAATGATGTTCAGAGACTTTTAAGAAATACAACCTAAATTCAAAGTGATGAAGTATTCTCAATTTGCAAAAATGTAACTGGGGTTTTAAGATTTAATTTAAGAATGTAGTATAATGCTGTAAAAATTTATTAAATTCTTTTTGTATTAGTTGCATTCAACTAGTTATAATGAAAAGTTGAAAACATGGACTAAACTTATTTTAGATCATATATAAATTAAGAGTCTATCATGTTTATAAAACATTTGAAAATCAGGTTTTAGAAAGATTGTTATAATTCGTAAAACCAAAATTCAACAAAACCAATGTACATATATATCATAATTGGAAATGAACAAAGTTGTGAAGCTTGGTATACTTTCACATTTCAAAGCTTTTGTCTTAGTTTGCAGTTTTACTTCCAATTTGTGTAGAAGGGTAACATTATCATAAAGAATATTCTAAGTTAAAATTGCCGTACATGTATTTGTTTTTTTGATCTGCTTATATTTGCAATACAATTTTATAGCCATTGCTTATGCTTCATAATTGTAAATATCAAAGAGTTGTTTAACATTTATGTAGAAAATTTATATCAGGCAAAAATTGCATTTAAAGACAAATTTATTCATCAGACAGTTTCTGTTGTTAGACATGCCTGATAAATAGTATTTAGCAAGACACGTGTCATAATTGTGATAAAAATCATTAAATGCATATCAATACAATTATTGTATAGATTTATTTACATTATTATTAGACAACTTGTATTTCTTGAGATATTTATACAGTAATATTAAATGTGTCTAAAATAGAATATTTATTATTAAGATTCTATTTCAGATATAATAATCAAATTGCACAAAGATAAATATGTTATTATATTTACATTTATTCAAAAATGAAACAATGAATACCCTATCTGCAAATTAAGACCCTATCTGCGAATTTGTTGAAAGTTCTCATTTAAAATTCCTACATCATTGGAGATATTAATTCTGATAATTTATCATGTTCAAGAAGAGCACTTTATATAAATAGCTTTGTTCTAGATTTGTTCGGAGAGCTTACATCATTATGTGTTATTTTAAATTGCGTAAAATGAAAGACATCTATGTTGTTGATTTGTAGGCTTATTAATGGAGATATTTAAATAAAAAGCCTGGCATATTGTTTTGTTTTAGTTTGTTATGTTAAGATACAGCCAAGCTTGTCCTTATCTTATCTATATATGTAAAGAAATTGTAATAATAATAAATGTTGATAGAGATATATAAAATACTTGTACATGGTAAATTAAATGTTTTTTAAATCTGATTGTTATAAATATCTTTACAATCATACAATATTCTCTTGTTTTCATTTACACTTGTTGGGAGATATGGTGGCACAGTGTGTATGGTGCAGGCCTGATGATGGCAGAGATAATTCATTAGGATCCTTCAGCTTTTCTTTTAAGCTTGGGGGTTCGGGTGGTCTAGTGCTTTAACACGTGCACATGACATCACAAGGTCCTTCATTGAGTCAAGTGGCATGGTTTTTAACTCCGTGCTTGTACGTGACAAGGAGTAGGGTCCCTTGCCCAGCCCCGTAGGTGTTCTCTGGGTCCTTCGATTTCCTTCCACTATTAAAGACCCCTACCGAGAAAATTCCTTAGGATCTTTCTGCGTTGTTTCTTCTCACTTGGGGGGTGGGTGGTTTAGCACGTTCACATGAAATCACAAGGTCTGTCGTTGAGTCAAGTGGCATGATTTTGATTCCCCACTTGTACGTGACAAGGATTATGCTCCCCTGCCCAGCCCCGTAGGTGTTTTCCGGGTCCTTCCGTTTCCTCCCACTGCTAAAGACCCCTACACGCAAGTGAGTTATTGTAGTCTTTCTGATGGAATGGAATACTGTGTGCAAATTGACATGCGTGGAAAATTACCCTTGACAATTGAAATTCAATAAATTACCCTCACATGCCACTATATGGCGTATGCGAGGCTTGGTTGGTGCTGGAGGATGTTAAACCCCATTTTGTTTCTTTTCAATTTACATTCCTTCATGGTGTAGACTATTCGATTGGGGTCACCAAAGGCCTGGGCCCCGAGTTCACAAAGCATTGTCAGTAAGTAAGAATTTACTCAAAAGTGTTCGCCTTATTTTAACTAAAGTATAGCTCTTTATAAAACTCTTGTTGTTTTAATGTATCAAATACATCAATAAGAAACTATGTGCAAAGTTTTGTGTTTCTGGATCAAAGATATTTCTCATCAACAGTGCTTGAAAGTTGAGTAAATTCTTAACTTAAGTCTGAGAATGCTTTGTGAACTCCAGGCCTGACTATATAAGCAAGAGCTATACCTCAGATGTTCTGTGATTCAGGGAAACTCCATTGTGGTATTGATTCAGCTGTGGTGAACTCTGCTAAAGGTCACCAGAAAAGCATCAATTTTTTATTAAAATAATGCAAGTAATTATGTCAACATATCCTTTCCATAAGTATAACCCGAACACGAATGTCAATATTACCTGCTCATATTCTAGTCTATATTTTTATGTGCAGAAGGACTAAAATGATCGCACGGATTGCTTATTGACGGAAAGTTCTGACCACCCACGGAGAACGGCGGAAATTACTAATGTTGAAATTTACCTGTTGCAGGTAATATTGAGATTCAGGTTCGTGTTATACTTATGGAAAGGATATGTTGACATAATTACTTGCATTATTTAAAAAATTTATGAACCTTTTCCAGTGACCTTTAAATGGTACATGTAACCCTACTGTTTGTCACATACAAACTTGGGTCAAACCTATGCCACTTGATTCAATCACAGCATCCTATGACCTAAAGTGCATGCTTTAGACCACTTAACCACCCAACCATCTGTCCTCCCCCCACACCTCCTCCTCTTTAAAGAACAAATCAACATGAACAAAACAAAAGTTTAATAAATTTAATTGACATGTAGAATGATACAGGCACATAGTAAATACAGTGAGTGATATAGCGGTATGGAATGACCAAATAATACATTTAAAATTTACATCTACTGAATACAGACTAGAAAATTGTTTGATTAATTTAAAAACGGCCAGAGCTATAATCATTAGGAAATACAAAACTATGTGATCCAGTTCCCATAACTTTTGGTAGTCTTCCAGCATTGGGTATTACATTCCAAGATAATGTTAGTGTTACATTCTGGTTTCCTCTGAAATTAAAGAGATGAGTATTAAAGATAATGTTAGTGTTACATTCTGGTTTCCTCTGAAATTAAAGAGATGAGTATTAAAGATAATGTTAGTGTTACATTCTGGTTTCCTCTGAAATTAAAGAGATGAGTATTAAAGATAATGTTAGTGTTACATTCTGGTTTCCTCTGAAATTAAAGAGATGAGTATTAAATAAATGGATAGAGTATATCTATTTTTAGGTTTTATATTGGGTCCCATTTCACAAAGCAAACATAATGCTTATATTGTATGAAAATTATCTGTACGTAACTTGAACATGTGCTTTATGAAACCGGCACCAGGCTCTATCTGGCGTTATGAACATTATACATTTGAATCCTATGCAAACTACTACATTGTGGAAGTGGTATCTCTAAAAAGAAATATCAGTCCAAAAATGGTTCAGTTTTGTTCAGAATTTACAAAGATATGATGAATTGAAACTTGTCAACATTTAACATCCACTGTAGACTGTATACAAGTATAGAATACTGTCAACACAAAACAGAGCCACCTATGATTTTTGCTGAAATTTGTTGATGGGCCTCTTTTCAATCCAAGTCCTTCAAGATTTTCTTGTGGTTTTCCCTTGTCAGTTGTGCAGGACGGTGGATCTGGCAAGGAACATAACCCTTGGCAGTTGGGATATGGAGGAGAGTAGGCAGAAATACAGTTTCCCTAATATCGGGTTGGTGCAGGAAGCTAAGACAAGTTACTTTGAACAACTAAGTCAACTTACTTTAAACCATGAGCATAATCCCAGAAATAATACTTTGTGTTGGCATTCTTCAGATCAAACACAGCATTATTACCTCTCTCAACGATCTTATCCCATAAAACAACTTGATTTAGTTTCTGAAATATAGAAATCTTGAATTAACAAACTGCAATATATCAGATAAAGAAAGAGATTTTCCATATTACAGGTGACTGTGTTAATAAGTGGGGAGAAAATGGGGTTTAACGTCCACTCCACACAAACTAGGTCATATCAGGACTAACATATGGTTCAACTCTATTTCAATAATTCGCTAGTGTGTAGGGGTCTTTAGCCGTGGGAGTAAACCAGAGGACGGAGAGAAAACCCAAAAGGCTTGACAGGTGAGACTACTCCTTGTCACGTACAATATACAGCTATGATAATGACTAGAGAAGCCTAGTCGAACCGTCGCTCAGTAATAAGCAGTAATTGTATTCCATAGAATTGTGACCTGTATACTCTAGTTCAATTACTAAATGCCATTGAAATAGTTTGTCATGTACAAGCAGGGAATCGAATCCACACAACTTGACTCAATGACAGACCTTATGGTCTAATGTGCATGAGTTAGACCATTCGGCCACCCAACCGACCAGCAGGAAACAAGTATAAATGAATTGCTAAACTTACATATACGAACATAATAGACTTTGGACATAATACTTAGCCTCAGATTATTTTGAAAGAGATTTCCTAATATGTTGGATCGGAACTTGTATGTGTGTATATATAGATAAAGTAATAGAACTTACATGACTTTTAGTTTCATATTCAGCAGTTAAATATAAAAACAGTTGTTTTACATTCCAGTTAAATAAAGGTGTTAGATGTACTAGTTGTTAAAGATCGTAATTTTACTACATCACATTCATATGAAATGTGGGCCCCTACATGTAGATTTCAAATAATACTTGATAAATAGAGTGAGAGAAAAATGGCGTTTAACGTCCACTCGACACTAACCAGGTCATTTCGGGACTAACATATGGTTTAATTTTATTTCAACAATTCGCTTGCGCATAGGGGTCTTTAGCACCCGGAGAAAACCCACGAGGTTGTACAGGCAACCCTACTCCTTGTCATGTACAACCAGGGAATCAAAACCACGCCAATTGACTCAATGACAGACTTTATGATACAGCGCGTACACGCTAACCATTCAGCCATCCAACCCCCACTTGATAAATAAGACAGGATCATAGTATGTAATAGTCACATGTGACCAGTACTTTTTATAACTACACCACATCACTGTTGCATGCTGCATTCTGGCAGGCACTGACACATAAACTTGTTTTCAAAATTTAAAACTTAATTCTAATTATCAAAAAAATGACTATACAGTTTACAAATTCCTAAAGTGATTCAGGAAGAACACTCTAAATTCCCATCCGCACATTGTTAAATGCTGAAATTTGATTAGACAATAAATCTGATAATTCCAATAACTACTGAATTACAATATGTTTTGTTTTTATCAATTTCCCGAGAAGTAACTTTTCTATAGAAATGCATCATTTGAGAAAACATAGAATCTGTGTACATTAATAAGTCAGATTTCTAGTTTTTATGAGAAATGTTCTTAATTTTTAATAACCAACCCCAACAACTACTAAGATTAGATCTGTCCACTACTTATGTGTCACAAAATTTCAAATAAAAAAATATGTTAATAAAATTTTAAAAAAGAAATAGATATATATTTGTGATACTAAATAACAGCTTATAAAAAGGATATCAGCATTTAAATCAAACACAATAAAACCTAAATCTTTCTTTTCTTTTTCAGCTGAATAATCTCTTACTTCTTTTCTGAAAATAAACACAGAAATTATTGAGTAAATTGACTGCTATATCCAGGTATGCACCAATTTACAGGTTTTAAATTAGCAGCTTGTAGATATTGTCTCTGATTTTTATTTAGACTCGTCTAGAGCTTAAGAGGGTGATATCTTCCTGAAACCACACATCATCATAGACCTTACATAACATAGCCTAGTCATCATAGATAATGATAATCTTGCACGGATTTAATCAATTCACTTGATTTAATTTATCTATTTTATATTAAAAAATAATATAATTAAGACTTATTGTAAGAAGTAGCCTACTAAATCGTTTTTAAATTTCAATTGAATTATCAAAAGTAAGCATATGTTAAATGATAAACAGGCGAACCACGTAAGTAACACGTCAGTCTTCGCGATCTGTTGGTTGTTTCCAGACACCTGTTAGTTGTAATGTTATACTTACACTGATACTTTACCGGTTCCTAATGTGACGTTTTCTTGATTCAAATTAAAATCTGTAGACAAAAAACAACAAAAAGTTAATCCTGCCATCACGCTAAGGGTGAAGGCAAAAATTGTATTTAACCGAGAAAGAAATGTGTTCATTTTTGTGTTTTTCGGCGAGTAATAGCAGAGTTGTGTTCTCTTGGTATACGCGGAAGTAGGTTTCGTCGCAATTTACAACTCAGTGTCAATTACATGGGACGAAATATATTTTTAAAAGGCTGTTTTAAGTTAACCATGCTGAGATACGAGTCAAAAGTGAATATCAATTACCAACATGGACAAATAAATACTCAAATGTATTTAACCGGAATAATTGTTATATTGTCAGCAATCACGGCGAGGCTGTTTATCATCGACTTTTGAGATCCGCCCGTGGCCGTAATGTTCTAAATCAAGAGGGCGGATCCAACCAGTGCGAGGGGCTAGGGGGTTAGTGCTAAACGACAAGGCTAATTCAATCTTTCGTCATAGGTCATGAGATGTAAACAGGACTAGCGCTAATCCCAACCCTAACCCTAACGCCTGGACCTAGCCCCCCACCCCCCAATCCATGCTTAACGTAACCCAACAATCACGTGTCCTAACCTTGTTTACATCGCAGCGACGTTTACAAAAATTAAGCTGGACTTAATTAATAAATAGATTTAGCCGGGGCTAGGGTGATACTTAAAAATGTTGCATAAAGTTATTAATTAGTCTTATTTGGTTTGACCCCGCGAACGCCTTTGGAAAAGTTAGTTTATGACCTTCCATATAAAACCACAGTGGCGTGTGCAGAAAAATAACCAATGGGGTGACCCGGGGTGGGGGAGGGGGCGCTCCGGGATGACTGACCGCGTAGCCTCGAGAAAATAAATTTTGAAAGTTTTAAGCCGATTTCCTTGCCTCTGAGGTCATTTCTGAAGAAAATTACAGGCTCTCTCCTTAGGCTCCCTCCTTGCCCTCTCCTGTATATAGACTCCGGGCACCCTAACCCCCTGGACACGCACCTGTACTATTACTAAATATAGTGATTGAAATTAATGTTAGAAAAAAATCTCGTAGCCTATGCCCATACTATACTAAAAGCTGGGTCATGGGACTGTCGGGGCTTGGAACTCGAATCTGTATTTAACTCAAAATCAAAATGTACTTATTTGCACAGGTCGAACACTTTTATATAATAGGGCAATTAAAGTTGGAGTACTGAAATTTTTTATACTAACTTTAAATTGTTAAATGGCGGTAGTAGATCACTAACTGCCTGGTGTTACTATATTTTACATAGCACTTCTTTACTTTTAACGACTTTACTTTGGTCATGAGTCTATTAGGGGCCTCCATACTTTGGTAAAAGGGAGTGATTTTTGAGATGTTGTGTTTTTTTGTTTGTTTGTTTTTGTTTTTGTTTTTTTTTTTTTTTTTTTTTTTTTGCAGAGTTCCTTTAAAGGAGCTATGTCCATAACTCAAAATTTTCCATAATATCTGAAATTAAAAATACAAATTAGAATTCAATATTGGTCCATTTCAATCCATAGTGATGTTAATCTTTTAGAGGCATTTAGTATCTGGATGGAGCAATTATACACAAAACACATACTTATGGAAAAACAGCTACTTATTTATTTGGGCGACGTTTCGAAGAGTAGGCTATTCTCTCAACGTTATCAAGCTAGTAATACAGTAATACAAGAATTATGAGATCAATATGTTGTCCTGTATGGTTTCATGAATTGTTGTTATAGTTTTCTGTATATGTTGATCTCATAATTCCTGTATTACTGTATTAGATTGATAACGTTGAGGGAATACTCTTCGAAACGTCGCCCAAATAAATAAGTAGCTGTTTTTCCGTAAGTATGTGTTTTTGTGCATAGTGATGTTGTTATGTTGCCGTGAAAATGTGGGATGCTTTTATATAGGCTCCCTTATGGTTCAAAAAATTGACTAACACGCCCTTTAAGAGTAATTAAATTATTTAGCAAAGGTGCTTCAACCAAATAACCTTATCAGTTCTACTAAAGATAACGTATATCTTTCATTTACATACATTGGATTTAAATAGGTATAGATCTAACGGTATCTTATACTATTATTAAAATGAAGCAGATAACACTAGTCTTTTTAACTCTATTATCAGTAGTTGCAGGTTCGTCTTTATTTTTATTTTTTTTATTTTTATTTTTTAAATATCCTAATCTTTAGGACTGCCAACATTGGAATACCGGGAGATTAATAGCCTATGTCAGTTACGCGACCTCTTGTAATCAAAGGGTCACGAAAAGGAAAAAATTCTCTTAAAATAATCTCTTAAAACCCGGGAGAATGTACGAAGGGCTACAAGCGGTGGGTAACTTAGTTTTGCATTCTTTTTAGCCCCCTTTATCTCTGGATAGGGAGAGAGAAAGAGAAATGGTGTTTAACGTCCACTTGAAACAACTAGGTCATTGCGGGACTAACATATGGTTCGATTAAATTTCAATAACTCGCTTGCGCGTAGGGGTCTTTAGCAGTAGGAGGATCCGGAGAAAACCCACGAGGTTGGACAGGCGATCCTACCCCTTGTCACCAACAAGTGAAGAATCGCAACCACACCACTTGACTCAGTACCAGACTTTGCGATCTAACGGACACGCATTTAACCCTTCGGATATGTCAAATAAGACACCCTTTTAGAGACGACTTCCAAAGGAATGATCACATACAATAATTCTAATCACGTATTTTCCCCACAAATTACATCTTACTCTCTGTTCTGATCAGAAAGGGGCGGCGACTCTACTACTGAATATTCTAATGATGCCCATTTAATATTTCCTCGACAGGTGAATTCAGCAACAGAGGTAAACAATTCGTTGTAAATTTTATACATGGCCATGGCAACGACCCCATATACCATTACTTATATGTTTCATCAGAAGAAGCTGGCAACATCACAGTCGAGACTATATCAACTTCATCCCATCAAGGTTATCTCCAAGACTTTGTACTGGAATCCATGCAATCAAATATGATCAAGGTTGACGAGAACCTGTCGATGTCTGTTGGAAGTCGCGTAGAGCCAAAGGGTGTCCTTGTGTCAGCAACTGTAGAAGTAGCTATTTGCGTAACAAGTAGGGATTCTGATGGAAATCCCAGAGAATCATATACCGCACTACCCGTAACAGCTTTGTCTAAGAGTTATATCGTTTCCGCTGGTTGGACCAACCCCATCCTCAACGTAGCAGCCGTGCAGGATGGCACAACTGTGGGTATTCGTTTAAACACAACTTGCCCCGTGCTTTTTAATGGAAAGACTTACACGTCGCTTGATACCATTACTGTACAGTTGGACCTATTTTATGTTTTTCAACTGGAATTACCATATGCTATGAACAGCAGCTGTGACCTAGGAGGAACTCTGGTACGTAGTTCATCTTTCACCATTTTCGGTATATGTTACATAGGGCACCTATCAAGGGATTGTTTGAGGAAGGTTGGTTACACTGTTCTCGTGATGCTTGATTTAACGTGAAGAAAAATATTCTACATATAGGTCTACTAGTGCTCGAGTTCAGGTTTTACTGTCATCCGAAAAACAATACACACAACACTATCAGTCCAATGTTACCCCTGAGTTCAAAGTTCAGTGTTCGCGGCTTTTGTAAGGAAATCATTTGTGTCTCTGTTAACCTTTTTATTTTAGGTAACTTCAGATAAACCAGTCTCAGTGCTTTCTGGATCATCATGTATAATGGGGAATGGTGTCTGTGGATACGTAGTAGAGCAGATGATTCCAGTGGAACTCTGGGGAAACAAGTTCTTGGTTCCCGATCTCTATGATACATCAGACTACAGAATCCGTATTGTGGCTGGACACAACGGAACAGACATTTTCGTAACGATGAACGACAAGGTCTCATCGGGAAAAACAGAAATTTATTTTATGAATGAATGTGGAGTCGTGGATTTAGATGTCGCGGATAGATCATCCGTGTCAATTGTGGGATCCAGAGGAATTTCTGTAACACAGTATAGTTTGGAACTTGCTCCGTTTGGGATCAACGTGCACAGTCGAGCACACTTTGGAGGGAATTATACTGTTACTCCTCTCGCACACAGTTTAAGTTATGTTACTATATTGATATTAACAACAGCCCACGATAGTTTTAATATTAATGGAAAGTATCCTCATCTTCCCATGTGGTCGAATCTTGTTGGAACAATATATTCGACTATTACTATTCCTCTAGCAGCGGGTCAGCATAGATTAGAAGCATCTGAAGCCTTTCTAGCTCAAGTTTATGGATATGCGATATCAGGAACCTATGGCTTCACTGCTGGTTATATATTGGATCACTTACCATCAGGTAAACTGTTTTAATTTGGTGATTGAACTGGGCATATACATGACACAAGTTTATCGAATACAATTACATGTTCCCTGTATTCCATAGATCTGTATATCAGAACCAAATATATTTTAGTGACGCTATCGAGGGTGTGTGTGTGTGTTGTTGTTTTTTTTTTTTTTGGGGGGGGGGGTTGGGGGGGGGGGGGCTCGTTCCCTTCCTCCCGTAATTCTTCCATCAACGAATTAAAAACTCGGGGGGGGGGGGAACGTCATATTCACTGAGACACCGTAACCCCTACTTTAAAAAAAAACTCATCATTCCGTGGTCAAGAAATGTCCGAGGGCCTGGGGCTGGGTATAATAAATTCATATTTATTGGCTGATCACTAATTGAACTTTATTATATATTGATAATTATGGCTATTTGTCCCTATTCTTTATATTGCAGCCGATTTGTATGTTCAAAGACCGTATCTACCTCACCACGCAACTCAAGGAATCACAGAATCCTCGCGTACAACTCATCATCGAACAACTCTTAATCTACCCACCTCAACAGAATCCTCACGTTCAACCGATACGCCAGATATATATACACCAGCGACCAATACCATGTCCACAACTCCATCAGCATCTTCAACAGCTACTCCTGGGTGTCATGATAAACCAGGTGTCAGTTGCCAAATTCTAGAAACGTCACTTCATATCTGTAGAGATTCCGTCCTGTCTTTTAAATACTGTGAACGATTCTGTAATCTTTGCCAACCTTGTTCAGTTCAACCATGTATCCCTATCATAGGCAGATAAAACCCAATCAGCTCAAATGTGTTTATTTTTTACTTCATATGCTCAAAGTAAAGCTGGTATGCGATATAGGTCTTCGTGTTGCCACTTGTCAGTTCAATCCAACCGTTTTCAGCTAAGATTATAACACTTGTCAGTAAGCAAGAAACGTTGGAATGCTGACACTGCCATATCCTGACAAGGGGATGGACATGCGGGTATGGGCGGGGAGGACATAATGTTTTAAAATCAGACTATAATTAATTAGTCAAATACAGCTAGTAACGAGGTGGGGATGTCTACCCAGTCAGTGGGGATTATGCATATTCTGCTTCGAATGTAATAAGATCGCTGACTTGTTGGGTACATTGATATACTTCTTGTTAACTCGAGTATTGTCCTGGTAGGTTGGTGGATGCCGCTAGGCCTTGGTATGTGTTTCTCGAGAGGTCGTCAAAATATTTTTATGGGTGTCCATAGAACGAAGACCAAATTTCCACATAAAATATCATCATCTTGATAGATTTATTGTACCCAAACGTCCATTCAGGAGAGAGAGGGAGAGAGAGAGAGAGAGAGGGAGAGAGTTTAAAAATATTTCAATAATTCGCTACGCATAGGAGTCTTTAACAGTGGGCGGAAACCGGAGTACCCAGAGAAAACCCACGGGTTTGGACATGATACCCTACTCCTTTTCACGTAGGCCTACAACCAGTTGATGCAACGCGCACTTGCTAACCCTTCGGCCATGCCCACACACATTTTGGACAATATATTACAATACTAACATAATGTATGAATATACACCATATAAATATTTTATTACGAGAATACAGGTAGAATATAACAATGTATGAAATATTATATAAATATACATGTACATATAAAAATTCTTAATAAGCATACACAAATATTTAACACTTCGGCACAATCAACATGCATAAAAGGACAAAGAAGAAGCGAGTGTATTGATAAATACACCCCAGTTGGGAATATCTCGAGACATCTCGTTCAGGTTATATTTCTTGTATGATGGAATTTAGTTGATAGTTGAAATGACAATTGGGTTTAACATGCTACTTTTCTGCACCAACTGGGATAATTAGTTAACTGGTCATATAGTGTTGGGTCTGGATAGGTAGGTGACAGTGCAAACTGACAAATGCAGTAGCTTAGCAATGAAATGATTTGAAATGGGGTTTAACGGCTCAGCCCTGGCTACTGAGGGACGGGAATATCAGGGGCATATACAAAGGGAAGTGCGCACACCCGCCCCCCTAATTATGTTTTGAATATGCCTTCACTTGATAAGAAAAGATCAACACACCAATTCGTGGTGTCTTTATATTTTAATGTACGATCTGGTTAGGGTGGGGTGGTCGAATGGTCTAACGTCTGCGCTTTAGTTTCGATTCCCCGCTTGTACGTGACAAGGAGTACGGTCGCCTGTTTTAACCTCGCTGGTTTTCTGAGGACCCCCGCCCCCCTTTCACACACACACCAGGGGCGGATCTAGGAATTTTGAAAAAGGGGGGCGCCATTCCAAGAGCTATTTGGCTGATATTTGATATTTTCGTCTACGTAAACGTTCGGAAATCGTTGAAAAAGAGCCTTAAAATCGAGCAAAAAAGCCAGTTGAACATGCGACTCGAAAATTGTCAAGGCGAGCGATACATTATGATGGGAAAAAAGACGAATCTATTCCCTAGCCACTTCACTAAGTCTTGTAACTTGTACTGTGTACTGTCCACACATGAAACAATGCTACATCAAGTTGCACTCATGCGCGTCGGTGACGGGCATGAGTGTATACGCCGCCGATTCCACAAGATGCTATCATTGATGTATGTCTATAGTCACTCTATAGTATTCGGGCACCGTCAGCTAAACAACAAGAATTCGTTTGAAAGTGGAAGCATTAATTAGACCAGACTGGCGTATTTGAGTAGATGGTTTGAGTCATTTGGGATCCCCGCAACGGGTTGGGAACGGACATATTTGGGTCTGGGTGGGGAACGAACCTTATTATATATATGCATCAACTTGTATGACAATTTTCGGGAATCGATCATCATTTGTTTCATCAATTTGTGGGGAATCGAAATTTCTTTGAATTGAATGAATAAAAATTCAAAACATTTAAAATCAGTACAATAAATATTGTCTAGCGACACTATTAGAGTATTCCCTATGCATTAAGCGCGATATTTTTTTTCCGGCAACATCATTATTTGTTTTTTTCAATTTTTCGGAAAGTGATATAATAACTGGTGTTCGGGGAATGCAGCTGCTACAGTTCGATTAATTTGAGTGGGATTTAAAATCGATTGCTAAAGTAGCGTAGGTACGTCCGTTCGCGACCACCAAACTTATTGCGCTTACAGTTACAGTAGGGCCCTAGACACACGGGCGCATCCTAGCTTAGACTCGTGTAGGCCTATTGACTTTTTTCACGCGATCTCCCTTTCTTGGACTGAAATAATACCTCATGTTAGTCCCGAAATGTTGAGGCGATGTTAAGTCATGTTTCTGTGTTTTATAATTATTTAGTGAAAGAGTCGCTATTGAAACGTCCCTTTAAATCGATATCACATGGTATTCACGTGACAGTCACAAGACCACTTAGAACAAAATGGCGGTAATAATAACAAGGCTGATTTTTTGGGCGGTTATTATTTGCCTCTTTGAATCAATTTTATCAATTAACCCGCACAAGAGAAGACTGTCAGCGTATAATCCTGCAATAAAAAATCTTCTTCCAAAGGGTTATTCTTACCAGACTAAATATTACAACCAGCAGGTATGTTTTAGATAAGATATTATAATGGGCGTGCAGTACAGCTTTGACAGATGTAGTAATACGTATCCTTAAAGAAAACTCGGACCAAGCCAAGGGAAAGACGGAGTGGTCTTCTGTCATTGTCAGAGTGGTCGGCCAAGTACGCTGACCCGGCTACTTCCGGTAACCCTAATACTAACCCTAACTAGCCGGATCAACGTACTGCGCCGGCCGCGGAGTGCACGGTCTATCAAGTTCAACTGATCTAGTCTTGGTCCGCATTAAGTTCAGCTCTGAGGTAGATCTCATTACAATCGCCCAGAACGTTAAGGAACCGTCCTATTGATAGAATCGGAGTTGTCTGGGTACCTGACAGAACTGTGACAGGCTCATTTCAGTGTCATTTGATTGAAATTCCATCAGTTAATTTGGAACCTTTCTTAGTAACAATTAAGCACCTCCATATTAATGGCCCGATTGTAAAAGCTGGCATGATCATTGTGTGCTAGCTCTTTGTACAACATCCAGCCATCCAATACAGGACAGGTGTGTATTTCTGATTAACCATTGCCTTGATAAAATGATTGTGAACAATCGGGCTTGGATCAATCTATCACAGGCCTTCTTGCATTTAGTAATCAATGTGAATTTAAATAGAGATTTTTTAATATCTCTGCACTTTTTATTTGTAGATTGATCATTTTGGATTTGTCAATGAGGATACATATGAACAAAGATATTTAGTATCTGATCAATTCTGGAATAAAAATGGAGGACCAATATTTTTTTACACTGGTAATGAAGGTGATATCGCTTGGTTCTGTAACAACACAGTAAGTAAAACATGGCAAACGTACCAGATTATTATTGCAGTCATATTTGCTAGTCATGTAAAAGACACTATAATATATTTTAACTTGTAGTTATCCAGTGCAAGCCAATTTCCAAACTGCTTATATTTTAAAGAAGTGAACTCATTGTTTGTCATTAAAAATCTTTGATAAACAAAATACATGTATGCAAACAAAATTAATGACTGAGAAGAACAAAAAACATTTACAAATTGAACGTCCATAACCATGGAGTAAAAAGACTGAAAAGATTCAAACCAAAAGGTTAATGCTAAGAGTAAACCACTGGGGTTGATAAAAAAAACCTCAGATTGAAAGTTTCAAATTAAAAAAAAAGTGAAGTGCAGGATGAATTACTATTAAAAATAGAGTTTCTCTCGATTTATATGTGCAAGAAATGAAATGAAATGGGGTTCAACGTCCTACTGTTTTCTGCTCCTAACCTGGGCTAATGAAGACGGGCATACGCCATACAGTGTGCTATGAGGGAAATTTTGCCCAGGCAGCGGCGCTACGGCTTAATCTTATATCAAATTCCAACTGCCAAGGGATCTTTTACGTGCACACCAATGTGTACTTGGGACCTCAGTTTTTCGTCCTATCCGAACGACTAGACAGCTGTCCTTGTCAGGCCTCCCGTCCTGCATCACTGACAAGGGAGAACCACGCCGGAAAATCTGGATGAACTTTCTCATCCAATGCTGGGATCGAACACCCAACCTCCAGGCTAGCGAGCCAGCGCCTTACCCACTTAGCCATGTGATCCCCCCTATATGTGCAAGAAACCGAGACAAACTGTCACAGGAAGAAACATTTCTGATTAGAACATTTTGGTAAATGGTACGAGCTAAAATGAATGAACAATTTTAATTGAAACCTTTGAATTTAAAAAAAAAAAAAAGTGCATTTTATTATAATTATAGTTTTGTTTTTTAGGGTTTTGTTTGGGATACAGCACCTGAATTTGAAGCCATGATTGTGTTTGCTGAACACAGATTTTATGGAGAATCTATGCCCTACGGTCCTGAGTCATATAAGGTAGTAAGATCACTGGAGTCATAACATTATTTGCTTTTGTTCATTTTCGTAAGTGAAGGGAATACAAATAGAATTTATGTATTTATCAAGTGACATGGTTTGATTCCACACTTATACATGACAAGGAGTAGAGTCAGCTGCCCAACCCTGTGAGTCCTTCCGTTTCCTCCCACTCTGCTAGCAAATTATTGAAATAAAATTGTACCATATGTTTGTCCCAAAATGACCTAATTTATGTTGAGTAAATGTTAAACCTGATTTCTCTCTCAGTCTCTCTTTAATCATATAGATCTTGTCCCATTACTAAGCAAAATAATACTCTTCCATTTATTTTCAGGATCCAACTAAACTAAATTTTCTGACATCAGAACAAGCTTTAGCAGATTTTGCTACATTAATAGAATATATAAAATCTACTACCCCTGGTGCTAGTAATAGTCAGGTTGTAGCTTTTGGTGGATCCTATGGTGGTATGTTATCAGCTTGGTTCAGAATTAAATATCCTAATGTAGTTATAGGGTAAGTATTCAAGTTAATAAAATAGGATAAACAATCCCAGTGTTGACCGAGATAGTTCTCTCATGTATACCATGGTTAAAGATACCCTGCAGTTGAAATAATAAGAGTCTGTCGTAGCACCACTCCACTCATAGCACACTGCATGGTGTATGCCTGTCTTCATTAGCCAATTTGAAGCAGAAAATTAGGACGTTACACCCCATTTCATTCATTTCACTTTGATAAAACAACTGAAAAAAGTGCAAGGATAAACTAGTTCATTTGATTCAGATCGCATTTTCAATCAATTACTGTAATATAAAATGAATATTATATAACAAAAGTTAGCTTGTGACTCTGACCTATGAAAGCTTGTGTGCCTTTTCCATGAGCAAATTATCTTTAGAAAAATTTGACTTTTCAATGTTACAGAAGTTTAGCTTTAAGTATATTATGATGTACGTGGCAGGTGTGCTGGGACGGTATATTGTTGAATTGGTGTATTGCAGTATTCTATATGAAATTGTGAATTACAAATTCTATAAATATGACAGGAACAATGTCTAGTCATTTGGATGGGATGAAAAACCAAGGTCCCGTCTACACATTGGTGTGCACAGAATCGAAAAGTAGGATGTTTTACCCCATTTGATTTCATTCAATATTTTCATCTTTTATTTACAGTGCTCTAGCTGCATCAGCACCAATATGGCAGTTTCACAATCTGACACCATGTTTAGCTTATGATCAAACTGTAACGAAGACATTTAGTTATTATTCTGATAATTGTGTTGATAACATCAATCGTGTTTATTCTACAATAGATAATATGGTTAAATCAGGTAATTTTACACTATTTTAATACTGAGATACAACATGGATGGACAGCACTCTCGATTCAGTTATAGCTACTGGTCTTGACTCACAGGCAATAACAATTACAAGTCAAATTATCAGTCAATATAAATGCTATAAAATTAGATTTTCAAATTATATGTATAGTTTTTATGTAAAACCACCGATATTATTGAAAATTTTGAAGTGAATACCCTGTCTATATATCATGAAAAGAGAAGTGACATAATGCCCTTTGTGAATTTTCTCTGGGTCCTCCGGTTTCCTCCCACTGCTAAAGACCCCTACGCACAAGCGAATAATTGAAATAAAATTGAACCATATGTTAGTCCCGAAATGACCTAGTTTGTGTCAAGTGGACATTAAACCCCATTTCTCTCTTCCCCCTATCCTGCTGATTTTGACCAGTACAAGTAGCTATATCTTTAACTATTGAACGTTATTATAATTTCAGGTGGATCTGCAGCTCTGTCGTTTCTATCATCAACTTTCTCTTTATGTCAACCGTTAAAAGCAAACCAAATAGATACTCTAGAGGGATGGTTGGAGAATATATGGGGTAATTTAGCTATGGTTAATTATCCTTATCCAGCTAGTTTCTTAGAACCATTACCAGCTTGGCCAGTACAGGTAGATACATTATTTAACCTTGAAATTGTACATAATTATAATTTATTCATATTAATTAAAAGATACAATTCATTATAATAAACAATCATCTTATCAATTTCTTCCTAACTGGTTGAAATACATTATGTCAAATTCCGCAATAGAACTGCCAGCTTGGCCAGTAGAGGTAGATGCCTCATTTAATCATACATAGTTATAATTTCTTTATATTAAAAGGAGTCACGGTGGCTCAGTGAGTAAGATGTTGGTTCGCAAACCTGGAGGTCCCATATTCACCGAGAAAGTCCATCTGTGTTTTCCAGTGTCATTCTCCCTTGTCAGGGCCTGACAAGGGAGAACCTATAGTCATTTGGATGGGATTAAAAACTAAGGTCCCGTGTACACATTGGAGTGAACGTAAAAGAACCCTTAAGAGTTGGAATTTTTTTTTAAAAGGGACAATTCATCTAAAGTCTGTTTCCATGATAGGGATATTGTAGAGAAGTAAAACTTGTCTCTCTTATTAGAATATGATTTTGTAAGGTTTGTATTTGTGGTGTGTGGTCATGGATTGGTTTAACTTGAATTTCTTCCCTTTATTAAACAATAGAGCAGGCTCAGGTAACCAAGTCACCCCGCTCACCCCGCTCACCCCTCTCAAATTCTGCTTTTAATGCATTTAAAACTCAATAAAATCAGAATTTCCTTTGTGATTCTTTGACATTTTGATGCTTTTGATGACATAGCTAATAGACAAGGCAGGAAAACTACACCAGATGACCCCAATTTCAAAATACATGAAGCAAGGATGCCACATAATATTCTCCAAACTTGACTCACTGCAGAAGAATCCCTGAGAAGTATTTAGCAATGGAATCATTTACTCCTGGCATAATGCTAGTATATAGTTAAAGATACATTGTGTAAGAGCTAAATCTGCTTCAAATCTTATATAAATTTATTAGACATTTATTCACATGACAAGCCTATAATCAACTCTCTAGATCATCGATGATCTAGATTGAAATAGATTTGAACACCCGCAACATTTCAAAATTTAATGATAAAATGGATAATCTAGACTTTGTCTCAGTTGTCAAGTACTAAACAATCTATGCTATATCATTACACAGTCATAACTTAACCCTGAATAAAGTAATTTGAATGAAATTTTCAATATATTCATTATCTATTTTTTAACTTTTACATCAAGAACAACCAGCTCTTCATCTAATCTTACATAATGTATCTTTACTTTAAGTATATTTCATTGAACTATATCTACCACTGTCTTCCTATATTTTAGGAAGCTTGTAAACCTCTCTCCACAATTCTAGAAGATAAACTATTAGTTACGGGAGTAGCTAAAGCTGTTAAGTTTTATTTTAATTCTACTGGTACAGCTGAATGTCTCAATATAACACAGCAAGCCACTGGTAGCCTTGGTGATGCTGGATGGGGATACCAAGTGAGTATATCCTAGTCATTTATTTCCCCAAATAATATCTATATAAATATAGCACATGCCGCTGGTTTATTTATTAATAATAATAATAATAATAATAATAATGTCAATTATATAGTGCTAGTCCACACAGATTGTTCCAGTATACTGCAGCAGTGTATCAATCTGTTTAAAATACCGATCTATATTTCGTTTCGTTTTTTTATACTTTCAATGGCCTACACTACATGAAGATCTGACAAGTTATAGCGATAGGTCACATCAGGGGTCAAAAGACCGACTTATGACCCTATGACATCAGACATTTGATTAACCAATCAGCATTGATGTTACGAGTGGATTACCCACAGTTCCGTGAAAAACACACCTAAAGCTGGCTGTAACAGACTGTTTCATTGGCTTATCCATGACACCATTCAGAACACGAGTTAAATAACAACTCTTCCAGGTCCAAGTGTAGTAAAGACAAGTAAAACGAAATTTTGAAATATAAAAACGAAACGAAATAGGATCTGTGTTTTAACCAGATTGGCAGTGTATTTAAAAGATCGCGCACCAAAAGATTTTAAGTTGTAATTGGGAATCGTTAGAAGTTTATCAGTGATTGACAGTTCCCTTTGTTAATTAAATGGTTCTTATTTTGGGTTTTGCATTGTTGATACTATTGTAATACTAGATACTGAATGTAATGAAAAAAAATCTCCCATTTCCAGTCCTGTTCTGAAATGGTGATGCCAATGTGTTCTGATAATACAACTGTATTCCGTCAAACAGTCTGGGATTACACAGATGTCTCAGAAAACTGTTATAAACAGTTTAAAGTAAGACCAAGAAGAGATTGGGTCATCACCAATTATTGGGGAAAGTCCCTTTCTGCAGCTAGTAATATCATATTCAGGTAAGAAAATGATTGATGTATTCTATTTGGTTAATATTCAAATTAAAAGGAGTTATTAACCCAAACTTCTCACTTTAAACTGCTATTGCATTTCAAATTATTTTATCTATAAATATTTATTTCTTCCATGTATTTACATGTATATATGTTTTGTAGTTAAGGAGTGACTCCACATGCTCTTCTATGTCCAGTTTATTTATCTGCTATGTAAAGACTGGATTCATATCAACAATTTGTGATTGGCTCTCAATCTACCAGTACCAGTACTTGTTTTTTCCCATAATATAGAACATAATATTAGGTACGATGAGAATTAGGTACATTATTAATATTGATGACGTGAAATTGACTTGTTAGCCAAAGGGTGCTGTGCAAAAGGCAGACTATGCTTTTTTTCCTTTTGAACACCTGTTTCTTGAGTCCAGTTTATGGAACTAACATCTGTGGATTCACTTTTGACATTTGTATTTAGTGTTTTGTGCACTGTTTTATTTGTATGGTCTGTAATGTTTTTGTTTTGTTGTGGAGTTTTCCGATAATAATGTGCATTAAAACAAATATCTGGTATTGTTTTTTGTTTTTTTCAGTAATGGACAGTTTGATCCTTGGTCTACTGGAGGTGTTTTAGAATCTTTATCAGATTCGATTATAGCTATACATATCAAACAAGGAGCACATCATCTTGATCTTAGAGCAGCCAATAAAATGGACATAGAGGCTGTCAAAGCTGCTAGAATCCAGGAAAAGAAAATCATAAGACAGTGGCTCCAGAATTGAAGCTAACAATGTAGTTTTTCTAAGTCTGAAAGGAGTATTATCATTGCTATCAAAATATAATTTTGAATACCAGTAATAGAATATTCAAAATAACTTTAGACTATCGAAAAACTACTGAACTACTTCCAAAAGTGAAATTCCTTGAAAACCTTTTGAATTTGTATAACTGGTAAATTGAAATTAAACTATTTGTCTCCCAGTGATTGCTTGGCAGGTTTGTCTCAGAATTTAAATGCAATAAAATTTGAAAATGCCAGATGTAATTGTATAGTCAAATTATATATATCTAATTATGGTCTTGTCATGTTAATTAATGTCAAATTAATAATTTATATAACATTTTAGGCCTAAAGAAAGACCTGCAATAGGCAAATTTAGCTCTTGAATAATGTATCTTTAATAAACCTATTTAATTCACTGATGGCGACATTTCCTAAATTCCTGAAGTTATTATGAATGGCATACTGTGGATATCAGTGATAAAACCAAGGCTTTGATTTAATCTTTTTTTATTGAGATATTATTATAGGATTGTTAAAGTTACATGTGGATCTACCGGTACTTATTTTATATCCACTCATATTGTCTACCTTTATTTACCAAATCTCTTTGTTTGTTAAAGTAACTAGTTTAATTTAATCTCAACTCCTAATCTCTGTATTTTATGAATAAATAGAATAATATATTTTTGTAATTATTTGGTAAAAACTATATAAATTAATTTGTATTATTTATAGTAATTTATGACTGATGAGTAATATTAAGTTTCTGGTCATCACTTTACTTAATTAACTGGCAGAGCTGTGTATTGCAACTTTCAAAGAAACCATTTTGCAGACCTCCATTGCATTTAGGAATTATTGTGTGCTGATTTGAAATCTCAGTTCAAGAAATTAATGTCTAAAATTGCCAATAATTTACACTAACTCTTGTTGGGTTATTGTTTGCTTGAACTTTAATGAACTAAACGATAAAAAGTGTGTTTTGGTACCAACTGAATGAATACAAGCATCAAAGTCTATTTGAAAACAAAATAAAATTAAAGTGAAAATATTGATGTGCCAAATTTTGTATGGTGAAACATACTGCAATATTTTGATACTCTATAATTTCTCACTTAAACTGCATTTGTTACTTAGGCTATTTTTGTTACTTAGACTCTATTTGTTACTTAGGCTATTTGTTACTTAGACTCTATTTGTTATTTAGGCTATATAGTTTACTTATGACTCTATTTGTTACTTAGGCTATATTTATTATACATAAACATTAATTTAATCAATAAATTAACCTTATTCTATTAGATATATTCTGTTTTATTCTAAATATGTAAACTTATTTCACCAACAGTAAGTAGTATATGACAGATACCAACACTTCTTCCAAACTATGGCAGTAGTAAAATGATATAGGTTAATTCAACTACTATATTTTATATACTTTATTTACATTATGATATCTACAAGTATATATACATACATCTCAATAATAGTTCAATAACAACTTTTAACGGTAATTACTTACTAGTTATCAGCCTGACATTTAAAATATGGTATCCCGATGAGGACAAAGAGTGAAACAATGCCCAATTTTCTACTGCTAATCGTAAGTGGATTTATTCAATTCACAAACTTCCAATGAAATAGCGAATGTTCAAAAGTATGAAGAAGACTTGTTTGAGAACAATGATGACTTTCTGCAGGTCTGCTTTCATAGGATAGAAATCATCTGAGTTTGGCAGACATGTAAAACACACCCTTACTTTCCAAAGGCCCGGCAATCAGCTGTAAATTATTATAAGTGGAGGGAATCCATGAAAAATATTCAGTCACATGTATATAGATTATTATCATTTTGATGACAAGATATTCTTCAATTCTACACTTTTATATATTCTGAAATTGTAAAATAAAATAATGAATACAATAAAACAATACCCAGTGGATTTACAAAAACAAGTAATTTCAACAGATTTAACAAACATACACAATATGTTGTAAAATGTTAACACCTTAAACAATACTATCTGCTCTCACAATTCTTTTTCACAATATTTTTAAATGTTTTATAAAAAATCTATAAATTTAACTGTTTTTAATGTGTCTTACAGGCAAATTTTAAAGAGATTCTAAATTCTCCTCCGCAGGACCTTAAACCCCACTTCATTTATAATTTCTCCAGTCAGACAATTTCACTGCCATATAGTCAAGACTAGCAAATATAACTGAAACAAGGGCCCTGTATTAATGACAGTACTCCAACCAACTTATATAAAAACAAACAAACCTGGCTATTTCTATTCCATGTTTTTCTGTAATGATATTACGAGATTGTTTATGTTGTGTAGATAAAGTGACCAGTAGTTCAAGTAGAACTGTTTTAACATCATCATCTACACCAACACCTGCAGTAAAAAACATGATCATATTAATACAATAACATTTTAATATGGTTCAATAGTCAATTCTTCTTATCCCTCTCCTATCTATAGTCAATTCTTCTTATCCCTCTCTATCTATAGTCAATTCTTGTTACCCCTCCCCTATCTAAAGGAGGGTGAGCGAAAAGGGCACTGGAATCTCGTCTAGAATGTTCCAGGTTTGATTTACTTATTGGGGGTGGGGGTGGAGCACTGGAGGGGCGGACATGGGAAAAGTGCCTAGCCATTAGGATGGGACAAAAGATTGGCGTATACGTAAAATTATTTTAAATTAACGATTCGAAAATTATGATATTCAACCGAGTTTTATCTCTGTCCTGTGTTGCATTCTTAAGATTTAAGGAATCGCAACATAAATGGGGAGATAATAGAATTAAAATTTAAGCACTGATCAAAAGAACACCTATTACCTTTGACATCCAGTAACATTTTGATAAGATTAACCAGCCATCCAGATTGAAGTATTACATCAGGAATATCAGAATGTACTTTAATACAGGCACTTAATGCTGTAATAAATAAATATAACAAATATCATTATTACAGTCACAGTCAAATTAAGTCTTCATTCTGATACTTACTATAATCATAGTTAAAGTCTCTGACATCATTTGAATATATATATTATAACATATACTATTCAAAAAAAGTAGGGGATATTTGATTTTGGGGGCATAATACTAAAATATGCAAATGACTACGAAAAAAGTCACTATAGAACCTAACAGAAGAAACATTTCCAGTTACATGTGACGCCCAAACGCACCAATAGCTACCGCATGGAATGCAGGTGATGCTTGGGATCATCATGGGGGTCCAACCCAAGATTTGCACGACTCTGACTTTGAATGTTACAGTCATTGTGGCATTGAATTCCAGGGTGGAAACATCAGTTTAATTGTTTTAGTGACCAGAAAACAAATTTTGATATGCGTCGGCTTACCCAAAATGAAAGGTTACGTGCCCTTGGCATGCTACAGATCGGCACATCACAGGCGGTTGTGGCGCGGACGATGAATGTTTCTCAGTCTGTCATAAGCAGGCTATGGTCCAGATACCGTGATACACAATCTGTACAGGACAGACCACGCTCAGGTCGACCAAGGGCGACAACTCAAGCCCAGGATTGATTTATCCGTACCTTCGCCTTGGGAAATCGTGTCATCACAGCAAATCAGATCAGCGCTCGTCTTCAAACAGACACTGGTTTGAGAGTGAGTGGCCAGACGATTCGGAATCGACTGCATAGGGGTCACCTTCGCGCCCGACGTCCTCGCGTGATCCCTTGTTTGAGAGATCATCACATTCAGACAAGACGTCGTTGGTGTAGGGATCGTCAACACTGGGATAATCGACGCTGGAGCAATGTGATGTTTTCAGATGAGTCAAGGTTCACTGTTGATTTTTTGGACAGACGTAGGAGGGTGTGGCGTCGTCGAAACGAGCGCTTCCAAGACGTTAACGTCATCAGACATGATCGATGTGGGGGTGGTTCTGTTATGGTGTGGGGTGGCATCACTGTTGCTGGTAGAACGCCTTTACATGTTGTTGCAGGGCGTGTTACAGGCCAGTAATACCGGGACAACATCTTAGCAGTCCATGTTGTGCCGTTCGCACGACGTCATGGCCGCCGTTTCATCTTCCAGGATGACAACGCAAGATGTCACAGGGCCAGGATCGTTACAGGTTACCTCCAACAACAGAACATCACCACATTACCTTGGCCAGCACTGAGTCCCGACCTCTCCCCCATCGAGCATGTCTGGGACATGCTTGGACAGAGGTTACGTCAACGTCAACAACGTCCTGCCAATGTCCAAGAACTTGCTGCTGCGTTGCAACAGGAATGGGACAATCTGGACCAAAATGACCTTAGACGTCTCATTAGGAGTATGCCACAGAGGAGGATTTACCAGTTACTGACTTGGTTGTGATGCTGTGGTAACTTTGCTGTTTGACCCCGGGTATCATTTTACCCTTACAATGGTCAGTCTGTGCCTTACTTAGTCTAACGATCATTTGGAATAAATCGATGAATGTGAACTTCATTTCATTTTGTCATTTGTTTCTTCGTCAGTTTCATTAGGTGACTTTAATAACACTTAAAAATCAAATATCCCCTACTTTTTTTGAATAGTATATATAACATAATCATTATTACAGTCACAGTCAAGTCAGATTTCTGACTTTTGCCATAATCATAGTTAAAGTCTATGTCATTTGAATAAATACAACATATATAATTATTACAGTCACAGTCAAATCAGGGTTCTGACTCTTGCCATAATCATAATTAAAGTCTCTGATGTCATTTGAGTGATTGGGGAATCTCTTGAAAGTTGAGTCTCTAAAATGAATAGAATATCATTCCCAATTCTATCCAGTATGTACCAAGATCTGATGAATTGAAAATTTATCAACATTTCCGCAACCTCTGCAAACGATGTCAAAAGACATCAGCACCTGTAAGTGTTGGGTAAAATCTTTTGATGGGCCTCTTTTTAATCCAATAGAATCCAAGCATGTAGAATTATCTACCATTGATATTTTTATTTTGTTTTCTTGAATGTTGAATAATCAATTTAAGTACATTTTTTGTTACATGTATATCTTTGTGCCCAAATTGTAATCTGAGATAGAATTAAAGATTCAATGTAATTAACTGCAATGGGAATTAACGTCATATTTTTCTGCACCGACTGGGCTAATGAAGATGACCATACACCATGCAGAGGAAACTTGCCAGGACAGCCTACTCTTGTATCAAATTCAAACTGTCAAGGGTTCTTTCCTGTGTTCGCCCATGTGTAAACCGGACCTTCGTTCCATCCAAACGACTAGACAGCTGTCCTTGTGAGGCCCTCTGTCAAGGGGAAACCCCACTGGAAAATCCCAAGCCCAGCTTCTTACTAACTGAGCCACCGCGGCTACCAATTCAATGTAACATTTAAAGATAAAAGAATATATTAAAAACCTTGAACACCCAGGAACCATAACTCTGCTATATCTGTCCACCATTTTTGATATTCCTCACTTAAATCAAGTACAGGACAGTCCTTTTTCTTTTCATCAACATGAAAAGCATGACTAAAAAAACTTAAGCAACTTGATATAAACTTCTTCCTTTCTTCACCATTATCTGACAATAAAAAAAATATATTCATAATATACTCGTCCAGCTTTGTAATAGGGGAAATACAGTGTTGCCAGGCAACAAATATACCATCACCAGCAGTATTTTTAAAGGGAGGCAAGTATGTCCAAACGTCTCTGTAAAACATATAATAACAATGAAATATAAACAATGAATAGAGGGCAACGGCTGATGACGTATAAAAAAGATTTTGACATTTGAAATTAATTATATATGACCTACCTGTATCTATAGTCTCATGCTGTAATAACATTAAACCTAGTATAATTATATATGACCTACCTATATCTATATTCTCATGTTGTAATAACATTAAACCTATGTAGTATAATTATATATGACCTACCTATATCTATATTCTCATGTTGTAATAACATTAAACCTATGTAGTATAATTATATATGACCTACCTATATCTATATTCTCATGTTGTAATAACATTAACCCTTTCACTGCGTATACACGGTAGTACCGGGTATTATAAAATGTCGGTAAAATGCCCGTACCCGGTATTACCGTGTACTCAGTAAAGCCCTCGCTAAAATTAGTACCGTAACTGCAAGTGCCATCTATTGTATTTTCTATACACTAGAACATATTTCCACGTGTTTCAAAGCAGCAAACCGTAAAATGGCGGAGTGCATTGTGACAACGTAGACGATGCACTCTCGACGAAGTCGTGAATGACGTCTTGCTGACCAACATGTGGACAATTTCGAGGCGGGTGATACACATAATTCGTTTTCAGTTACTTGATAATGATAGTAGTCAGGACAGTGATTGGTATTATGAAGTGTGTGATTTGTTGCGCGACGTTCCGCCCATGGCTAGCTATGTCTCCCGTGCATGATGAACAAGCCCAATGTGAACACGATAGCCCTGTGTCTGCAGTAGATTCTGACAATAATTCTGATGTTGATAATAATGCTGGCCTGCTGGATCGTAAAATACGTAGGTAATTCCTGATTCCCGAACGTGTAGATCTATTGACTGACTATATTGATAATGATATGGGACTTGGGGATGAAAGTGAAAGTGAAAGTAAAAACAAGGTATTGCAATCCGCACGTGGTCATGGCAGCGGGAGACGTGATGCGCGTGTTCGCGGCGGCATTGCTCATGGCTGCTATTGATATTTTTGTTCATTTTATATATCTTTATCAAAATCCAGTAAAAAAACCAATATCTTTTAAGTATTTCATGGAGAAAAATTCGTTTTCGTGTTAGCTATAGTGTGAAATGAGAAATCCAAAATGGCCGCCATGACGTCACGTGACTACATTATTATGCAAATTTCCAAAATTCTATTTTTTCCTCTTAGCCCAACCTCATGCCCATCCCAACAGACAAAAAGATTTTTCATAAAAGCTTCCATAAGTACTGCTTGGCATTCAGTTCCAACCTCCCTTTTTTCCTCAAAAAAGGGTCTAGCACAGGCAGTGGATTTACGTCTAGCATTGAAAGGGTTAAACCTATGTAGTATAATTATATATGACCTACCTGTATCTAAATTCTGATGTTGTAATAACATTAAACCTAGTGTAGTATAATTTTATATGACCTACCTGTATCTAAATTCTGATGCTGTAATAACATTAAACCTAGTATAATTATACATGACCTACCTGTATCTATGTTCTGATGTTGTAATAACATATGACCTACCTGTATCTATGTTCTGATGTTGTAATAACATATGACCTACCTGTATCTATGTTCTGATGTTGTAATAACATATGACCTACCTGTATCTATGTTCTGATGTTGTAATAACATTAAACCTAGTGTAGTAAAGTTAGCTGTTAAAACTAAATCTTCTTGTCTATAAACTGAAATATAATTTGTACATTTATTCAACAGAAAGACAAATAATATGATTACATGTATAATTGATACTGGAGAAATAAAACTTAAAGTGTTGGCCAAATGAGCAAAACAAAAACATATAGCATCCATTTTACGTCTTTACATTTCTTGGGGGGGTGGGTGGCCGAATGGTTAACACATGCGCATTGGATCAGAAGGTCTGTCATTGAGTCAAGTGGCGTGGTTTTGATTTCCTGCTTGTACATGGCAAGGAGTAGGGTCGCCTGTCCAATCTCGTGGGTTTTCTCTGGGTCCTCCGGTTTCCTCTCACTGCTAAAGACCCCTACTTGCAAGCGAATTATTGAAATAAATTTGAACCATGTGTTAGTCCTGAGATGACCACAGTTTATGTTGAGTGGACGTGAAACCCTATTTCTCTCTCTTTAGATTTCTAGATCTATTCTAGAATAAAATACTGTTTAAACCATGAACAAACAAACATTGTCAATTTGCGGTAATGAACAACCTGTCCACAAAATGAGAAAACCACAGAGAAGAGGACATGATCAACGACTGAACCTTGAGGTAAAAATTGAGTACCAGTAAATCAAATACACTTTACAGCCATTCAACAAAGGATAGTACCGAACAGCTGTAGATTGACTACGAGAGATAACCAAGCCTTGAAATAAGGCACCGGTCACAGGTATTGTCAGACACCAATTCATGCTTTGTTAGTGCCAAATATTTTTTCAGGTAAATTAAAATCATTTCCAGGTCTCATGAAAATAAAAAACTTATTGAAAATAAAAAACTTATTGAAAATAAAAAACTTACCAATCTGAGGAAGGATTGTATATAACTTGTTTAATAAGGAATGAAACTTTTCATCTCTGCTCACAAAATTAGGTTCTGTGACAGCAAAATTTAAAAACACACCACATAAACTAGCTAAAGAATCCTGTAAATAAAAATAAATGTGTGTTAAGAAAGAAATATCTAATTAAAGTTTTTGATTAATATTTGTACAGTGATTATAAATGTTGCTGAATGTCATTTGCATTGTTCTTGACTTAATCCATGCCAGGTCCCCTTTGTTCTTGACTTAATCCATGCCAGGTCCCCTGTTTTGTGCCACTTGTGCAAAGGGACACCAGACTGCAAGTTTCCAAAAAATTGTTTCATCCAAATGTTTTTCCGTGACCTCCAAGTTAGTGACTCGTCTTCATTAACCTGGACGGAGCAGATAAGTAAGTTGTTAAACCCCATTACATTTCCTAATTAATGAGCCAGTGCCCATACTCATTGAGCTACTGTGGCTGCCCAGATGCAAACAGGAATTTTAAGAGCATACAAAACATTGTACAAATCATACTATGGACCAGAAACCAAGTATGAAATCATCGAAGCCATCTTGGAATTATAACGTCATAGCTAAAATCAATGTCTGTCAATCCATGTGCAATTATCCAAGGTAGGTCACTCCCAAGAAGAAAAAAAAACAACAACAACAAGAGTAGAGTTTGTTGCCCAGTTTCTGTTCCTAAATAATTTGTTATCCTACCTTGACTTCCTCTCTGTCATCGTCAGTTGCCATATCTGTATCATCTATAAATGTCGTCCATTTTAAAACAAAATTATGAAACAATAAATCCTGAATGTTATTTTCTATGAGAATTTTTCTTGGTTCATCTTCTGATGAGAGATGACACAAACCAGGTAATAGAAACTGTAAGATATTATCATTGTTCATCATCTTTCTCTTATCTTTAACCAAATCATTGTCACTAGCATCGGAAAAACGAACAGTTTTCGTCAATTTATCAGCACAATTATTTTGTTGGTTGTCCTTAGATTCTGATATCGTATCTTTATCAGTTATAGCCTTTAATTGGCTATCACTATCTGTCAATGAATTTGATTGGTCATCTGTTATATCACATTCTTGTAGTATATGTTCAACTGATGGTAAAACTGGAGGTAAATCAGATACTAACTCAGGATTAACAGATAATTTTCTATAAAATAAAAATTACCACACAATATAAAAAAACAATTTTAAATAAGATGGCATTGTGAACATTTAAACACTATTTGAACTGTACATAACTCATATTCTTTGTTATATGTAACTTAAAATCAACTACCCAGGAAGAGACTACTGTAGAAATTAAAAACTATTCTAGATGGATGATGCTACCATAGATACAAATAACAAATATAGCTCCTTAGTCAAGACATGCATCTAATGAACAATCTACCTCAATTAGAAATTGAAGTGTGGTTTAACGTCCTACTGTTTTGTACCGAATGGGCTAATGAAAACAGGCATATGCCATACAATGTGCTATGAAGGAAATTTTGCACAGATAGCGACACTATGGCCTACCCTTATTTAGAGTTCAAAGTGTCAACGGTCCTTTTAGGTGCATGCCAATGTGCACACAGGAATTCATTTTTTTTTTCTCATATGACTGACTAGACACTGTTCTTGCAAGGCAGTCTGTCCTACTCAACTGACAAGGGGAAACCACTCAGAAAAATCCACAGGAAGTTTCTCAATGAACATCTGGAGTGGACACGGAACCTCCTGGTTAGTGAGCCTGTATCTCAACTAGAGGCAGGGTTATTGTGATATGGACATCTGACCAAATTTTAATAATGCTCTTTCTTTGAAAGGCAGAGGACGAATAACTGAAGTATACTTACATAAGTTGTACCAGAAATGGTAATAGTTTATATACACTTTCTTTTAATGCTGTTGTTTCTTCAGCTAACCACGCCCCTAATACTCTTACAGTAGCTGTCACAACTGGGTCAACCCACTTTAAATTTTTTTCAACAGAAATTTCATCTAAGAAGAAAATTATGCCATTAAATGCTCCAACCATTGCCGAATGAACCTGTAGTACCTGTTTCTCTTCAAATCCCATTGGTTGACCAGTAGTCATGTGACTGATGATATTTTCTAGTAACATGTAACATGAACATAAGAGACTTGTTTTACTCTGAATCTGACAAAAAAAGGAAAAAATATAATAATTATAGGGCTGTGTATTATGACCCCATCGCTCAAATAGTGTTAACATAGTACAAGTGAGTGTAAGATAATCATTCTGCACACAGAGAACTATCTACTCTACTTCCAGAATAGATCTCTGCCCTAAATAGCTGCCATATCCAACAATTAGTAGTTTTGTAATGCATTCCTACTCCACTTCACATCTGTTATACACAAAAAAAAACTAATCAAAACTTTTTAATTTTATTAAATGAAAGCAGAATATATACTTCTCACAATTCTCGCAATATATCTAGTGTTTTCGACTAAAATCATTGAATTATGACTTAAAATGTCAGTTAAGTAGCTTAGTGTCTGTTCTCAAGCGCAGCTAATTGTAAACAGACAGCATAAGTTTAGTATGTGAGATAATTTGACATTATTTTTTGAAATTGGTACTATGTTAACCCTATTTGACTGTTGGACCAGTAATTTGGAATGAAGTTGTCACAAATCCATATTATACCACATGTGAAATGTGAACGATATAGTTACAATACTTTTTACTTTTTGAATTATTCCACTCTTAAATAGTCTACTCGATTTTTCTGGATCACCTGATATCTGCAATACCGCCAAATGTAGTATCACAATACCTGGCAAAATCTGTTTCAAGAGAAAACTGGGACAGAAAATTAACACCCCTGCTATAATCTATTGTAGTAATATTACGATAAAGTAAAAGGTATACCTGTTGCCATGTACAGTTTTCTAGAATCATTCTAACTTCTATACAAACTAGATGTGTAACCAGTAAAATGGTTTTAACATCCGTCGTAAAGGGAGGTAATAAACATAAAACACTAAACTTCTCTACCACTTCTGATACCAATAATAATATACATTGTCTCTGTTCTATACCTGTAAAAATTATAATTATTAATTTCAGAGCTAATTTGCTATATCATCCTCTTCCTAAGGGGATGCTCAATTCAAAGTCAAGAACGTCTCGAATTGACAGAATTGCAATCAAGTAACACGAAATTCCATTCTGTCACAGTTCTGTCAGGTGGTGTGAGTAGAATCGGGACGTAATTAAACGGTTTCAGCAGCATGGTTGGTTGAGATATTTACTTATTCAGTTGACGCATGCGTTTTAGCCCGAAATCCACCTTTTCACTCGATTGTCACTATTTTTGGGATTGATAGAATTCAATTCCGGATCGTTCAATTGAGTACCCCCAAAGTCTACCCCTTGTTTGCTGTGATATGTGGTAGAATTTATGCATGGTGGTTGTAAAATCAATAGAAACCAATGTCAATTGATCAATCTGTATGATTTTGAACAGAAATGTTTTGTAATGATCGTGTATGTGCTTATACTCTGTCTGTACTTAACCTTTATTCTGGCAGGTTTGGGGCACATTTTCTGTCACTACTGAACTCATACTCAACATTTGCCGGAGACGTGTAAAAAAATATCAAGTCTGTGCCTGACACAATGTCATGCACCTGGGGGATTGTGTTTGACAATGTTTGTGACAGTTGTCTTATTTCCAGACTTGTTGATTCAATAATCACCTACCCAGTTTATTTTTGATATCTCCAACTAGAGTTGATATCAGTACTTGTAACCATGGCGATGAATTGGGTGTAGGATTCCTAACCTATTAATGAAATAACATAATAAAATAGGTGAATATAATATTTCAATAACAAGAGTTCTACAGTAGAACAATAAGGGCATACAAAAAAAATTATTCTGGTTCTCAAACAATCAATGCAAATCTGATGCGCAAGAGAGTTTTTTATTTTTCTGTTTTTATTTTGTTAAACATCACTACTTGGCTAAACAGCTTCTCACAAACATCACATTTCAACGTTCTACATTTATTTTGGCTCTAGGACAATTGCCAGGGGGACAACTGTCGACAGGGCTACTGTCAGCGAGCAGGACATTTGCTGGCTAATGTATTTGTTGGGTTTTTTTTTAGTATAGTGTATTAAATGATGAATAAGCCCTCTTTTGTATCTATACATGTAATCATTATCAAAACAAGTTCATCCAGATTTTCCGGCGTGGTTCCCCTTTGTCAGTGATGCAGGACGGAGGGCATGACAAGGACAGTTGTCTAGTCCTTTGGATGAGACGAAAAACCGAGGTCCTGTGTATACATTGGAATGCACATAAAAGATCCCTTGGCAGTTGGAATTCGATATAAGAGTAGGCGATAGTGCCGCTGCCCGGGCAAAATTTCCCTCATAGCACACAGTATGGCGTATGCCAGTCTTCATTAGCCCAGCATAGGATCAGAATAGTAGGACGTTAAACCCTATTTCATTTTATTTCATTTCATTATCAAAACATAATTACATAATTGTTAATCTTATTGTAAACAGTAATAACTATGATTGAAAGTTTACTTTAATATTCATCTTCCAAAAGAGTACTTCAATTAATAACCGTATTTGAGCACAATTTAAGTACAAATGCCTAACAGGTTATAGTTAGGGAACAACCTGTTCAACATAAGAAGCACAAAAATTGTGCAAAGGCTGTACTGAAAATTCTCCATAATTTCAGCAGTCGCCATGTGTTTTTAATTCAAATATCTGGTCCCATTCTTTTCATATCAGTTAATTATGTTTCAATATGCATTTTATTGTACAAATGAGGAAGATAAAAATAGTTAAAAGGTGGGGATATGGAATAATTATAAGTAGGCTATTTAATCTCTACTTTACCTTTTCTATAGTTGATATAAAACTTGCTAATGTTGAACACAATTCAAATTTACTTGAATCCTGCAAATATATTAGAGAACAGAAGATGTAAGATCAAGATCTATAATATATCAACACAGCTCAATCCAAGACAGATTAAACCAGCCAAAAATGAGGCTGATATTCTCTGTCTCAATCCAAAAATAAATAGAAGACATATTGCACATTTATCAAACTGCTTGTTTAAACGCAGTCTAAGCAGAAAACTGCTCACGATAGAACTTAGTCATGGTTGCGATTTAATAAAACTATACAGTCAGAAAAACACATTTTAATAGTCACCTGCTTTCTTCGAAAGGCTGGGGACAAATAAATCATTCCATTCATTAAATCGCATTCATGATTCATGATACATGTGATTTGGAGTATCTACTTAATATGGAACCCACTCAACAGCAATAAATAATCTTAGCATTAATCAGAAAGGGAACAATTTGCTCATGGAGCTTGGGTATGGCTAGCTTCGTTTGAAACTTTCATTTATTCACAAAAACATACATATTAACACACTTTAAAGATTTGTACCTTATTTTGTGAAAACTTTGTAGTTAGATGAGATATAAGTTTGTTACTAGCTGATATCTGATTGGTCCACATCTTGTTACCATGGCAACCAGCTAACAACATTAGTATCTCCATAGCCTGTTCCTCCCCTGTTAAATCAAATTACAATGCAATATTAAACAGGAAATATGACACAACGGCAACAATATTTACATAAAGCAAAGACGTTAATTAGATAGTAATATAAAAGATTTTTAAAATTCTAAATTGGATTATGTCTTGGCCTTGATGTTAGTGGATTCAGACAAATATGTTTGATTTAGACACAAATTAAATGTTTCAGGGAACCAGAGTCGTACATAGAGCATAGTGTAATATAAATAAAAACTAAAGCAAATGACAAAGTGACTCTATAACTACTGGTAGGATTCAGACATTTCAACAATTTTGGACCAATAAGTTTTTTGTTAAGAGCTCTTCTTGGTTGAGATAGACAATGCCCTTTAATATTTTTATCAGAAGACTGGGGCATGTTAAATCATTGCAATGTTAAAAAAAGGTTATAAGCCATAAAATGTCATGGATTTAACATTGAAGTCAGTGGTGAAAAGAATAACTTGTCTTATTCCATTTAGATCTGACAGTAGTTATTTTGTGACTGTTCAACTATAACTTGCAATATACAAGCTATTGTATTAGATTTGACTGTGGTTTACCTTGTATTAAACAAGCTACTGTATTAGATTTTACTGTGGTTTACCTTGTAACTGTTCAACTATAACTTGTATTAAACAAGCTACTGCATTAGATTTGACTGTGGTTTACCTTGTAACTTGTATTAAACAAGCTACTGTATTTGATTTGACTGCAGTAATTACCTTGTAACTGTTCAACTATAACTTGTATTAAACAAGCTACTGTATTTGACTGTATAAGATATAACTGTCCTTGTTGACTACCTGCCATACCATATAAACAAGAGTAACAATCAGATAACAAACTTCTGTCTATTTCTTCTAATTCATCTCTGTAAAATATATATGAAAGGATAGGAATAGAGCATATTGTCTTGTCAATACAATAATTTGTCATTTTGCCAGGAAGAGTAAACTTGTCCAGGCAGCAGGGTAAATTGTCTAGGATTCTGTTACATGCAACCCAGTGCTGAGTGTGTACATGTGTGGACCTCAGATTTTCCAGCCCATATAACAATTAAACACAATTTTCGGAATTAGAAAAATGCCAAGTTTCTCCCCAGCACATGCCGAAATTCAAAACCAGTGCCCTGACCACTATTTCAAAATGTTTCTAAATTATCCATATTTCAATCTAAAATTCCAGTTGGACAATGGCAATACCCAAGCTGGGTGTTATTTAATGTCACATCACTTTTTTCAAATTAAAATCTGATCTATATCTATGAGTAATGGGCATCCCAATCTGCATTCAGATTGACAGTTTATGAGTATCCAACTATAACAGGAGTTTTTAGAGGACATTGGACATATAATAATTTCAAATACCAACCTTGGTGGAGATATAATAATTTCATTCAAGGGTGATACCAGATTCTTCATCTCTGGTTTTGATGCCTGTTAAAGTGAAACAATAATGTTAATAAATTTAACATCTATTGTCTGTCTAGGGCTGGACAACAATTTCAATATTATTGCAATTTATGTAAATTTTATTGACAATAATTTTTTGACGATTAAAAATATTGTAGTTATCCAATATATTGTTATTGGTAACTCTAAATTATCACCATTTCTCGAATAAAGATCATTGTATTTTATTGAAACATAGTTTAAATCAGATTGATCATATATAAGAATTCATAATTGATAAATCAAAACTGCTGTAATAATATTTTACACAGGCAAAACCAGATTTAAGTTAAAGGAAATCCCTCTGATTAAATAGTCAATCACGGTAACTCTAGTGATTACATTTATTTGTTTGATCATTATCTACTACATATAAAAACATAATTTGGGCTTTTGATTCAGCATAGCAGGGGCGTGTCCAGGAATTTGAACAGTGGAGGATCCAAGGTGGAGACAACATCCAGTTTGACGTTAGGTCGAGGGGAAATACCTGTGAATTTGATAAAATCTGAAGCGTTAAGACAATAGTAATGCTCATTTAGGAGCATACATGTATAGGATTACAGTGGAGTGAGCCAAAACAGTGTTATTTACATGAATGTAGGAGAGAACAAAATATTCTCCCCTCCCCCACCATCCCACCGCCCTCTGGACACGCGCCTGCATATCTTGATGTTCGAGACAGCATATCCTTGTGTTTACCAAATACCAGCATGGTGGCCAAAACAAACAAGTTATAGATCTTAAACAGCCTTTCTACTAATTTCTGATACACAAAATGATGCTTTGGAAGAAAACTAAGCAGTATATCAACTCCTTACCTCTAAAACTGTCAGCTAGATGTATAAACATTACAGAGCGAGGCGTATTTGACGTTTTGCACATGCGCTACAATGGGATTCTCCCTTTTCCGCTTTGTGGACTGTTTTTACCAGTCTCTAATAGTGAAATTGGTGAGAACACCATCCACCCAACGGAATTTTTTCATTTTTTTTAAATACCGTTGATAAGATCATGCATATACCACTAATGAATTGGGATATTGTATAATAGTACAATTTGTTGACCAGAATGAAGATTTGGACATATTATTCAGTTACAGCAAGAGTGTTATTGTCCCTTTAACTAATGATGATATCAATGTTTGGGACAATTAAGAATAAATGTTGATTTAAATGATAACTTACAACTTGTGGATCTGTACATACTGTAGAGAGTATTGTTAAGGCTACTGTTTTATATATAGTAGGAGGACATCCTTCTGGTACAGCAGCTAAAAATAAATACTTTAATTCTTATATACACCACTTCTAGATATAGGTTATTATACGTACGTACACAAAACTGTATCAGACATAAAAACGAATGACAATTGTATTCAATATGGATTAGTTTCCGAGTTAGGACAGCAAACTAGATAATAAGAGACGATTTAATTTTAGATTCAATAATAAAATTATGTGAAAGCCTTTTAAGTTTCCTGCGAAATAAATCCAATATATATAATGTTTGATATTTATAAATAGATTTTGCTGTCATGTCAAGAAAGTTTGGTAATGCAACGCCATGCTGCAATTATGGAATCTGGTATCTAAAGTGTTAAAATATAATTTGGAACTTTATGTCAACTCTATTATTCATCACATATAGAGCTACAACATGTTGAGCAGAGAGACTAACATGGTACAATTTTATTTCAATAAAATAGCTGTGGGTGGACCTAGTAAAAACCCTATTCAATGTCAGTAAAATCTTGGGATCAATGTGATCAAAAATTCATGCCACTTGACTCAATGACAGACCATACAATCTAAAGAACACATGTCACACCATTCAGACACCTCAACACACACCCAGGTTGAAATCAATATCACATTCATCATAAACACAATATTTTAGTTGAATAGATAATATTCAATTTAAAATAGATCCATTCCTTTCAATTTTCCAGTAGATATTATCGATACACATAGGACTATATTAAAACAACTTTACTTACATGATCTCAGGAGCCTTGCGAGAAATTTAAAGCCTATGGCATCTGCTATTTGCAGTTTCATCTCACTATCACAGTTTTCAGCTTTAATCACTTTAGTTACCTGGGAAAGAAAATGAATGACTGAAATGGGGTTTCACATCCTACTATTCTGCACAAACCGGGCGAATGAAGGACATGCATGGCAGTAAAGTTAGTTCAGAGATGAACTACCTTACAGTGTGATATGAGGTTGAATTCAATCTGTTATGGATTCTTTTTCGTACCCATCCAAAAGGCACTGTTGCAGCCACCTGGTGTGTCAACCTGTATGGCTGACAATTAAAATAATTTCTTGGACTCAACTGAAAATTTTATACAATATAATAAGTCTGAATCGTTAAAACTGAAAGTGTGAAAGTGATAAAACTTTAAAAGTAAAAGTAAGGATAAAATAAGATTCGTTTCAAATCATTTATTATACCATTAAAATGTTTGCAAATTTCTCATTATCTGATTTGGCCGATCTTAGCATTCGAAGACATGTTTCTACATTTGAGTCTGCCATGTCTGGAAGTTGCTAAAATAATAAAATATCTTTCAGACAACGAATTTCCCACCACGTGCCGTCTTTCGTTTTGTTTACGTTGCCATTTCCGGAAGTATTCGATTAGACTCTGATATCCAGTTGTGATATATAGTAAAATGCCAACTGGATAATCAAATAATAAAACTTGGCGGGAATGTAGAGTTGTCTCCCTTTAGTGCGTTAGCATTGAAACTGCATTTTCAATTGCCACATCATTGTCATTTTTGCGTTATAGGCAATTAAAACCTTTAGTTTTTAACGACTAGTTACATTTATATACAGATATCCACACATTCAGATAAAATAATTTATGAAATATAAACTGAAAAACATATGATTTGAAATGGTACACCACTGGCAGTATTTAGGCAATTTCTTCTTGGGACATCAAATTCTCCCAAGACTTAATTGAGAATATAAAATATATTGGTGATTCTTTCTTGCCCCAGTTGCAGAATGGTTGTTTTACTTTGATTTTAAACTGCTTGACTGGTCATTGTGATTATAAGCTTTTGCAAGAAGTTATCACCCAGCAGAACCGCATTGTTTCTGAGGTCCCGTGTTTACATTGGCGTGCACATAAAAGATCCCTTGGCAGTAGGCCATAGTGCCGCTGCTCGAGCAAAATTTCCCTCATAGCATACTGTATGGCGTATGCCAGTCTTCATTAGTCCAGTCGGAGCCAAACAGTATGACGTTAAGTTAAACCACATTTCATTTCAATACATGTATTGATATTGATACTGTTACAAAGAGGGAAAATTTGCCCTAATTAAGTGGCATTTCTACCTGCACTTTATCGCATTCCAAAACTCAAGGGTTCTTCTACGTGCACCCCAATTTATAGGATACATGAAAGCTCAGTTTTGAGTTCCATCCAAAGGACTAGATTCTATTCTTTGCCAGTAACTTTCTAGGCCAACGCCTTACTGGATATTTAAAATTCCACCTGACCACTTCATACTGATTTTTACATAACCTGTGTATTTCCTTCCATAATGAACCGACAATTCAGAGAATGGTCCTCAGATTTGAACTTTTTTCCGTCTTCGTTAGCCATGTCAGTGCAGAACAGTAGGGCTTTACAGTTCATTTCATTCATTCATTGTCCTTTTTTGAACATCTTCCCAAAAACATGCTCTCAAAAAGGCTTTTAGCACATACAAGAAAACACAATGAATTTTTATATCTTTATATATTGTTTAAGAATAATTTATAATATATAATATGTATATTATTGTAAAAAAAAAAGATTTCTTTTATAAAATAGTAATTGTGCAAAAAACAAAAATCAACAAATCAGAAAATAATCAACATTAACTTTTGATATCAACATTTAAAATTTTAAACTTTTAAACAACCAGCTGTGACTTTAACAAACAAATATATCTTTGAAATTTAATTTTTCTTTTTCAAATAGTGTCCATGTTAAAAATTTGACCAATTTATCAGTTTGTGAAATGTGAACATCAATTTTTCCTTTTGAAAACAGTGTTAATTTTAAAATTTGAACAATTTATCACAGTTTGGGAGCATAAAAAACAGTAATATATAACCATTAAATAAAAGCATATAAAAGCAATGGTAACACAGTTGTAGCAGGGTGGAGAAGTTGCCCACTTAAGCAGGTATGAAGGCCGAACATTTTCCTCTGAGCTAAGTCCTATACTATTTTAAAATAATTACAATTATGCAATTTAAAGGTTTTCAAAGTCAAATAGGTCAAAATTATGACTATTTGTGTTGGGACACAAAAAGTGTCTTTGCCCCTTGGCATGGAGAACCCTTACTACACCACTGATCCTTATGTGAAAAAAAGCATAATTTATTTCAAATCATAAAAATAAGCATCCATAATTTAGGACCACAAAAATGATTTTTGGGCCTTTTAGCATGATTGGATAGCAAACAACCTTATTCGTAACAAATCAGCTAATAAACGATATCAATAAACACAATAATTAATCACATATTAAACCGGCAATAGGACTTGCACCACAATAATAAATATCATCTATTAGTATGTATTACAACAAAAATAACTCAACCCACAATCACATCTGGTTTTCTCCTCAAATATCACTATTTATCAGCAAAACTGGAAAAGAACTAACTTACTGTTAAAGATATCACAGAGCAAATTATCTTTTAGAAACTTGGTGATAACTAATGTTCTATTGTACCTTTAATTAGCAGAACAAAGCTCTGAAAACCCCAATGATGTATACAATATTTAAAGCGTTATTCTGATTTTCTCTTAAGTATACCGGTGGTTATCACTAAGTGACGGCTGTACTTATAAATAGCCGTAGATTTCTCAATCATAACTGGTACGGCTAAGTAGTGTTGCAACAGTTTAACCATCAATTGTAAAAGATTCAGTTTGAAGCTAGAACCGATTATCAATGAGCCTTAGCAGTAGAGTTTGTTTTTCATATTTAAATACAACATGGTATATTCTTTTATCATATAAGTAATTGGAGAAAGTTAAAGAAATATTATATTAATGTATTAACAATAGAAAAAGGTTTTTATAAGTGAATTATTAAAATATATTTATATACAAATATAGGTGTTGTTTACAGATAAAATATGAATATTTTAATAAATACCTTAAATAAATAAATACTTTATTGTATCCATTGATACAATCAATAATATATCCTATACACTGAATGGTACTATAAATAATTACTATATATAGTATACATATACAATGATGTAATAAATAATTCCTATATTGTATATACCCATTATATAAGTACTATATTGTATACGTCAATACAGTACCGGTAAATACTATATATTGTATGCATTGAACATGTCGATGTTAACTTGAATTACCCAATGTGATCAGGTTCTCTATTCACAAAAACTCAAATATCTTTAATAATTTTTGGTTGCAACTGATAATGTTTTGCTTCCATTGCGGACTGCCATTCTCGAAATTAGTGAACTGTTTCCATCATGAACTGCCATTCTGGAAATATGTGATCTGTTTCCGTCATGGACTGCCATTCAGTGAACAGTTTCCATTGTGGAGTGCCATTCTGGAAATCAGTGAATTGTTTCCATTGTGCAGTGCCATTCTGGAAAATCAGTGGTCTGTTTCCGTATAATGTTGACTGCCATTCTGTGTAAGATTTTAATTTATTTAGTATATCAATTAATAAAGAGATTCAAGTTTTTGTGGTTAAGACACCAGGGATGTTGATGATTGTCATATCAAAAATTACAAAAAAACTGAAATTATAGCACGTCTATCCAAACCATGATAAGGCATCTATTTTTTTTTTCTTTTTTAAAAAAGGCCCAGGGAACCATTTCACAAAATATTTAAGTTAGGTAAACATAAAATCAATAAAGTTGTATATTGAAATGTTCACTTTATATACATAATATGTCTTACATGTTTTGTGAAATACGACCACTGGTTTTCAAACATCAAAGTCTCTTTGATATCTTACTACTTAAAACAGTTTTTGGGATTTGTGAAAGATAACTGTACAGAAATAGAATAATATTTTTAACAAGTAGTAGCTATGGTAATTTTGACATATAGTTTTCCATAAATTGCGTAGTTTTATCACAGGCAAAGAAAGAATGCATGAAGTAAACCAATCGTATTGCTTTATACATCTGACCTCGCTTATTACAACAAATGGTCATTGATAACAAATCACTCTGATTTTATCCACTGAATCCTGATGGCAACTGATATCATGGCACAAGTATTTTTTTATTTACAAATTATCTAGTTAGTTTAAGTTAAATATTGTTAAAAAATACTCTCATGGATATATTCCCTCGGCAGATATATTTACAACATTATATCAAGTTCATTTAAAGATACATTGTGTAAGATTTAGGTAAGAGCTGGCCGTTCTTGCTATAATAGTTCCAAAAAAAGATAATGCAAAATGAATATATTGAAAATTTCATTCAAATTACTCTATTCTCAGCAAAGTTATCACTGTTTGAAGTTTTGACAAGATATGGCATAGATTGTTTATCATCGTAGCAACAGTACTTGTTCAGCCTCGAGCCCCCATTTTTAATTTAAATTAAATGGTGATCATGTTTCAAATCGTTTAAATCTTGGCCATTCGATGGTCTGAAGAGTTGATTATAGGCTTGTTGTTATGTGAATAGATGTCTAAATAATAGTTTATATAACATTTGAAGTCAAAAGAAAGCCCTGCAATAGGCAGATTTAGCTCTTACATAATGTATCTTTAAATATACCCTTATGGAGTTATTTCCTCGATAGTAATATCTATAAACTGTAGAAATATTAATACATAAGCAAGGTTAATACTCATTTAAATGCTGTTTGAAATGAGAATACCGATTGGTGCAAACTAATACAGGACGGACTTGATTATATCACTAGAATAACATGGCTTTTGATTGGTTGGCTGATGTGTCAATCATATCTCAATGATCAAATATGATCTAAGCTGGGCAGATTCTTCACACCAGCTGTTTTTCTGATTGGGCCTTTCTTTGGATCTAAAATTCTTTGATCGTCTGGTATATTCCTGTGGAAAAAGGTTTAAATTAGTGATTACTTCTACTCAAAGGGGAGAGAGAGAAATGGGGTTTAACGTCCACTCAACACAAACTAGGTCATTTCGGGACTAACATATGGTTTAATTTTATTTCAATAATTCGCTTGCGCATAGGGGTCTTTAGCAGTGGGAGGAAACCGGAGGACCCGGAGAAAACCCACTCAAAGGCACGCAGAAATTACTTAAGTGACCTTGATAGAAGTTCAACTTTGTATTCTGTACATTTAGTGGCCGAGTCAAGTGGCTGTAGAACATAGATATAAAGAGGTGGTATGGTACATAAACTATGGAAGGAATTTCGTTTCAGTTGCAGTCAACGACAATCTGATTAAATCACAGATCCAATTTCGTTTTGTTTTTTATAGTTCAAAATTTCATTTTACTTGTTTTTACTACACTAGGATCTACAAGAGTTGTTATATAACCAGCGTTCTAGATGATGTGAGGGATTAGCCAATGCAACGGTCTGTTATGGCGAGTTTTTGGCATAAGGTGCACGGAACTTTGGGTAAACCACAAGAACCATCAACGTTGATTTATTAATCAATGTCTGATGTCATAAGGTCAAAAGCCGCTCATATGACACCTGACACGACCTTCCACTACAACTGGTCAGATCTTTATGTAGTGTTGGCAGAGAAAGATCCCTGATATTTTCCAGTGCTGTTTCCCAATTTCAGTGGCACATGATGAAGGGCTTGGCAATTGCGTGCATGTAAAAGAAACCTTAGCAGTTTGAATTCAAAATGAAAGTAGGTGGCAGTACAACTGTCCAGACAAATTTCACTCATATCACACACTGCATGTAGTATGTCTGTCTTAATTAGTTCGATTGGTAAAGAAAAGTAGAATGTTAAAACCACCATTTCATTTCTAAACTTGACCCAGTTATTTAGGAAAACAAAACGTGTAACAGATAATTTCAAACACTAGAAATTTCCATCTAACATTTACGATTTTTCTAGCAACAACTGCCATATTGGATCACAAGTTTTCCAGTCAACTTACCCCCCTTGTTCTCTTGGTGTTCTATATGTTGCATCACCTGCTGCCCTCTGTCTCTGTAGGTGATAGATACTGCCCTTCGTAGAATTAATTTCTATAACATATTGTTTCCTTTCATCATTAGCTCGATGGTAAGCCTGAAAAAGTAATAATTGAATTTATATCCAAGACATTTTCCATATTTTGTGAAGCATGATTGATGTCACACCATTTTAACAGCTTCGACTGAGAATGGACAGGCCAAAAAATTAACATGCACTTATTATAGTAGGTGTTTATGGAAGGGGCTGGTTATAAGTTTTAGTAATACTTCAGTCATTTTACAAGCAAGAGAATTTTGCTGCTCTAAGGCAGGGACTCTGCCTTTTCCACTTCCAATTCCTAATGTCAAGTCAATTTTTACCTGCACTTGAAATTTCCCATGAGACCCAATTTTAAACTGTTCTTTTCTGTCCTTCATGGGGCTACACCAGACACACATTTCTAGTCAGTCCCACAGGTGTTACCCCTGACAATTTTGAACAAAAAATGTTTGACTTCTATTGCACTCCAAAGATAATTGTCTTTCAAATTTATATGTGAAACCTTGACAAATAATAAAGCCTCACCTTTGATTCTTGATCAAGTCTCCATTCTAAATCTCTAATTTGATTCATCAAACTCATTTTATCTTTCTCTAAAGCTTTGACCATCTGCGGATTAGCCTGAAAACATAAAACAATACATTAAAATAATCATTCAATTTTCTCACGGCTTAATCATGTACTGAAATTGATTATTTTACATTTAATTAAGAAAACAAAATCAAAATACTAACGCTAGATAATCTCCCTGCTAATATTCAATCAGATTTAAAAAAAGGCCTATCAATAAATTTTCACAGACAACAAAATGGTGTTGGACTTATTGCAGAACAGTGAGCAGAACAGACCAATGAAATTTCAATTCCCCATATTAGATCATTTGAGTGGTTTATTTTCATTGTCAAAGACAGTTTTCAAAGAAGTGGACATATCACATGACTTGCCAACATAAGATAAACATTAAAATATACTTACATCAGCTAAATCTTCTAATAACTTACCACCCTGTGGTGATTTACCTACTAAAACAAACAAATACTCAGATTAGTTTATATTCATTACTGAACATTCTATAAAGTAATTCTATGTTAATATTCATTAATAAAAAATCATGAAAGGGTAATGCTAATTCATGTCTTTCGTACAGCTGTGAGAACCGCTCTGTGACTTACACTTTATTAACCAAGTCTTAAGGTGCAAAACATTGCAATGTCCTTACCTCTTAAGAGGGGTCATTTTTACTACATAAAGGCTATGCTAACGTTACCTTGCATTATCTTACAGTTACAATAGATTACGTGTCTTATTCAAGAATACAAAACAGATCTGACCCAGCCAGTGAGAAACATGTAAGCATGTTTCCATGGACCTGCTTCAACATTACGGAAATATGGCAATATGCGCAACAGCAGCTTTGCAAAGTGAGGCAGCAATTCATGATGTCGCAGGATCTGAGATTTGGAATGTGTACAAGGCAACATTGCCAGGGGCCATAACTCTGTATAAAATGAATGCACAAGTTTCCCTCATTGTGACAATCTCAACAAACCATTCAAGTTTGAAAAGAAAATCACAAAAAACTATAAGCTGTGGATAATTTAAAGGGTTTCAGCAATGGGAATAAAATCAATGTGCAACTGCAATTGACAGAAATCGACCGAGCGATATTACAATATCCTCACTCAAGAGACAAAATATCGACATATAAAAATTATCGCTAGTACGTAACAGGAACCTGACTAAAATTAATCCCAGCTAGACATTATTATATCAGTAACAAGCTTATACAGAGTAACATTATTGATTGATTTTGTTACTGATCATTATCAAATTTCACACCTTCACACAAATCTAATAATAAAAATCAATATCACTATGGTTTAATAATATTCATTTCAACATGTTTATAATCAAATCAATATATCTAGGTTCTCGTATTTTGATTGCTAGAACAATATGTCATACAGTCGATTCATTTATTTATATGAATAACCAACATCATTAAAAGCAGACATTTTGCAAATAATGGTAATGTAATATTTTATTTTCCAGTGGAGTACCACCAACCATCATCAAAGGCATTTTGCAAATAATGTAATGGGTTTTTTTTTACCTTGGGAATGGGAATAGACTTGAAGCACATAAGATTTTCTTAGCAATTGGTAGTGTTGGAGGAGGGGGGGGGGATGTCCACTAAACACAAAATATATTATTTCGGGACTAACAAATGGGGCAATATGCTCTTTTTGTCTTCTGCATTGGGGTAATACAACTATTTTCTGTTTAATAGTTTAGGTATGTTTCATGCAGGGTCCTTAATCCATTTTGAAATGAACCGGCCATGGTTAGGCCTAACGGATAGTCGTCTTTTCAACAACAAACATGTTACCGGTAGTTTATGCATACTCTATTCACGTCAGTAATTGCATAATTCACTAATTGCATAATGTATTTGGGATAATAATAGCTGAAACTCCGTATAAACAAGACCTTAGTAATTGCATACTTGCATTCATACATCGCTATAATATCGACATTTATAGTCATATTATTTCAGCAACTTGCATTGCATATTCCTACTTTTGGTTTCATCCATCTAAACGGAAGTTATAAATTAGTAAAAACTACAAGTACATACAAATATTTTTTTAAATTATTTTATTCATAAGCACATGTTAATATATATATAAATAACAAAGTATATAAGTATATAAATAACAAAGTAGCACAAAATCGGTTTCCGTGTATAGTCGGAACTCGGAAACATGCTGTACGGGCGAAAGGTCACATGGCCAATTGTGGTGATTCCGATTAGTTTACAATTTTCGGGATTTAATGCAGCAGGACTAGTTCGGATATCTGAGAGGATCTCTTCCTCAATTTCACTGGATATTAAAGAAATAAATTCACCACAACAATTAAAATCATGATATAGTTTTTTTGTCATTTCATGATCCTGCTGTTCTGTCAAATCGTTCAATTATTGTTCATAATTTTCGATGGCAATGTTTCTTTTTGCTATGGAATACGCATTTCAGATTAACGCCCGGTTTAAAACAATTTCTATAGATTTGGGAATTAAACTCTTTGTTCTGTCAATACTGTCATCGTCTTTATTTGCTGCGCGGGTATGATCGTCAGATTAATACGGTCTTTTATTGCCGATAATTTGGTTGACCTATATTGCACGTGGGAGGATCTCCGGCTTTTGGAACTTCCATTGACAACGTGCATGCTTGAAGTTCAAGGTCAACGCCGCCATCATTATCTTCAGTTAAATCTCGTTTACATTTCCTGGTGTCATTCTGCGAGGTGTTCAAGTACTTGGCATGATTACCTCAATTAAGTTGTTTATTTATGAAATAAGCCGAAGGTATTCATTGTAATGATTGACTCTTTGATGGGTTTCTTAATCGACGAGTAATAATTACCTCTTTGTAATCGGCCGAAGTCGATTGATTTATGATACCATTCATTAGTGGCCGGTTCATTGTTTTAACAATCGGCCGAAAGTAGATTGATTTGTGATACCTTAGTGGCCGGTTCATTGTTTTACCAATCGGCTAGATTAAAGATCAATCGGCTAAAGCCGACAAAAAACAGCCGATTAAGATCCCTGGTTTCATGTGCTATGTTTTTCATGTATCAGTCGGGGCAACAAACTTGAGGACATCCTTGTGAGAGCAAAAACCCTAGCTACGCCTCTATGAAAAATGCAGATTGCCAAGCCTGGAAATAAGGCACTAGTCACAGACAATGTCAGGCACAATTCCTCTGTTGTCTGTCATTTTGTCTGGTTTTTAATGACATCTTTAATACATGTGCGCCACAAAATTCAGGAACAACTAAACTCCTTATTTCCCGGTCTGTAGATTATAGACTAAAGTAAAGCCAAACACAGATGGTTATTAAAGAAGTAAAGCTCAACACAGATTAGATCACATCATAGCCGTTTGTTCTCAATACAAACCTGACTTGTTTGACATTTCTGTTATATAAAAACAAAAGATGCGCTATAAACCATAATCAATAGGAATGGAATGGGGTCTAATACTTTGGTCATTTTCAGACAAACAATGTTAATATTTTTTTCTATGGGGAGCAGAACTTCAGAGTATTTTGCTCAGATAATGTTTTTCCCACCTACAGTTTTCTTATTTGATTTGAAATTGTCAAGAGTTCTTTTATGTGCAAGCTAATATGTACACAAACATACCTCAGTTTTTTCAAATGACTAGGCACCACTTTCCTTGTCAGGCCTACATGAAAATATATTTCACTCACTCACTGCTTTGATTTTTACAACCGTTTGGTGGGTCTACATATCAGTTCTGATTGATAGCTAAAAACCCTTATTTATTGATGTGTTTTCAAATACAAGTGATCAAACACCAGATAACATCCCAATCAACATCCCTACATCCACGCCAATCCTAATTTTCTCAAACTAATTCAGAAATGAAAATTCTTTGTTAATAATTTCACTAACCATCTCTTAGATTTTTCTTGGATTCTTCAACCTTATTTTCTAACATCAAGATCTGCCGCTCTAATTGTTGGTTCATTTCGGTCTGTGTTTCAAAACGTGTTTTCCATTCATTTCCTGAAGAAAATCAGAAATATATAAATAAACAAAACAAAAACACCTATATTAACCAAAATATCAGTAAGAATAAGATATTTTAAAACCAAAATATCAGTAAGATATTAACCAAAATATCAATATGAGATATTAACTAAAATATCAATAAAATATTAATAAATAAACCTAAGACATTAGTCAAAATATCAGTAAGATATCAAACAAAATATCAGTAAGATATCAAACAAAATATTAAAGATATTCAACACAAAATATTAAAGATATTCAACACAAAATATTAAAGATATTCAACACAAAATATCAGTAAGATATTTAACAAAAATCTCAGTAAGATATTTAACAAAAATATCAGTAAGATATTTAACAAAAATCTCAGTAAGATATTCATCAAAAGATATTAAGAATTCCTATTGCGTACTTTATGTATTCTGTAGGCCAAAGTGAATGGCTCTGTACCTTTTAGAGGCCTCGCTATGGTAATCAAATAATTTGAATAACATTCATATAATGACTAAGACTTAGACTACTAAAATAGTAAAATAAGGGAATTGGCCGGGGACCCACTCCTGAATCTAGATGCACACCACATACTTAATACCTCAGTATGCTCTGGGTTTATTGTCATTAGACTGAAAGAAAAACATAATTTTTAGTCTTTTCTTTTATTGACTTATGAATTATGAGCATTAATTAATACTTTAAGTACAGTCAATCTATTTATATATCATTAAGCTTATAACTATAGCAGGAATCATCATTGATTATGACCTATAAGTTATAATTGTGTAAATTACCTGACGATTAATGTCAATATGGTTAAAGTCACTTAAAGTCACTGACATAGTAATGTACTAACCATGATTTACCTTTAAGGCCAATAAAAGTAAAAAAAAATATTTCCCATGATTAGGATGTATGAACCTATAATACTTTGGTCCCGTTTGACATTCATAAAGCATAATGCAAGACTAGTGTAAATCAAACATTTTACTATGCAACTCTTTTGAACTTACATTACATGAATTTCAATACGATTTTGTAAGGCTTAATGACTTTTTTCTAACACACATATTTCAATATTTGCCTAAGCTGTGATGAAAAGGCCAGATGAAATGCTAGATTAAATGTGTACAACAGGTATTGATTGTGAGGCTATAAGGGTATGACAGTATAAATTATAATAAAAATCAACAGAATATCCCAATAGGACACTATATAACATGGCTTTAAGTCTAATACCATATCTTATTAATAATAAATCTTGTATAATATATAGGATTACAGTCTATAATCCAGTATATATCCAGGTTTTTTATTTATATATCATGCGTGATAACATATACACCTAATATTGTAATGCATATGGTTTGAAAAGAAACAACAACAAAAACTATATAATATATATAAACAGTAATATTCATTTATTTTCAAGATTCTTGGACAAAAACCAAGATAAACATTTTGAATGAATGTCAAATGTATTGCTTTCCACATTCATAAGTTAATTGCTTTTAGTGAAATAGAGATGAAAAATCAAAACCGTTGATCCAAATACCAAGGAGACAGTCCAGAGAAGAGAGAGAGAGAGAAATGGTGTTTGATGTCACTCGACACAAACTAGGTCATTTTGGGACTAACTAAACATGGTTCAATTTTATTTCATTATTTCACTTGCACATAGGGGACTTTAACAGTGGGAGAAATCTCCCCAGACAACCCTACTCCTTGTACTCCTTGTTACGTATAAGCAGGGAATCAAAACCATGCCCTGCCCCTTGACTCAATGACAGACCTTCTGATTCAAAGCCCCCCGCTTTGGTAGGGAGATTACCAACTGTTGATATTTTGTTCACTTAATTAAATGCTAAATAATCCATTGGAATACATTTTCATGTGGATTAATATGCAGTGAGAGAGAGAGAGAAATGGGGTTTAACGTCCACTCGACACAAACTAGGTCATTTCGGGACTAACACATGGTTCAATTTTATTTCAATAATTTGCTTGCACGTAGGGGTCTTTAGCAGTGGGAGGAAATCGGAGGACACGGAGAAAACCCACAAGGTTGGACAGGCGGCCCTACTCCTTGTCACATACAACTGGAGAATCGAAACTCTGCCAGTTGACTCAATGACAGGCCTTATGATACAGCACTCATGTACTAACCATTCGGCCATCCAACCCCCCTAATAAGCGGTGAAAAATTAGATATTGTCACAGCTTTAATGATAAATTTTGATTTCATTTCGAGTATATTTTTATACTTTCTATATGTGCACTCCAATAACAGTTTTTATAATGAAGCAAGCAATTAGAATCACCTTCCCTTGTCAGTACTGAGTCAGTGTAAAGAAAATGTATTGGGTGACAAAACAAAACTAAAGATAGAGACATAAATAGCTATAAATTTAACCCAAAGGAAATGAATTGTGATACGGTTTTGCTAAAACCTAGAAAAACACAGGAAATACTGAAAATAAAACAAAAAGATCTAAACATTTATAATGACACATAGAATATTTTACCAGATGCAAATTCACTATATTCATCTGAAATCCACAAAATCAACATTTTAAATAAAACAGGCCAAATATTTCTCATCTCATGGGTTTATTCCATCAATTAGTTAGTGACATTCATTTTTTTCTGACAAGTTTTTAAAAAACACAAAAATCTAGGAAAATTAGGTTTGGCCCTATTCAAATGAATCAAATGTTAATGCATCCTTGCTACTTGTAACCATTATTTTTCCGACGTGGTTTCCCCTTGTCAGTGATGTAGGACGGAGGGCCTGACAAGGACAGCTGTCTTGTCATTCGAATGGGACGGAAAATCGAGGACCTGTTTATACATCGGCGTGCACGTAAAGGATCCCTTGGCAGTTGTAATTTAATATAGGCTAAGAGTAGGCTGTAGTGCCGCTGTCCGGGCAAAATTTCCCTCTTAGCACACTGTATGGCGCATGCCTGTCTTCATTAGCCCAGTCTGGAGAAGAACAGTAGGACGTAAAGGCCATTTCATTTGTAACCATTATTAAATAATACATATTGCCCCTTATCAATAACAGATTTCCTTTGGTAAGGTCACAAACTTTAAATTCTTGTTAACAAAAGGTGTGGATATGCTAGATCAAATATCATAGATAAATGGTTGCTTACATTAATCATTAATGACTGTTGATAACACTAAACAATTGAGGCTAGTGAGTCCTTTATCTGGTACGGTTGCTCAGTGGGCAAGACGTAAGCTCACTAACCTGGAGGTTCCGTGTTCGATCCCTGCATTGACCCGAGAAAGTTCATCTAGATTTTCTAGCATGGTTTCCCCTTGTCAGAAGTTCAAGATGGAGGGCCCATCGCAAGGAACAATGTATAGTCATTCAAATGGGACAACACAAACTAGGTCATTGCGGGACTAAGAATCAAGAAGCAGGAAATCGAAACCATGCCACTTGACTCAATGACAGACCTTAGAGTTATATAGATCTACAACTACCAATATGAATAAGGTTTATGTTTGAACATTTGCAGATTAAGACAGTAAAAGCATGTCATCTATGTTAGTCAAAGTTACAGAATTTTAAATTGTATGTTTAGTCTACAAACCTTCATTTTCAATAGCATCAAATCTTTTTTCTAATTCTTCAACTGTTGTTTTTAATTCTTCAGCAGACTGCTCTAGCATTTCCCTTAAAACAAAAAAACAAAAAACATTTAATCTATTTACATTTATGAAAAATATCTTTCAAAATAATCAATAATTATAGGTCATAACTCATAAACAGTTTTTTCAAAATATTTTGATCATATCAATCAGTTTAATTACAATAAGCTTAAAATAAAAGCTAAAATTGATATTGATTATTAATAACAATAAAAAAAGATTATGCAAGTTAATTTATAAGATAAGATTATTCCACACAAATGTTTAATTACTTTAGATAGTTCATTATCGTTCATATACATATCTACTGTGAAAAAAATAATAAAAATTTACACAAGTGTCAACAATAAATTAAACACCCATAAAAAACAAACAGCAACAACATCAATCAACAATATTATTAGATCTTTACAAGTGTCAATTATGTATTATGCCAGGTAACTTCATAATTATTTTGATAGATTAGCTTATAAACTAAACGGTACATACATTCATTAAAAGCGAATTGTCTTCATCATTATGTATAAGCTTACATATAGCCAATTTATAAAATTTGATATTCACTAGGCCTATATTCAAAATAAAAGTAAGCCTATGGATCAGTTTTTGGAATAGCATCTTAAATCTAATAATAGATCTAATAATGCATTAAAATGCCCTGGGGATGGGCACCATCTCCCAGCGTAGCTGTATCATCCGTTCTACTCTAGCCTTACTTCGAGAATATAAAATGCTCATTATTTATATTAGGCCTATATGGATCTCCTGCATTTTGTTTATTGCATGCAGTAAGAATAATGGCCCTATCGGGATTGGGATTTGGGGTGAGTGGGAGTAGGGGGATTGGGGGGGAATTTTGAAAAATAAGTCCTTTTTTCTACTTCGGTTTAATTTTACTTCACCAGTCACAGTGACCCCCCCCCCCCTTCCCCCAACGGCCACCAAAAAGCTGCCTTTGAAGACTATGATAGTAATTATGTTTTTGACAGTTTCGACACTTCAGCCTATACACGCTAAAACTATTCATTCGTCGTAAATATCATTATCAGACCGTGACAACGACGGTTGAATGTCAAAACCAACCACTTGACTTGGCACTTCACTTGTCAACCAAACACTACTGGTGCCCGATTATGAAAATGAACGTATTTTAATCAATAACCTAAGAATTGACAAATAGATAATTTTACGTAAAACCTAATAAAATTGAAAATATCCTTACTTCATTTGCCGTTCCTGATTAATTTCGGAACGTATTTTTTCCAACTCATATTCCTCGACCAAGTCCACCGCCATTTTGACACAATGTAAACGTTGCTATGTGTGGAATGACGTAGAGGATTTCCGTTTCTGAAAACGAGGCGGAAATCCCCTCCAGCGATGGACCGATAATTAACATGAACCACGCTGTCTGTATTTCACAGTCAGATTTATTTGTTTTTAGCACGCAAATTAATGAACAAAAATAACATTTAATTCGCCTTAATGATTAAACACGTATATAATCAATAAATCGTTACGAGCACATGATCTTATCTCGTGCATCTTTACATGAGATAGTCTATGTATTAATGTGGTTTACTGGAATTATCTTGATTGATCTACCGTTTATAGCTTCGAAATCAGATTTGTGCGTTTCAAAATCAGCAAATAAAATAAAAACAGACTAAAACCATACTTGGATTCATATTACCCCTTAATAAAACTTACTTTGGGTTAAAAATTTATTGAATTATTGCGTAGTATCACGGTTTTGTTTAATTTACTACAACGCTTACGATTAAAAAAAAGTATATTTTAAAAGCATCTTAAAACTGAAATTTTATCAAATATAAATTAAATGCTAGTTATCTTATATTATAATTGCAACTGTATCGATAACAACTCAAAATCATAAAGAAACTTAAAACTGAAATTTTAAACTTTATAGATAATTTCAACCAACTGATTATTCCGTAGCACGTTTTGATTTTAATAAACGTAGCATTTCAAACAGTCGGACTTCTATGAGCTGTTGTAACCCTCTGTTGAAAGGCCCAAAAGGAGGCGGAGTAGACTATAACTCTCCGGTTGATAAAACAAACTATAACATCAAATCTTTCAAAAAAATCAAATTTTATTTCTTAAACATAAGCTATATAACATAGAATAGATCAGTGAAACTATAATATCTAAATATAGTTTGAATGTTTGATGACACCATATAATTCTAAAGGTACTTACCCTTTCTCGTCATCTTTTTTAGGCCTATATAATTGAGTTAAAAGATATTCTAAGACAAATGCTAGTGTACTGTATTCATCAATTTTTCAATTTTTCTTTCGTACTATGCAATTAATATCGTCTATTGAATAATGAGTTCCAAATTAAGGATTTTTGTGTTTTAGTTTGTCGAAGGGTCATTACTATAGGCAAATGACCTCTCATCACATTTAACGTTCTACACCATTTCGTTTATAAATGTATGATTATCAAGTGTCATATGATTTTCCATACTAAACTTACACTGTAACTACGCTTGAGAACAGACATTAAGCTAGCTGACAGACATTTTAATTCATTAATCGACGATTTTAATCGAAAACACTAAGTATACTTCGCGAATTATGAGAAGTATTTAGTCTTTGCGTCAATCTAATTAAATATAGATCTATATTTCGTTTCGTTTTTTATACTTTCGATGGCCTACACTACATAGTAAAGACAAGTAAAATCGAAATTTTGAACTATAAAAACGAAACGAAATTGGATCTGTGTTTTAATCAGATTGTCTTTGCGTGTAAGTCAGCTGTGAAATGGAGTAAAACCGCATTACAAAATAATATACTAATTTTTAGATATAGTGGCCATCCAGGGCAGAGATTAATTCTGGAAGTATAGTTAGTTCTATGTGTGCAGAATGATGACTGTCAATACATTTACCAGGGTTGCGTACTTGAAAATTGAGCCTACCGTACATGTCTGGATTCGTGACTGAAATCGGGGTATAATATTTATGTGCGATATTTAACGGTAATGTGTTTATTTTTAAAATTAAAGAAGTCTCTGGAGTATCTGAGAACCATAATATATATTCTATGGTAATACCATATTGGCAGTTGCTATACCTATATTATATTACCTGCTATATGCCTCAATATTACCATATTGGTAATTGTTATAACCATATGTATTGCCTTCATTATCATCGTCATCATCATCATTTCTGTAAACATAGAAAACATACATAAACTTATAGTATAAAATACAACAAAATTATACCAAGATCACAACCTGTATATGAGCAGCACAAAAGACACCTTTATGGGCGCTTTTTGTATTTATAGGTAGAAAGGGGTCGAGGTAGGCTGTATATCCAAAATTCAAATGTGACTCGATACTACTTCCATACAAACACAGGTTGACATTATTCCGTGCAACACCGAGTATAAGCCGATCAATAGGCAAATACATGTACAGGTTTAATTGAAAAGAATCTTAAAGTCCCAATGTGCCATTTTAGTACTAAATGAATCACTTGTAAACTACAAGGTTGTGAATATTGAATCTCTAAAAGGAATATCAGTCCAAAAATGGTCCAATTCCATTCAGAATTTACAAAGATATGTGGATTATTTCATTGATCTATGCTGTTTCGCTATGTAATAAGCCCGCCGCCATTTTTTTTTTTTTTTTTTTTTTTTTTTTTGTCCGCCAAAATTTATAGTTAGTTCTGTTTTAAATGCGATTGAATCCCAGCTGGGGTAATATCTAGCGTTGGTATTTTGATTTTGTTTTCTTAATTAAATGTTAAATCATCAATCTGAGTACATATTAAGAATTTACATATTATATGATATTTTAGCAAAAAATGCAATGACGGATCGGTACTTTAAAAGGGAAGTTTGGTGAATGAAAGGGTTAGTTTAGTTTCATTTAAAAATAAGGTGGAATATATAATTTACTACCTGTTGGGCTCGGTCCTTTCGTACTTTGTGTTCTGGCTCCTGCCATCATTGCTATCTTCATTTCTATCCGCATCTCGTCTTTGACGTCCGTCCAAGCTATCCACACTGTAACGCCCATCAAGATGGGGATCTTCTTGGTGTTTTTCGGAGGTTTTATCGGAATTGCGTCTCTCTGGACCCGGAGACCTGCGATCACCATTTTGAGCTATATGGGCATCAGCCGAGCTCTCGCCTTTTTTCTGTTCATTTGATCTATAGTCATTTATGTTCTTGTAGTTATCTCGTGAACCATCATCCTTTGGTCCACCTTTCTGCTTATCTCCCTTTTCACGTCTGTCATCGCCGTCATGATTCTGCTTTTCCGTTCTCGTTCTGGAGACATAGAACCTGCGAACAGGTATCCGACGCTTCGTCTGCTTTGGTTTTACATCCAATCCTTGGTTAGATTTCTGTGCATCTTTATTTGTGTCTCCGTTTTGGTGGTCCTCTGTATTTTCGTACCTACCGCCATTTTTGTCTTCTGGACTAGATTCCTCCGTCTTGTCTTTTGGATAAGGACTTCCTGGTCTCTCTGGTTCAGCATTACCCCGCGAGTGCCTTCTTTCTCGTTCAATTTCACGCCTTTTCGCAGCACTATCGAACCGAACATCATGATTTCCACTGTCACAATCATCCCGATTCTTCTGTCCGGATGACGTATACGGACGTCCATTTTCGGGTGCATTCTCACGATATTGTTCTTGCTTCCTGTCGTCTGTCGATGGACTATTTCTTCTAGTGCTATTGCGGTTGTTTCGTTCATCAGAACTTCTCGAATCTGTCCCTTTATCGCGAGAAACACTCCTTTTTCGTCCATTTCTCGAATGGCTGCGTCTTCGTGCACTCCGAGACTGACTTTTATTGCGTCTATTTGGTGAAGGACTATTACGTCTATTGCTTCTTTCGCCATCTGTGGGTCCGTGTCGTTGGTCAACGGTGTCACGTCTGCCATGACCAGACGGAATACCATGTCGTTCATTTTCAGTACTATTATGTCGTCGACTATTTCTTCTCCCTTCTTTCTGGTTTTCAGGATAGCCGTTTTTGTCTTCATTATCTTTTTGTTGCCTCTCTCGTGCATATTCACGTCTAGCCTTTTCAAATTCTGTCAATTCTGGTGTCTGCGGGTTATTGTCTTCATTATCTTTTTGCTGCTTTTCGCGTGCATATTCACGTCTAGCCTTTTCAAATTCTGTCAATTCTGGTGTCTGCGGGTTATTGTCTTCATTATCTTTTTGCTGCTTTTCGCGTGCATATTCACGTCTAGCCTTTTCAAATTCTGTCAATTCTGGTGTCTGCGGATTATTGTCTTCATTATCTTTTTGCTGCCTTTCGCGTGCATATTCACGTCTAGCCTTTTCAAATTCTGTCAATTCTGGTGACGATAGGTTTTTGTCTTCCACTTCACCGTTTTGGCTGTTTCGTTGCTCGTCTGGCGGTGGGTCTGGCGTTTCATTTGTGGGAAATCGCCTACTTCCTTTGTTTTCAGATCTCGTCTTCGGACTGTCAACATCTTCACGTCTAAAAGTATATTTTAAATGAATCATATTATGTTAATGTCGGTGATCGTTAGTCTCATTGTCTGCGGTAGATGAGTAAGGCGCTGGCTTGCTAGCCTGGAGGTCACGTGCTCTATCCCGGTAATGGTGGTTCCCCTTGATAGTGGTACAGAATGGAGGGCCTAGCAAGCAACAGCGTCTAGTCAAACGGGTGGAACAAAAACCGAGATCCCACGTTCACGTGAAATAACACTTGAAAATTGGAATTCAAAATAAGAATGGGCACATTTCCCTCCGATTCGTGCCGAAATTTCATTCCATTTTCATCTATAATGTGCGCATGTTATTTATTGAAAATATAAAATGAAATGAAACCGGGTTTTAACGTTCTACTGTTCTGCCCCCTTACTGAGCTGATGAAAACGGGCATAGCCATGCAGTGTGCTATAATGAGGGGAATTTTTTCCCGGACAATGGCGATATGACCTACTCTTATTTCGAATTCCAACTGTAAATTGTATATTTACGTGCACGTCAATGAGTACACGGAACCTCGGTTTTACGTCCAATCCGAACGACTATATGCCGAACCTTGCCCCCCCCCCCTCTTCACCACCGAAATGACTTAGTTTGTGTCGAGTGGACGTTTCTCTCTCTCTCTCTCTCTCTCTCTCTCTCTCAGTATATAAGTATTTTATTTAAATTGTCAACCACTAAAATAACACAGTATGTAAGTAAAATATTTATTTACCTATTTTTAAACATGAGATTCTCTTCTACAGCCTCAAATCTAAAGGGAAATTAAGTTTGATTAAGTTAAGTATAAAAGGGATGGGGTG